AAGTTAATTAAGAGCTTAGACTTAATATACTTCTATAATTCTTTCTTCTTATAGTTATTAAGAGAGTTACTACTACTAAATAAGTGCTTATTACGCTACTACTTATAACTATTATACTTCTTTATAAAGATAAAGGTTAAGTCTGAAGTATTTATATTAGATCTTATAGTAATACTACTATAAAGAGGTATATTATTAAACTCTATAATAAGGTTATCCGGACTAAAGAAAGCGTGATCTATAAACTTCTAACTAGAATATATACGAAGATATAAGAGAAAATCGATCCTCTACTTATTAGATACTTCTATCTTAGTAAGGACTTACTTATTAAAAGTAAGGACTAGGAGGCTAACTATATAGTCTAATAAACGTATAGTCCTATTAGCTCAGATAGCTACTATAATATCCTAGATATAAACTATACTAGGAGTTAAGCTATATAGAGAATACTTTAAGATATACTAAGTAGAGATAGTCTTTAGAAGTAATACTATAGTAATAGAAGTAATAGAGGTATAAGTTAAAAGTATAGAAAGTATAAAGAAGGTAGTAAAGTATAAGGATAGTAATAATAGTATAAGGGAGGAAAGTAACTATAGAAAAATAGTTATTAAAAGAAAAAGGAAAATTTAAAAAAATAGAAGTATAAGAGGGTTTTTATATTAAGTGGATAGTAGTAGCGAGGCTATAGAAAAGGTGAATTTAATAAGAAGAAACGTAAGATAGCGAATAAAAAGGTGAATTTTAAGGGGGAAAAGTAAAAAAGGCAGAGAAGTTACTAGTTATTTATTATATATTAATTATTAGCAGGTAGCGCGATAATACGATTAGAGGAATAGTAGGCTATAAGCTACTAAGCGAGGTATAAGAGCTTTTAAGAAGGGATTTAAAGCGCTAGGGATTTTTTTCTAATTCGAAACTTTTAACTTTCTTTAAAAAAAATAATAACTTCCTTATATTTTATATTATAATAACTAAATTACTACGTAGATATAATAGTTCACTATAGATAACAAGGGAGATATAAGTATAAGCTTAGTTAAAATACCTACGGAAGATAGATTACTAGCTTTTACTAATTTTAATAAGGTAGTTATATACTTAGATAGGATCTTACTATAAGATTAGTATAATACTTAGTTAAGGGTCCTAAAGATTATAATAGCGTACTATAATAGGGCTAAGGAACTTATTAAGTAAGTATATAAGTATATAGAAAAGTCGAGAGTATTCCGGATCTATATATTAGAGGATAAGTTTCACTAGTCCTAGATAGAAGTTCGAGTTATAATTATTAATAACATAAAGAAGAGAAATAAATAAAGTAAAGCTTACGAGGGTATAGCGAAGAACTAGATAAACTCGGAAGTACTAGCTTAACTAGTAACTAAGTTAGAGGAATTCGTAAGTTACTACTAATAAGCTTTCACGAAGATATCTATTAAGGAAGCTAGATTATAAGTTAACTTAGAAGTTTAGAGATAAGTCTTAAGGCTACTTTATTAAGAGATATCTAAAGTAAAAGAAGTTACTATAATAGATATAACTTATATAATAAGCGCGAAGGTAAGAGAAAAGAAAGCAAGGAAGTTATTAGAGAGAGAATAGAGGAGTATTAGAATATAAGTCGATATAAGAGGCTTTATAGAAGAAGGAGTATTTATAAAGGAATTAGAAGATATACCTATAGCTACAAGTAAGGAGAAAAGGAGCCTTAGTAATATTAATAATTTAGCTCGCTTAGTAGGGGAAATTATTATAGGCGCTATAGTAGCTCTAGCTCCTTAACCGTGTTAGTCCTAGTACTAGGAGGAAATAAGTAAGGTTATAAAAGAGTTTAGGTTTATATATAAGGAAGAGGTCAAGATTAATAAGGAAAAGGTTAACTTAGTTAAGGAGGAACTAGAGGAATAGGAAAAGTAAGAGGTTAATAAGGAGGGCGGAGATAAGTAGAAGTATAGCTATAAGAAGGATATAACTACTAGCTAGAAAACTATAATAGGAGGAAAGAAAGTTCTACTAATTATAGTAATAATAAAGCTCCTAAGTAAGATACTAGGATTTCAGCGAGTTTATTATAATTACTTGCGATTAATAGTAGGGCGTATAAGTCTTTATATAAAGCAGCTCCTAGAAGGTTTAGCTATTAAGAAACTATATATTATATATAATAGGAGGTTAGAAATCAGAAAGCTAAAGATAAACCCGGAGACTTATATTTAGTTTTATATAGCTAATCGCCCTCCTTGCTTATTAAATAAGCTCGAACCTTATAAATTTTATAAGAAAGAGGGGCTTGAATTATTCGATTATAATTAGAAGCTGATTTTAGATAGCTAGGATCTGATAATCTTACTATAGTAGGAAGAGAACAGATAAGTTATTTACTCCCTCTTTAAATAGTAGTTTAGTTCCTCTCTTAGAAAGTAAATCTATAATAAATTAGATATATACCGGTATTACTTACAAGAGATTAATAAGCGTAAGAATATCAGATAGCTATAGAATATATTTTTTTTAGTAACTTAGTAGCTTATATACTAAGACCTCGCCTACTATATATTATATACAGCTCTTTATCCTGATAAGAAGTAGAGACTAGTTAGTTACTCTTATTACACTAAATATACTATACTAGGAGATAGAACCTTTTTCTATTATATTAATTTAAATATTAATAATATACTTACTATTAATCAAGGGGCTACTATAATTTAAGGTAGTATCTCGCTGGATTAGGAGGATAAAGATAATTATACTTTCTACTATCTAGGGATATAATATAAGCTAGGTAAGTAGTAGGCGCGTATTTATAAGCGAGGATAGGATACTAACTACTATATTTACTAAATTATAAACTAAATGTTTACTTAGGAGGATATAGAGGTCCTAGGAGTAAATTAGGTTAGGACTTCTTATAGCTTTAGAGATATATAGATTATACTACTAAAGATCCTATATAAGTTAACTAGGCCTGTGATAAAGGTTCGTCGGACTATCTTACTATAGTTTATTATAATTTAGGATAATAAGGAAACCTTAGAGGTTATAGAAAGGGGAACTTAGAGAGATCTAGCTGATTCTTATCAAGATTTTATTATACTTTTAGCTACTTTATTAGGCCTTATAAATTAGTACAGAGCTATTCCCTTTTAGTTCACTACTATAGTTAAGCTTTCCGGGTTAAGTGCTTTATCTAATACTCTAGTTATACGATAATAATAGAGTTCGCTAGTAGTAATAGCTTAAAGAAACGTTCTATTAGGAGGAGATTAAGTAGTAGCTTATAGCTTTATTAATAAGTAGAGAGCTAAAGCACTAGTTATAGCTATAGAGGCTTTTAAGATAGTAAGGAGAGTAAAGAAGGAGGCGTTTAGAGAGAAGTCCTTTTACTACTTAAAGGAGGTATTAGAAGCTATAAGTGTTCTAATAAGAGAGGTAGAAGCTGACGCTAACTAGCTAAGTAAGGAAGTAATAGAGATTATATTAAAGGAGGGCCTATTATTTACAGAGGAAGCTAAGGAGTACTTAGTAGTAAGTATAAGTAATATAATAGAAGTAGATAGTTAAGAGGAGTATCTATATATTTCTTTTATTTATATAATATATTAAGGGATATAGTTAGGGGGCGACTGCTTAGTTAGGGGGGGACATATGTAATAGGGTAGTATAGTTCTAGGTCGGAAGATAGTTAGCTTATTTCGTAAGGTTATATAAATAGGCGCGATAGCGTATAACAAATATATTATCTTCTCTCTCTTACTCTTACTACTTGTTTAGTTAGTAGTCCTCTACGTCCCTACTTACTATACACTTTAACGGCACTACCCCACCTCTTTATAGTATATCTTAAGGCCTTAGAGAAGTTAGATCTATTAATTTATTACTATTTTCTAATAGTAAAAGGCAATTAATAGCTTTATAACTAATACTAGCTATAACCCTATAGTTCTCTACCTAGCTTTAATATTAGATAAGGTAAAACTCTCTTACTATACCTTATAGTAGTATATAAGGAAATTACGCTTATTAATTAGAGTAGAATTAATTAGAGAACTTAACTTTTAAAGTTCTTTCTAATAAGAATATTTAAGAATAGAGAAAACTATTAGATTAAGAGGTTATAAAACATATAATATATATATAAGTAAGAATAGAAGGTAGATATTATTTTCAAGGTATTTCTAAAGGAATTCCGTAGTTTTATAACTCTTATAACTATCTAGAATAAGAAGCCTTACTAAATCGTTACGTAGTTACGTTTAAGGGATAAAGACCTTCTCTAGCTACTTAAGAGCTATAGTATTAGTTATCTACCTATTTTTAGTAGTAGTAAAGTACTACTATTCGAATAAGTCTAATTAAGATAGAAACTACTATTATTAGACTGATTTTCCTTTATATATTATAGCTAAGTATATAAAACTACTTATTACAGATGTACACTTAATAATTAATATCTAAATATATATACCTAGCTATTTCCCTTATATCTTATAAGTTTCAGTACTCCTTATAATAAGTCTATTAAGACTATAACCTTTTATAATACCTGTTTTATCTATATTCTATTATTAGTAAGCTAGAATCGCTTTAATAGCTAGAATCTCTAGTTTTTAGAACTATAGCTATATAACTTTAGAATAAGTGTAATTAATATATACAGAATTAATATATATTTACTTCTTAGTCTTTAGAATAAGGTTATATACTAGAAATCGAGTTATCTAGTATTTCCTAAGTAGTTAGTAGTCTCCTTATAAAGCTAGAAGCTTCTCTCTAAAAACCTGAATCTATATATATATAACTCTATAGCTAACAGACTCTTAAGTAAGAACCTAATTAGTTAAACGATTTTCTACTACTATAGAGAGTCTTTATAAGTAACTTATAGCCTCTTTATATAATAGAGTTATTATATTATAATTACGAAGTATAAACCTTAGAATACCCTAGTTAAGCGATACCTTCCGTAAGGACTTACTATTTACTACGTCCCTAACTATATATATAATATTATACTTAGTATATTAAGGCTTTATAATAAGATCAATTTATATTCTAAATATCAAAGAAATCTATTAAGGAATAATAGAATTAATAATTATTAAAGTAGGTAGGAAGAACTAGCGGTGAGTTAAGCGAGGTGGCCGGAATAGGGGGGTAGGCGGAATGGTAGGGTGAGACGTTATATCTGTCAGGGCGAAGAAATCTGTGGACAGGGAAAAACAGCTGCGAACGCCCTGATCGTACATACACCATCCATAACATATAATCTCGAACATAAGGGATCGACAAGAATTCAAACCCATTGATTTGCCAATCCTCGTCCCTGCACGCGATGCGTAGGCCACAAGTTATTATGTGGAGGGAAACCAAAACTGAAGCTCATCTCATAACATCAACTCACTCAATCACTCATTCCTCCGCACCATCATCCTCCTCCGCACCACTCTCCCCAACCTCCTCTTCCTCCTCCTCCTCCTCCTCCTCTTCATCCCCCTCCTCCCCCTCCCCCCCTTCCTCCTCATCGTTCTCCCCCGTATCGCCACCCCCATCCCTGTCACCATCACCACCAAAACCCCCCGGAAACCCCTCCGGAAAGAGTTCCTCTGGATCGAAATCGTCGAAACTCGGTGGATCAGAGAGATCGCTCTCATCGTCCGCACTATCATGGACACTACCTCTGACGCTCTCGACTTCAACTTGTGCATCCGCCTGATTTCGGGATTGGGCTTGGGATTCAGTTTGGTGGTTGTGTTCGGATTCGAGTTGTTGCTGTGCGGCTTGTTCGTGGGAGAGTTGTGCGTTGGGGTCGTGGTGGGAGTCGTTGTCGTCGTCTTGTTGGGATTGGGTGTGGGAGTTGGAGTGATCTTGGTCTTGGTCTTGATCGTCGCCTTCGTCGTGGTCGTCTTCTTGGTCGTTCTCCTGTTCATTATCTTGGCCTTGTTCCTGGTTGCCAGCAGCATCCTCGTTTTGTTGAGTCGGAGTTTGCACGCGAGGCGTGGACCCTGCGGCACTAGCGCTCCGACGCTGTTTGGACTGTCCATCATTCGAGCCGAGGACGAGAGATGGTGATGGTTCTGAGAGACGAGGTCGTGCTGGTGGGGGTGCGGGACGAGGAAGATCTGGCATGCGGCTGTAGGCTTGCTCTGCACGTTTGAGGACTTCGCGACGACTGATTCCGGATTTACGAGCACGTGCTGGTTCGGATCCAGCGAATGTGACGGGGACTGGAATCTGGGTGCCATTCATGTCCATGACGAGGTTGTTGAGACTCATTGGTCCTAAGCTGCGCATTGTTGGCATAGAACCAGATGACTCGCCAGTGCCATCCATTTGGTGGTTTGCTAATGACCCACGATCTGGATCAGGGAGATCTTTGGCGACTTGGATGTGTAGAGTAGCCCAAATATCAGAGATGAGGTCGTCGATTGGTGTTGATTTCATGGCGGTGCCGTTGAGTTTCTTGAGATCATTAACCTCCTTGAACGCATCTTTGATCGGCTGGCTGATCCGTGGGTTCTCAAGCCAGTCATCAAGACGAGAAGAGAGGTTCTCGAAGCTCTCGTGGGATTCGGTCTTGAATGTATCGTCGATGCTCGCAGGGATTTCTGCTTGACGTCGAATGAGACGGAGATATGCAAGACAACATTCAGCCCAGACTTTCTCGAAACGATGGAATTCGTTGCTCTTTTTTCGAACTCTCTTGACCAGCATCTCCAGGCTCGCTTTGTCATTCGTGATCACCAGGAGCTTGACCATGAACTTGACGTAACGTTCCATGTATACACAGTGGCGACCAGGGCGTTCGGCATCAGACTTCCACACTTGGATATGCATTGTCTTTGTGAAGATAGAGTCTTTCAACTCATTGCGAGCAGCGTTTGCTTGGTCGAAATTTGGATTTTCTTCGTCGTACAAAATGCTAGCTATTCTCGCGACGATACGATGATTCCAGTGCTGCTTGTCGGCCACTCGAAGATGGTGAAAGTTCTTCGAGATGTAAGTCTTCCATTCCTCTGCATTGGCGATAGTGACGGAGGCACCCTTGTCAGGTGCCATTGGTTGACTCTGGAGAAGATCCGCTGCAGCTTGGGGTTCCATGTCTTGCATCAGTACAAGCTTGTGAACAATGGAGACCAATTTGTAATGAGGTTCGAGCAAAGGCTCCGATCGACTGCTATTATTGCTTTTCGGAGCGTGATTGACCGCGTTGATGAAGTAATTCAGAACAACCTGCATTTGTGGTCGGCTTGCTTTGATTCGATCATCCCAATCGGCCCCAGCGTTACAATACTCTTTCCAGAGGCACTTGCCTACCATGTAATGAGCCCTAAGACTGTCAGTCATTTGCCGAAGTGCAAGGCGAATAAACACTTACATCCAGTTACTTGGCCGTTCACGGAGCGACTCCTTGAAAAGAGCCAACGCGTAATTCCACGCACGGTAACGAGATAACTCCTCATGCAAAGGTTTCTTGTACATCCCATCAGATCCGCTCATATGCTTCTCGAATTCGTCCAAGTAGAATACCTCCATGCCAAATGGCTCTCTGGAAGCGGAGTAGATCCGCATGCCGAAATTAAAGTACATCTCGGAAAGTTTTTCCGCAGTCTCAAAGCTGTCATCAGCAGTACGATATGCGGTAGACAATGCCATGACGTAACAGTGAATGGAGCTCCGTTGAAGTCGTACAAGATCTGGGCGGTGATTATTGATCTTGTCTGCACTCCATAGAATCTCTTCTTCTAGCTCATGGTCGAAACATTGAGCAAGTCGATACCACGTCTCCCAGAAGTCACCACTGGATTGGAGCTGCAGTCTCAGGAATGTAGCGGCAACTCGAAGATCGTCAGTCTGAGACCCAGGACCAAGTCTCTTCTGTGCCCGGAACTTTGTCAAATTAATCATCCCCATTAAGAAATACCAGTTCTTGTCCGCAAGTGGGCTCTCTGGTGTGACAACAGGTAGCGAATCCACCTGGACCTGACCTTTCCACGCTCTGTACAGGTCGGAAGGACGAATTGACGTCTTGAGGTACTCGGTGTAGTTTCGGAGATTGTGTTGCATTTGAGGAGAAGATTTCGTTGGACCAACAGCGGTCTGCATCCTCTCAAGGGTACCTCTCAACTCATGCTTCAGGAGATCCTTCATTGGCATTCTGTTCGCCAGAATAATGATCTGATCAGCAATGTTCAAGACAGTACGTCTGTCCAGTTGCTCTGTTGGACAACCATGCTCGTCCAGAAGGTAAGTCCCAACACCAAGTCGAATTCCGTAGAGGTCATACAAGACCTGGCCAAGGTAGTCTTCCCACTTCTCAATATGCTTCAGGCGAATCATCTCTACTTTCATCATCTTGAGGAAAATCTTATTGGAGGCCTTGCAGCACTTGCGTAGCCCCAATGAGAAATGGACGAGTGCCAGATAATCAGCAAGGTCATTGTCTGGCGTCAGGAAGATATCACGATTTTGACTCATGGCTTCCTTAACCATGGTGTATTGCAGAGCCCAAGTTCTGACCTGCATTTCGCGGAGCTTGTTGATAAAGCTATTGAAGGATCCGTGAGGTGCATAAGCTGCATTCTGTGGAAGTTGAGTCATGCCAACTCTGATCTCATCATCGAAGATTGCGGCCGTGTGCAAGACTCTTGCTAGTTGAGCCAGTGCAGCACAGGTCGACTTGATATGGCGTTCATCAATGATTTCAAAGCACGTTGCCGCATCATTGAGAGCGATAGTCAAAGCTTTCACCAATAAGTCGTCAAGCGCCTTCAGCCAAAGAAGTAACTTGTGTTTTCGAGGATCGTCAGCGCTATCCAAGTAGTCGCCAGTTCTCAAATCGGCAACAATAATCTCAATACTCTTCAAGTGGCAAGAGAAGACCTTGGTATTGTACCCAATGCTGAGATATGCTTCTCGGAGTCTCTGCCATAGGAAAAGCCGCAATGAAGTACTTCCACTCTTTAGGAACTTCCACATGTCTCGTAGGGCAGCTGGAGTTCCGTCGGTGGCTTCTGCTGCGGCACCATCCTCTGTTTCTGGCTCTATGGCTTCACAAGCAGACTCAGGATCAAGAACAGGTTCCAGGGTTTCGATGATGGCAGCTGGATCAGATCGGTCAGTCTGGAAAAGATTGAAGAAGAAATCCATCGTGGTGAGTCTAGAAACTTCTCGCTCTGCTGCCTCGACCGAGATCTCAGGCATCACAGCATTATTCTGGAGCTCGATTGGCGGCTGTTTCGACTCTTGGAGCAGCCCTTGGAGGTCGGACCAGCAGAGGACTTTGTGCTCTCGGGACACGCTGTCTGCCATGGTGGCGTAGAATACAGAGGCCCAGAGATATCTTGAAGAGAGAGATTCATCTTGATCTTCCTTGCGAGTCCTAATGACATCAGCTGCAAAGTCGGCCCATCGATCTAGGCGTTCTTTCGTCAGGAGGCGAGTCTCGAATGGGACGGCGCTAGTCGGATTGGTGATCCTTGAATATATATCGATATGAAGTTCGAATAATGTTTCGGCCATCTCCTGCCATGTCCCAAGAATGTCGGAATCGCGAGGGCTGTGTTCTATTTCCATCTGCAGACGGGTGAAGACCTCTGCATCGTTATATGTAATGATTCGAACTACCATGACCTTCATTGGCTCTGTCCAAAGTGTTCCACGGTACGTTGGTAACACTGCGCACAGCCACTCCCAGACGACGTCCTCGAATGGCATCCATTCATTGTTCACCCTGTCAGAAAATTCAGCAATTCCATCAGTATCAGCGAACCATGGAATATGTGTAAGTCTCTGGGGCCCAATCTTTGCTTGATCAAGGAAAGCTGCAAGACCAGCATTCGCACTGCTAGCGGACGACCCGAGAATGTCTGCAGCATTTCCATTTACAAATGTGGACGCTTTTGGATCATCCCAAGTCCTGAGGATATCACGAAGATCTCTAACAGCAGTATTGGCCACGATCTGTTCGCGTTCGGTAGGTGCATCTGGTTGTACTGCCGATTGGAGGTCGGCTAAAGTCCCCAGATCATCAACACCAAGCTTGTTCAGAAGCTCCGAGACAAATTCAAAGACATTTTCATCTGCTGAAATGAATGGCTTGAGCTGTTCGGCGAAAAGAGTTGCAGGGTCAACAGGAGCGCCTTCTGTGTTGTCACGATTTCTGATACGCTTACTCCGCTTCTGCGCTCCGTTCTCGTCTTCTGGAGTCTCGCGAATGCCGGCTGCGGATTGGGAGCGCTTCCGAGTAGGAAGCGACACGCTTGATGGTCGTCTGCCATCGGTGACAGGAACCGTAGTTGTGGTTGTGACAATCTCAACAGCTGGCTCATCGGACTTAGAAGTGACGGGCGTTGCAGCAGCAGCCTCACTACTTTCTGCAGCAGGAGATTCTGTAGTGCCAACGTCTTTCATAATCTGATCTTCTGAGACAGCAGGATCAGATTGAGGTGGTGGATCAGCCGGAGGAGCTGTCTCCTCTTGGGTTTCAGAGATAGGCGAGGGAAGATTGAGGAGGATTCGTGACGCCGTTGGCTCACGAGACATTTCGCATAATTTCTCGCCAAGTGCAAGCCAACCTCGATATTCCAGATTGATCACGACAGATGCCGGACCGGTCTCTCCCAGGTCAGCCTTGGCTCGCGCGATCTGTAACGACTTCGTGTTATCTGGTAGGAAAGGGTAGGGGTCCATGTTCTTTGACAGGAACTTGGGCATGGTCTTCTTGAGGTATGGACCCATGATAGGATGCGACAGTGCAGTCTCATCTGAAAGTACGTCTAATTGCTGCTTCAATTGTTCGCCCGCGAAACCTTCTTCCAGAGACATGGGGTCAACCTCAGCGACAGTAGGGTCATCGTCAACCTCGACTGCTGCCTCTAGACAATATCTCGCGATACGGCGGCTGCCCAGCATAGCACCTATCCGTGCCGCACGCCGCCATAGTTCTGTGTCTGACTCGTCACTGGCAAGGGCGAGGGCAAAATTATCGACGGCAGCCTTTGCTTGGTAATCGAGAGCGCCATCTGTGAGGGGTTCGTGACGAAGACGACCTTTGACACAATCCAGTATGAATTGACCATGATTCTTGTAGGACAGGTATAGGATCTGAGGAAGAGTGCTCGGACTGGCTTCGGCAACTGCAGCAGCGATATCCAGGCCAAGCGCGTGCGAAGCTTCTGTAAATTCGAGATCGGGATTTTTATCAAGCCGAAGAAACTCGGTTTCGCTCTCGGGATACGTAAATATATCGGATTTGAAGAGGTTCGTATAGGCTTGAGCAGCATCTGAATAGTGCTCTGGGCCTTGTGAATGTAATTTGAGGGCGACTTGGTAAAGTTTCAAGGCTTCCTCGATCTGGGCATGGTGAGTCACGGCTCAAGCGTGAGGGTGAGAATGCTTACTTGTAATTCTTTCGTGTTATCAATCTCATCATCGGGGTTCTCATCTGGGATGATATTAAGAGCGGTGAAGGCGGACTATGCTTGTTAGTCATTGGATTGTCATAATGCTGCACAAGAACATGGCATACCATTGTGCATTCATGTGTATTGTAGAACGACGAGGTGGAACGCGTTGAGAACCTGCTTCTGGTGGAGTCTCCTTCAGCTTTTGGTATACAGGGCCAAAAGCGCGAACGGAGGAGTTTTACGGCTTCAAGATTGCGGGATCTAAGGTGCCCGGATTATATGTTGGGTCTTGCGAGCTTCTGTCCACGGAAGTCGGTCTTCTCGAAGCTGCCGACCTCCCCAGCAGGCGGAATGATGGTATCCAGCGAAAATGGTACTCGGACCGCGGCTTCAAAATGGGCTGTCTTTGCGCTTCTTTCTTCCTTTGCGCTGATCCGACTTGTGTTTGAACTACTGAGTTGAAGGAAGTGAAGGTGGCCAATTCTAACTCAGCTTCACCCTGTTGACTTCCGAATGGTGGAGCGTAGGTACGTCACAGATTCAGTAGACTTTTGTGCCGGTCGAGTGACTCCCTCTTGTCTATCTGCAGCAGGATCCCGTCCATTCCTCAATTTGTGCCCAATCCCACGCCTTGATCTTGGTTTATCCTGGTGAATGTCTTGGGTGAACTGGGTACAGTCGAAAGCAGATGGGAAGGACTCGTTCGCGTGCCAGGTGATGAGGCTACCCTTGAAGGGTTCCAAGCAGTATGTGCTGTGCCAGAAGCTGTCGAAATTAAGGCAGCGCTTGAGTAATCGAGTCAAGGAGTTGATGAGGAGAGTTCGGTCTTCAGGGCGCAGTCTGCGAAGTGGTTGTGCTTGTCTTTGGTGAATTTGCAGATGGAGCTCTTCAAGTCAGTGAAGAATTATTGGTCTATCCAGTTGAAATTTCAGTGGTATATCGTACTTGTCTTTAGTTGGTCGAGGAACGGATCTGGGGGTGGTCGCGCAATCGTGGATATGGTAGGCTCGCGGAGGTGCGCCAGAAGATACTTCGACAGTATTCGCGTCCCTCTATTGCAGCAGGATGACTGTCAATGTTTAGGTTTGCTGGCGCGTCGCCGACACGATTGTCGTTGTCGCTGTCACGAAGGACGTTGGCCGTTTGGATATTTGTTCCAGATGAACTCTTGAGGCGGCTCTGCGGGAGCTCTGACAGCTTCGTCGGACGCCATCCCTGATTGATCGATCTGCAATGCACGGCACTGGAAGGGCAGGGCTGGTCGTGGTTGGTGGAACGGCTCGAGGTGTGGGTTGGAACGCCACACTTTGAGTGGGAACCTGGAAAGTGAGACAGTCGTGGGGATAGGATAGCATACCTCGCTTCAAGGACTAATTGACTACCCTCAAGCATGAGCACCAGGTCACAGATTTTGACATGATGAACGGTTATATATCTTCATTCACACTTAGACTTGTTCACTCCTCAAGTCTGTCTTACTTCAGAACTGGCAGTTAGCTTCTGGAAGAGCAAGTATCTCTCCAACATCCAAGATTTTCTTCTGTCATGCTCTATTCAAGTATTGTAGGATAGATGATCTAGTCCATACGATGATGTTTTTCAATGCTCAGATCATCCACAAGGAGTTCAGTATGACTTCGGGTTATTGCTTTCGTCCAGTCTAGTCGGTTGCTTGAGGGTCTTCGCTAGGCTTGTCGTAAACCTCAACATTGAAGATGCTGGCTCAACGCATGTATGTACAAGTCACTTCCTTTTTGATACTTCAATTGAACTTTTCAATTTTACGCTATTACCTCGTCCATGGCATGACTCCCTATAGCCCTCTCTGAAAGTTGTCAATCGTCAATTCGGAGCTCTTCCCTGGGTCGGGAGAGTGCTATAGTGAAAGTGCTGTGAATCATTTGTAGATAATAGAATGCTCCTCCCTAACAAGATCGTCAAGATACAGAATTGACGAGGGTCAGAAAAGGAAAAATACATAATTAGAAGAGGAAGAGAAGAAAGCTTAGAATGATTCCAATTCTCTGTGCTCACGTGACGAGGCTGAGAACCGGTCCAAGCGCCATATGAATTGTGGATATCGAGAGCTGTCAATTCGAAGCTCGCCCAGATCAAGATCCTGACAGCCAAACCCTCCCTGCAGCAACCTCAACAACCCAACCTTTTCCTCCTTCCATCGGGTCTTGGAGATACATATCGTATCAAGCAGTGGAAGACTACAGGCAAACACGCGACCAACTCCACGCGGTTGGAGAAACAGTCAGCCAAGATGGTTGCGCCAGCTGTCCCAGAGTACGCAATCTCCCGCAAACCATTGTTTAAGCTGGGAGATACTGACTGTCTGCTCACAGGCTGACGGAGGAGATCCTGCACGAATCTATTGATGCGCGAACAGAAGTACTCGCTGCGCTGAGAGAGTTAGGTCCACCGGATTTGGTTCAATTGATCAAGCAAGCCCCTCGGAATCCAGGAAGACAGGTATGTTCGAGCTTGACGGGTCAGACACTGAGATGCTGAGGGTGCTGCAGATTGGAGTCTATCATCATGTCACAGGTGTAGATGCGTCGTCTTCTGCGAGTCTGGCAGCCTACATCAATACCCTCACATACAAAGAGAATCATCAGTCGAGTACAAAGATAGTTGAGGGAATCTATTGGTAAATACATTGGCACGCAACTACGAGGTCCTCCGCTAATACCGAGCAGCTGCTACAATGCGTTCTCAAGACTCGATATGCGCGTACATGTAACCATTCCAGGAAGTGTGGACAGCTACTGCATAGATGAGCGAGGGGAGAAGAGAGTAGCTTCGGACGAATTATGGCTCGAGACATACCTCTGCAGCGTTCTGAGAGCATACTCCTACGCAGACGATGGAAGTGGAGAGACAATAAGAAAGATCATGGGCGTACGGAGATTCAATCCAGTTACCAATACCGAGACGGAACATAGGTTTCTACAGGCGGCCGAGCAATTGTTCTTCAGGGGTATGTCAAGCCAATCTCCTCACAACGATGATACTGACTTCGATAGGCTGGCAACTTGGATCGGATTCTGTCGTCCAAGTACCAAATAATGTCTCCAACCATCTCACGTCTGGCCTCCTCAAATACTTCCACACCACCGGACGATTTACATCTGGAATCAATCTCTTCGAGAAGCTGCGAACACGAAATGTCGAGGTATCTTCCCTGCTGGCAAAGGTGTTGCTCATGGGAAATGAAGAGGTACAAGCAGTAAGAGTCTTGCATGATTCAGTCAAACAGTCCCCGATGGATTACGTGATGCTCGATACACAAGCCGAATTCCTGATGCAGAAAGCTCTCAATCCCAATGCGCCAGACCTCAAACAAGACAGATTACGGATGGCACTTGGTTGCGCGGATAGAAGTACCGTTGCTGCGCCAAGTGAGTTCGGAACTTGGGCAAGACTGGCAGAGGTATATGTTGCGATGGAAGATTGGGAGAATGCCTTGACTACTCTCAACTCCTGTCCGATGTTCACATACCAGGACAAGGATGCGCCAATCATGCCTGAGCCGAAGGAAATCCATCTTCCAACCCTTCCTGAAACTCGGTTAGATGAGATTGACAGCGAGCCAGAATCCAAGTATCAAGAGCAAGTCCACCCAAGTTTGTTGAGCTTACGTGCTGCTCAATACAAGGGAACCTTCAAACATGCTTATAGCATTCTGACCGAGATGACTGCGAAGATTGGTTGGGATCAGTTGTTGAAGATCCGGAGTAATGTATTCGTGATGGAAGAGGAATATCGCAGTGAAAAGCAGCCAGCACAAGGTGAACCTACCCAGCGAAATGCTAGCACCGACGTACTGAGAGGAAGTCCAGGTCCTCCAGTCAATGGCGATGATCATACCGATGATGGAAAGAGTGTGAATGGAGAGTCGTCTGCCCCAACCTTGGTTGCTGAGAATGGTGTAATTGGTGCATCAGCAGATAAGGAAGTTGAGAAGCCCTCGCATACTATCACTCCCGAGGAGGTGAAAGGTGGAAATGAAGATGTAGGTCTGAGACTTCCCGTGTTGGATGTAGCTAATTTGAGCAGTCCGAGGCAACAGAGGAGCAACTTTCCCGCTTCAACAACAAGCGTCTCTGCGAACGTTGGTTGGACAGTCTCTTCATGGTCCTCTACGAAGACCTCAGAATCTACACCATCTGGCGCACCGAAATGGCTCAATACCGAGCTCAACAAATGCAATACAAGAAATCCGCCGAAGAGTGGGAAATCCTCGGCTCGCTAGCCGACCGTCTCCATCACCAAACCGAAGCGGTAGAAGCTTACCGAGCCTGTCTCTCGATCCGCTTCTCGCCCAAAGCTCTCACTGGTATCCTTGGCGACTTCGAGAAGGAGAAGAACACGAGGGAGACTGTTGCGGCTGTTATCAGGTTGGTTACTTGGCAGTACAGATGGTATTCTGAGTTCAGTCCTGAGTTGCTGTACACTATCCGTACGTTGATTGAGGATGAGGGTGCCGTCAAGGTCAGGAGTATCATTCAGGCCACTAGTCTACCGCAGAATGTCCTGGATCTAACGCATCACTACGCCGCGCTATGTGCAGCTTTCAGAAGTAGTGGAACAGAGGGTTAGTTGCATTGGGGAGAAAGGATACACCTGGCCAGCGAGTATTGAGGCGATACCACGAGCGGTTATTGGGGATTTGCGAGGTGACTTTGGGAGAGTGTGTACATCTGAGGTAATGACGAGATTTTATGTACCAATACAGAAGTAGCTTTGCCCAAAGATTCCCTGAGTTCTGTACACCTACCCCTTGTGTGCTCGCGATTTGCTGGTAGCTACTTCATCACAAATAGTGATTGCAGCTAGGTACGTTTGCTGTTTCTATTTCATTGTAGGTAGTCGTTTGTCTCTTCTCGAGTCTTCCTACTTTGTACTTTATATTTCCCCGTTCCACTGTCTGTATATCAAACTTCTTCTCTGTCAAACTCGCTCCTTCCTCCATGTTCGATATACAGCTATTCCAGCGAAACATACGAGCCGCTCCTTCCCTCAGCCCAACCATCACAAACCCAATCCAATACATTTCTTTACAACCAGCTTCTTCCGAATATTTTTGTCTCCCAACTCGCATCTACTAACATTCTTATCATACATCTATCTATCCAATATCAATTGATCCTTTGCATCGCCTTACTATCGCATCGCGCGTCCTCACACTCACTAACAACAAACAAACAAACAAACAAACATTCATTTGTTCATTATCACGCAGCACGCACCACGCACCACAGTCGCTCTATCATTCATTGTCGTATCTTTCTTCATTGGTGGAGTTGTTTTGGATAAGCGACCAGCGTATTCATCCACTCATACATAGCAGCCGATATCGAGGTCTGAGTTCTGGGCATTCGTCACCATTGCTTGAGGGCAAGTCTGGATCGGAGAATAGAAGGGAGAACGGCGGGATAGAATTCTGGCTGTCCGGGGATAGGGTTCGGTAAAGATTGTGGAGGAGGGGAAGAGTCTGACGCCTATTCGGAGGTATAGAAAGAACGAGAAGTCAAAAGGGATACTGTACAGCAAGGAAGGGAGGAGAACAACTTGAGTTGAAGCTCGCTCGCGGACGAAAACATGGCGGGATTCGACCCTCTGGCGGAAGAGTTTGAACCTTCTGGAGCCGTGGTTTTATGGAATGGTCATCGGGATGACCCTCCTGCTAGAGCTGCTTACCCAGGATTACCACCCGACGCAGTACCTGCACACCTCAATGGGCTTCCAGGTATCAATGAAAACGATTTTCGTGGAAACCCAATAAATGGCAACCTATATCAGATTGTCAAGCTCAAAGAAGAAACTCCTCGCAGCACCCGTGTCTATGTCGTTCATGATATTTCTCGCCAGGAGGAGCTCGCTCTCAAAACCATCAGCGATTATGATCGACAAAGCAAAATGATCTGGGGTCAGAAGAAACAGAAATGCAGAATCCGACAGGAAGTGTGGATACACAATCGAGTTAACCATCATAGAAACATCTGCACATTACATGCAGTGTTTCAGTATACCCCTGTGGGCCATTTATTGATGGAACTTTGCAAGACGGACCTGCAAGCACTGATTGAGCAGTCTTGTAGGTGTCTGCTTCTTACGATATTCCAAGCAACTTCGCGACAATGATCTTTGATTTATTGAAATTCGGACGAAATAAATGCTGACTTTGATACCACCCAAACAGGCCGACAACCCGTAAACCTCAACATTAAGAAGCTCTTTCTGGATACCATCGATGGTGTCATGCATTGTCATCAGCTGAATGTGGCTCATAGACACCTGAACCCTCGTAATGTCGGTATCATTTTCGATGCCAAATACAACGAAGATAAAGCCGTACTGCTTGATTTTGGCGAGGCTGTCAGTGGTCTGATATCGAAGCATTGCCTTGACCTAGATGTAGATTGCTATACGGCTCCTGGTATGTTGATTCAAGGACCAGGAAGATTCAAGCTGGCTAATCTGGTTAGAGCTACACCAAAGGCGAGAAGGCGAGACTCCTACATACAACTGGGCTGCAGCAGATATTTGGTCACTCGGCGTCATACTTTTCTACATGTGTACTGCTTCGAAACCCTTCGATGACAGTATGACCCTATTGGGACCTTACAGACAAGGCCAGCCATTGCAGTCCCGATTTCCCCAAATTTCAGATAAATTGGAGGCAATTTTTCGAGAAATCTTCATGCACAATCCCAACAACAGAGTTCCGCTGGGCAAACTGAAATTGACGATTCTTAAATGTAAAAATTTCTTTTCTGTCAGTTACCGGGGGTCTCAATTGACTGGCACCCTGGGCAATCGAAATCAGGATTTGTTGCGGAATCAACGAGTCGATCAAAGAGATGATGTACATGATGACTTTTATGGAGGGCTATCGGACACTCCATTGGCACTCCCTGCGCCTCCATCCCGACCACAACTCACTTGGCCATTTCAGCCAGATGAACGAGACCAGCCAGTACAGAGACCAAAAGCGCCTGGCTCGGCTCTACCAGCACCAGCTGGGGTTATTGCAGCTCAAACTCTGCCTGAGCAGACTACGGATCTTCTACCAAACATCCTTCCCAAGCCTGTGGCTGATCGGATTGCGGCTGCTCATGAGTCAGCAGATCGGTTCTTTGAGAATAGAAGGAATTGGACTAGGACGTATAGTAATATGGTGGATTATCCTATGTCTGCTCTGCTTCCCTGGCCTCCGCATGGCAATGGGAATCCTCGCCCTCCGATTACTCCTATGTTGATGCCCCCTCAACCTTCTTGGCCCGATTCCATACCTCCGCCGATGCCTGCATACGGCAGTTCGGGTCAGATTGTCCCATTTCAAGATATACCTGCTCAGAACATGCCAGCCATCCCTGCTCAGGGTATGCCTGCTCAGAATATACCCACGCCGAACCCCATGAATATGCCTCCGTGGCAGCCAGAACAACCTCGTGTATTTAGACCACCACGACAAAGAAGACCAGAGCAAGACGTACCCGTACCAAACTCGAACGCGATGGTTCGGAATGCTTCGAATCCGATTATGCCAAGTCAGAGTATGCTTTTGGGGAATGGCAATTCTCGGAATCCACGACCACAGTCTACGCCAGCTCAGAATGTGCCAGTTCCGATTGGCCCTGCTCAAAACACCGTTGGTGCACATTTGCCTTTGAATACTTTTCTGAATGGGTCATCGCGAGTATATCCTGGTGGCGAGCGAGCAGGTCCACCAGGGCTACTAGATCCATTAAGTCGGCCATCTCGTCCACCACCACCGCCATGAGGCGATGGTTTGTCTTTAGGTGGGGAAGGAGTGCGTGATGTTTTGTTGTCACTCCTAACGGCTTCTGGAACTTTCACATCAGCAATTCAGGCGTGGTTTTCGACGCCTTGGGTTGAGATCTTGGCCTGGTCGTTGCATATGTATGTGGATATGAAACGTAGGATTAGGTCTGATGGAGCTATGGACAGCGAAGTAGTATGAGGTGGTATGATTTGGGTTACCAGCGTTTAGCACCACTTGAAGTATGCATAGCAGATTAGCGAGCGTCACTTGAATACAAATATTCCGAATTCCTACAGCATGCAAACAACTCCCTACCTCTTTTAAGTCCAGCCAAAACGACTCAAATACATTGACAGTAGGGAGTCTAGCCCCTATTCCAAATCAAAACAATGTATTGCTGATTATGTAACCTCCCAAGCGAGATTTCCAAGCATGAATGACCCCGCCGAATCTTCCAGCGGCTGGCGGCGGCGAAGACGAGACCCCGCCATTTTGTTTGGACGTCACTCCTTCATCATCGTACATAAAGCACACATCCTACGACCACAGCATTCCCCCCTTCTGCCAATATTAGAAATTTATACCAATCCAGCGACCAGATATCTCGACGTCCCAACTGAATTCCGCAGATTGTCGACAATCAGAACATCAGAACGCAGGAAGAGAAGGCAGGACACAAAACGAACCCCGCCACGTCCGCATCCACTACACGACACACGTCCAACAGCCAGCAGATAGGGAGACGCAGGCAGACAGATAGAGAAAATAGATAGAGAAGATACGGGTAGAACGACACGAAAATGCTCGAAATAACCTCCCTCTCACACTTCAACGCCCTCAAATCCTCCTCTTCCCTCCTCATAATCGATTTCTACGCTACCTGGTGCGGACCGTGTAAGGTTATCTCGCCGGTGTTTTCAAGACTTGCGACGCAGCATGGCTCCTCTGGAATCGTCTTCGCACAAGTAGATGTCGACAAAGCAAAGGATGTAGCGCAGACATGTGGTATAACGGCTATGCCTACATTCCAGTTCTTCCGCGGAGGGAAGAAGATCGATGAGGTGAAGGGGGCGGATAGTCAGCAGCTGAGTACGAAGATTGGGTGGTGGGTGGGGGAGGTTAAGAAAAGTGACGGGAGGGGAGGGGGTGCGAGTGGGAGTGGGACTTCGACCGCGGCGAAGGGTAGTGCTGGTACAACACAAGGTGGGAGTTCGAATGGGGGTGCGAGTGCGGGAAGTGGAGGACCAGGGAGTCTGAGGAGTTTGATTGATGTTGAGAAAGGGCGATTACTGAACGCTACATTACTTTCGAGCATACGAAACATTGCGAGTCCGCCGCCGGCGGGATATTCCCTCGCATCAACATCCTCCTCCCCCAAACTCCTCATCTACATCCCCTTCACCTCACCCATCTACCCCTCCTCCCTCACCATCCGCGTCGCCAAAGGTTCCGATCTCAGCACCGCCCCATCAAAACTTACAATCGGATCCAACGTCCCTGTCTCAGTTCGGAAAATAGAGGATAAGAAGACCGGGGAGGTGAGGGAGGAGAATGATTTGGATATGGAGGGGAGTATGGGGAGGGCGGAGAATGAGCAGAGGTTTGAGGTGTTTAGTGATGAGTTTGTGGATGGCGTGGTTACGTTGAAGTTGAAGGGGAGTAAATTTGGTGCTGGGGCGAGTGGGGGGAAGGGGGTGAGGAGTTTGTTGGTAAGGGTGGAGGGGAATTTGAGTGGTGGGGAGGGGGGGACGACGAAGATTGGGGAGATGGATGTGTTGGGCGTGAAGGCTTGAGGGGGTAGAGTTGAGCTTTGTTACATGTAGCGTGCAAGTGTAATGATACCATTGTTTGAATTTCTTGGTTTCTTGCCTTTTACTTTTACTTTTTATTTTGCGAGTCTGTGAGGTTCAGATTGTGTTCGATATGATATTCCTCATCACTGCCTCCTGTTTCCTGATATACCCGTACTAGAAGTAAACGAGGTCATGCAAGTAAAGAGAAGAGATTCAAAAGGGGAAATATATTAGCCTCCTGAGCCGTAACGAGACGTAGGATTGATGTAGCTCCTAACGTTTGAGCATCCCCTTCCCCTCTAACCCCCCAGTTCGTAAGGGGTGACCGCTTGTGTCAGTGCTCTTCCCATCTGGTTGTTTGCTGTCTAGACCACAAAATCTGGGACGAAGAGAAGTAGAAAAGGGAGAGGGGGTATCGATGTCGATATCAAGTGTGCCGTGTGTGGTGGGACACGTAGACTAGAAAATACACTTCCTAGTCAAGACATTCTAATTAATCAATAATCAAGACGGATAGCAAAAGCTAAGCAGTTATTTTTCAGGGGATAATAACGAATTTTCATGCTTCTAATCGCTCTACGTTGTGTAACTGTTCTCGCAAGACGCCGACTTTGGGGTACTCCATGTGCTTTATCAGCCAATCAATATCGACGTCGATGGAGGCATTTCCTTTGGGGTTATGCAGAATTGGAATTTGCTTGCATGTGCTTCAATTTGGCTGTAGGAGTTTTAAAAGCTAGGAAAAGGAGAGCTGTTGCTTTCGGCTTGGTGAAGCTTCTCACACCACGGAGGTGAGAAGAGGAGGATATATCACTGGAGTACATATTGATCCCTTGCGTGAAAAGTTACCTCGACTGCATTACTACGAAGACTGTATGGGGTGAGAGTGGATTGTGTGGGATGGGAAGGGGTTATGAATGCTGCCAGTTACAAAGTTCCTAACAATTCCTCCTGCAACGTCCGTTGAAGACTCCCAATGTTTACCTGATCTATCTACCATAACTTCTGTTCTACTCTCGTAACAGATACCTCCTTCAGGAAGTGGAGCTCCAGCTCGCCGTTGGACCAGGTAACGCCGATGTTCTCCCCATCGTATTGCGAAATGAGTTGCCATACCCCCTTTCTGGATACTATTTCCTTTCCATTTGCTCGAACAGATTGTGGGGTCGTACTGCGAGACTTAGACTTGAATACCCCCAGAATCATTTTGTCGTAGGAATAAGAGTTGCAGTCTCCCACAAGATTTGCCCGTAGAATGATTGGAGCATCTTCGTCAATGGTACAGGGTGCATCGGGGATGATGAAGAGGAGTTCATAGACATTCCCAGAAATGTAGATTGTGCCATCGTACTTCCTCATCCTGAAGTTGGTGATTTTGGTCCCGCCAATGTCCAAATCGAACGGCCTCCAAGAGTCGATTTCTGGTGGCATACCCAAAATCACCTGCGTTGATTTGTCTATGTCCCAGAAAGAAATTGTAGAGCCATGAATTCTGAGATTTTGGCACGACGAGGAGAGTCTCTTTGGAGGTTTTAGTTCCTCTCTGTTGTGTGGAATATGAGATGCACGTGCTACCACCAAACCCATTGCATCACTTTGGGCCTGCCAGTCCAAAGCCCTCCACCATTGTGAGCCCCCATCGGCGAGATGTTTCCTCAGAGGTTTCGCCCCTTCGAACTTGCGCCCACAACCAGTTGGGATAGCTTCTCTTTTTGAAAGATTCGATGGGCCGTTAAATTGACATGTCCAGATTCCTTGGTGAAGTAGATACTTTGGGTATTTCCAGTCTTTTTTGCTCATGGCGAGCCTTAATTCATATGCCAGTTCGAAAAAACAAAAGTTGTATCTAGTTTCCAAAATAGATCGGAGGTGAGCCACAAGGCCATCTTGCCTTGCGAATTTCCTCCCACAGCCCCAGTCAACATCCTCCCCACTCACATCCACAACCCCTTGGCAAACGAACTTCCTCTCGGTACTATGCAAAAGCTCATGGCGTTTCATGTCCTTCAATCTTGCAAAGCCTTTCGAACATGAGCTGCATTGGAATGGTCGTTCGCCAGTATGTGTTCGGACATGATGGGCTAGGGTTGCTGAGCGCGTGAATGCTTTGGCGCAAATGTCACATCTGTATCGCGCTGTCTCTTTCGTTTTTGGTGGAGTCGTGGTCTGAGGTTGGAGGGTTATTTCTTGAGATGTATCTGGGCTTTGGGTGGTCATGATTGATCTTCGATGATTGGAATATTTGTTCCGATGAAGTGGATCGAGATGCTCAGCGTGGTTCTCTGGGGAAGAGGCTAGATAGTGTCAGGATTTATGGTATTCTTGTCCGCTATTGGTCATTTACTTGCTTGAAAAGATCAAGATAGTTGTAGTGATGTCTGAATCTTGACTTGGAAATCGGTTTTGGGAGTTAAGTAGACGACTGTGGTTGAAGGTTAAGACACACAGAATGTAAACAAACGGAGCAGAGCATTGTTCTCGAAGAGATTCGAAGTGACAGCGACGAAAAATATAGACAAACCAGCGAGGCTGCTCATCCAAACGACCTGTTGACCGCAAGATTCTGCGTCGCCTTGGACAGGGCCCGCTCACCATCAGATGCTGGCTTGCATGGTGGCTGATGCTCAGCCCTCGCTTAAAGTGCTCAAAGTTATCACCGCTCAGGGTGACGCAACCTATCCCGACCAAACAACAGGCTGCCGGTTGGTTGATGTGAGCCAACCACCCTCCTTGCTGTTTCTTTCAGGGATTGACAGCGGATTTTCCTCAAGGCGACGCAGCTGCGTAGCGGGGCCAAAGCACTCGGGCGTACTGCAGAATAGCACCCGCTAGCCTACCTGCCTGCCTCGACTGCGTCGGCTTGAGTCCGTGGCCCTGTCCTGTACTTAAGACAGACGCCACTCACAGTCTTACCCTCCGTAGTTAAATTACTTGACAGTGCAAATAAGTCACATAGGTAGCTTCGGTACATAGCACAAGGCGACGCAGACTTCAGGGGCGATGTCGGTCTGCTAAATGGACGAATCATCCCAGACACTGAGCTGTCATAGCACATTGTGATATCTGCGTTGCCTTTACCTGAATCTACCAGTCGTTAGCTGCATCGAATATATGGACTAGTAAACACTGCGTCCTCCGCGGTACGGGCATTTCTCGCGAGCCATACCAAGGCGACGCAAAGCTTGCCCACTGTTGGAGAAGAGCCCTGTATGGTCGATGGCTGTGCCGTTGCGTCTTTCAACAGAGAGAGTCCCTCCCAAACTATGTGCGTCGCCTTCAAGCCATCGAGTTCAAGACATGCCATGATGCTTCGGCTGCGAACTTGGACGAGGAACTGAGCGGCGCAGCTAGTAAAGAACAAAACCACCCCTCAAGGCGACGTAGTACATGTTCCCTCCAAGATCATGATTTTGAGTGGATGAAATCCCAATCATCTTTGTCTTCTCATATTCGTGCATGGGATTTGCGTCGCCTTGGGCTCCTCAACATCGACAGAACCTATCTCTCAGCAAGTTCACAGCCTGGACTACACCATGTAGAGAACCTTCCATAAGGTGACGCAAGCCCCACTCTAAACTTCGATATGGCCCATTCAAGATTCTTTGTGAATTTCTTCGTATTCTTTCAATCAAATTCTGGTTTCTGCGTCGCCTTGAAGTGTATCGAAATGGTGTTCGGCGCTGCTCCGACATGGCGACGCTGTTTTGCTGTCCAGCCCATTGCGGCGACGCAGACTCCCTCTACTAGACTTATGTGCCCACAGCCCATTCCCATTTACTACTTAATCCCCAGTTACTCACTGTCAATGTGAGTTTTGAAATCCTCTTCACCAACTTTCTAAACTGTACACAGACAGAAATCAGACATCGGACTCCTCTTACATCCCAACTCAAAATTCCTCTGCTGCTACCATGTCCGAAAACCTCTGGACTCCCGAGATCATAGCGACTATCGTGCACAGAGTAGTCATGGTGTTCGTCAGCTTGGCCTTCATCTGGAAGGAGTATCGCCAACAACAACCGCAATTTGATGGTAATGTCCACTCCCGACTACTCCACCAATATCCTCCAACTTCCCAAACTTCACTTGACGGTATTCATTCCTAACACATCCAAAACAGAAGAGCAGCTTATCAGTATCCTCATACAAAGACAGACCTTGTCACCTGCCATTGGCATGACTTCAGCACGGCAAGTTGACGACCAGGTCGATGTTCGACAGCCACCGAGACTGCGCGACCATTTCCGGGCCAACTCGAATAACATATTTGCATCTGCCCTTGGTTTCGACAATACATCTCAAAATGCTGTACCTCTCCAGAACTTGAATCCACTGCCAGTGCCTCATTCCCGAACGGCATCCAACAATCCACTAGAACTTCGGCAGATGAACGTCACTTCGGCAAGCCCACTCCAGTCGACCTCTCTGCCAGCCTCTGATGGGCAGACAGCACCATTATCTCCCCTAGGAGAAGTTACACTGGCTCCGACTCTCACAAGTCGTCCAGTCTAAGATTTTCTGTCTGAAACACACTGAAAGGCACTCGAACTTGTTTGCGAACCAAGAAAAATGAAAGGGAACTGGGTTATATTGACATGGAGACATTGAAGAGAAAAAGACTTGGTAATATGGCCTGGGAGACAACTTGTACTCGCCACAACCTGCACTATTAGCTTTACGGTATGGGCGGCGTTGACTTCGTTTATGGAGAACTGCGAAATAGATCAGATCGAGTATACACAATCTCTGGAAGTGAAACTTGATAATCTCATGTGATGCGCCTTGGGAAGTCTAGGGAGCACGTCTGTCTACGCCTCTCATATCGACCTCATCATGTCGTAGTCTAGTGAAGCTCAGACCTCATTCCATTCCTCATTCAACCGATGCTCGAACGCGTGGTAAAGCTCTCTGTATTAATTCACAGACCTTCGCTGAGCCATAATGTTGATGGTGCTGTTGTCAGGGGAAGGTCAAGCAAATCTTCTTTGAATGGAGACGGGAAGACGCGAGTCACGAGACTTTTCCTTCCTGCCTCTTCTGCTGTCACCATTACGCGAGAATTCTTCACCATCCCATAGCAGCCTACTCCACAAAAGCAACAACAATAAAGACAACAACACCATATACGCGATTCATAGAGACTATCTCATCGATCAGAGATGAAGTTGACGCTCGCGCCATGCCATCTCTCGTTGTTCACCTCAGTCTGCCTGCCAGGATTTTCAGACGTGATGACTGAAATTACAAGAAAAGGCAATAGCAGGTGTTTTCAATCATTCTTCCACATAGGTGCTGGTACTACCAGACTGGTGATCAAGACCAGAAGCTGATATGAAGCCACAGTTTACAGGAGGAATTTCCAAATTGAACGAATGTTTGCACAGATAGCGGCAGTCAAAGCAGGCTGGCAAATTTTGTGTGATTGAGACTTGATCTTGACGACTCGCTCGAGCTGGAAGGGCGAAGAGGAGTTGAGGAGAAGTTGAGGAGGCAGGGAAAGTGGTGTCATCGACTCATCGGAATCTTCGGCCTTGGCTCTGCATGTATTCCAGCCTGCCGACCATCCGGATTTCCCGACCACCACAACCAGCTCTTGGGATTCAACCCAAACATTAACTACCACACCTAAGAAACACCAGTTTCTTTGACGACGTCGAGGGATTATTTTTGGAGTATAAAAACGTCGGCCAAGAGCAGAAATGCCAAGCCATGAATGGCAAACTGGGCAAGACGCGGATGCCCGTCACACTACATGTCTGTGTCAATTGGCTTGGAAAATATGCCATGGATGAAAGCCGAGGAGCCAGTCCCTTTGCAATTCAAGCATTGGCTTTTCGACGCAAAAATTAAGGTGAAAGTGCAGCTAGTTAAGTACGCCTTCCGTAGCTCAAGAGTGCTGGTGTGAAGACATGAGCAACATCAGCTACAATATCATCGGAATCCTTTCTATCAGTCCTCAAAGAGTCACTCGATACCACGGGTGAGGTTGGATGTTGGTGCCGCTTCACGAACGTTATCCCAGCCTCTCGCTAAACCCCCCTGAGTCTCCGAAGAGGTGCTTTTCAGCTCAGGGGCAAACCACGTGATTGGTCAAAAGAGATAACGTGGCGTTTGTGCAAATTACTGGCATACTAGCCATCCTATTCTGGGTGTGGGGTACAGTTTAAGCTTAGATAAAGTGCGGTGGATGGGAGATTTGGATGTGACAAGTCCCGAACTTAGACAAAAGTATTTGCTAATCACTCGCTATAGCTCCTCGGCAACTCGTATTTGGCCCCAAAGAAACAAACGCGACGTGCCGCTGCCCCCAGGAACGTGCTGATTTCGCACGTCATTTCGAGCTGGACTGGCGATGAGGGGGCGGGATCGCTGTCTAGTCTGCTGGCCCAGGGGTTGCCAAGCGGCTATTGAACCCTAACAGATCGACTACCGTCCATAGTTGATGTTTCCCCAGAAAATCAAGAGCTCGACTCAGGACGAATGCCTACTGCTCAAGACACAAAGAACATGAGAAAGAACATCCAAGAGCTTCCAAGAATGCAACTGATACGAAAACTTGATATCAGACAAAGAGTTGTTCGATGATTCGATGTCGTCACAATTTTCGGCTTTTGTTGAGAGCACATTTTGTCTTTCGTATGATTGGTTTTTACTTGGCCGCGCGCAAAAGAAACCCAACTTACAGTTTTAAGGCGCAAGCCTCTTCAGGTCCCTCTTGGTGCAAGTCGGCCAAGCCACTTCTGTGAAGCTACGAAGTTGATATGACAGAGGCCGAAATTGCATCTCTCTAGACAAGATTGGAGGCTTACAGCCACCTCTTGTATAAACACCGCAACTCCTATCCTTCTTCCTCTCTTCCTCTCTCTCTCTCTCTCTCTCTCATCCTCTTCATCCTGCTGTTACTATCGACCTACACTTGCATATTTTTGCACCACATTCGTTTCTCAAAGTCTCTCGTTCAACTCTCATAATGAAATACAGCTTCACCTTCCTCGGCCTTGCGGCCCTGGCTTCTGCCCACGATTTTACCTCCATCTACAACGTGACTGCCACCCCATACGAAGTCGTCAACTCCGCAGGCGAGTCTACTCCAGGTCCATATGGCGCCAAGGGTCAATACAACTATGCCATTGACTCGAAGACCGACACTATCTGCTACGTATGTATTTCTTTTAAGCTGTTCTTCCAAATGATACAAGATTTCGAATCAGTTACACGAGATCGATGTCGTCTAAGCCAGAATCATGTTTTCATCTTTGAAGTCAAAACATCACTAACTCTTTACATAGGACATCACACTTGAAGGCGTTGTTGGAGAGTACCGATCCCCAGCCAAAACCGCAACCCACATTCACGAGGGTGCCAAAGGAAAGGCAGGACCTCCTCGCATTGCCCTTCCAAACCCCGTCGGTGATGACAAATATCGCCACATCTCCGGCTGCTTGACTGGTCCTTTCACCACTGGCATCCTTGGTCCTGACAATGTCACCGATACTGGCTGTGGCTTCAAGCTCTCTCAAATTGAGGCTAACCCAGCCGGTTTCTTCACTGATTCCCACACTGTCCTTTATCCTGCTGGTGTTGTCCGTGGTCAGCTCGACTACAAGTACGAAATCATCAAGCCAAAGCACGACGGTTATCCTCATGACCCCGAATATCCTGTTTCCACCAAGAAGGAGGACGGCCATCCCACTAAGAAGCCAGAGCCCACTAAGTACCCTGAGGACTGCACGACCAAGAAGGATGACGGCCATGATTATACCAAGAAGCCAGAGCACACGAAGTACCCCGAGTACCCAGAGTACCCAACAACGAAGAAGGATGATGGCCATGTGACCAAGAAGCCAGAGCCAACAAAGTACCCTGAGCACCCAGAGTACCCAACTACCAAGAAGGATGATGGCCACGAATACACCACTGCTACCTACACCAAGACCTATGAAATCACTGTCTCCAAGTGCAAGGAGGAGGTGACCGACTGCCCATACAAGACCAAGCCAGTCGTTACCAAGACTTATGAGGTCTACACTGTATGTTTACCTACTTTTATCTTGACTCGACTCGTGCTAATTGCTCCAGACCGTCTGCCCCAAGTCCGAGGTCTCAAAACACTACCCACAAAAGACTGACAAGCACGACTATTACACAAAGCCAGTGTATGAGACGAAGACCTACTACGAGACGGTTACGAAGGACCACAACAAGTATGAGACCAAGACCATCAAGTCCGAGTACCCAAAGCACACCACCCAGACCAAGTAGTAAGTCTCAATATTCCGTCCCTTTGAATTATACTAATTCGAATTTCCTTGTAGCGAGACCGTCACGATCACCAAGCCTGGATACTCGACGCCAACCTACGAGACCAAGACCATCAAGACTGAGTATCCCGTCTACGAGACAGTCAGCTACCCAGTCCACGAGACCAAGATCAACGAGGGCGTCCCCTCCAAGCCAGTTGAGACATACCCAGTCCACGCCACAACCACCTACGCCGGCCCCATCGCTTCCGGAACCGGCTACCCCAAGGCAACCCCCACCTACGAGTTCACCGGCGCAGCTGGCTCCAACAAGGTCGGGGGTCTCCTCGTTGTCGCTGGTCTCGCCGCTGCTCTCTTGTAGGCGTCGCTTCTTGGTAGAAAAAGGCATTGCATTGTTCCTGCGTCGGCGTACACGGGGCGGGCGTGCATTTTTTGGTTCAGAAGAACCGTGTGACGAGTAATGTAATGTGTCGTCACGTTTATTTTCTTTGTATATAGTTCATGATAATACTCTCATCGTTTGAGCCCTTTGGCCAGGCGGTTGATTGAGATGCTGAGGCGAAGGGCTGAAGCTATTTTATAAAGTAATAACAATACTTTCTCGGGATTGATGTCGTGCATTTTATGTGATTTGATGTAAAGTGTGTTCTAGCTTGAGTTACTGCACCGCACTGTATCATCTTGCACCAACTTCATTGACGTTCGTTCCGCCTTAGGTCAGTTCAGGGGAGGTGAATTTAATGAGGTAAGAAAGAGCCAGCCCAGCATGACAAGCAGAAACAGTTTCTACCTCCACAATATAATCAATCCTTGAACAGCATAAATAAGTAAGTGGAAATCACATCCATGGCAAACTCAGGCCCATCAACAATCTCACGTCAGCAGAACCCATCACTGCTGTTGCTGGTACAACTTCGGCCCAAGTAGTGGAGCACCTAAATCCAACGCCAAGCGGCCACAACACCACCAGTCTCCAATTTTTCGGCGGACCGTCCCATTTTCCACCACATCATAAAACAGCTTTATTTATGGCACAGCAGCCGCAGCGTGTAGCCAAGAAATGAAACTTGAGGGTCAAATCCTGTCTGCATGCATGTCAGCCCTACCCATGTGGTGGTCCGAGTGGAGCGGCTGTCCAAATCGGGTGTGCAGCTCGGCGGCGCTGGCACACTGGAGATGAAGGATCGTCGTGATCCTGGTAATAAGTTGTAACGCTGAGAGGGGCTGCAACAAGGTGTTTTGGGGGGCTGTTTGGAGAGTTATATATCTGCTTTTCCCCATTGAGTTTTGAAGTTTTTTACTTCTGGTCACGTTCGCTTTCACGTTCAAAATCTCCCTTTCGAATTGCTCGCCTGGCTGTGCATCTTGAAATCACAGCCACAAAAAATGACTTCCTCATCTTCACGACTCAGCATCCTTCTCCTGTCAACATGTCTCCTCACCCCAATGCTCGCCCTCAGCTCCGACGAATACTGCGACCTCCCCAGCTGGAACCCCACAAAGCCATTCTCGCCATGGTTCAAAGCCTGGACAAACGTAACCAGCGGGCCTGGCGGCGACGATCCAAACTTCGTAAACAACATGGCATGCTGGTGGTACGCAGACTGCATTTTTGGCCTAGTAGCTGAGACCCGCAAACAGCAATATGGCGCGATTTCTATCGTGATGGCGCTGATTCCTCTGATATTGAAGGATATTGCTTGGCCGGAACAGAGGCTCGTTATGATTTCGAGTCAGAGGAATTGGGCGGTGGAGATTGTGGTTAGGGGGTTGGGGTTGAATCCTGTTATTCCGGAGGATCGATCGAGGTTTCATGCAGGGAGGTCGTTTCATCCGGTTATTTCGGCGGCGATACTTTTCTTTCTTGTGGTGTTTTTGTTGGTGTCGTATGGACTTTTGGCTGTGATGGAAGTGTACTCGAAGCGGTCGTCGTTGGGATGTCCTGTCCCTGCATTCGTTGTCCTTTGGTTTATTGTTGGCCTAGCTCCAGCTACGGTTGAAGTCGCGATTGGAAGATACCGAGAACGGAGTGCTAGGAACAATACTGCGAAGCTGGAAAAGAATGGAGTTCCGCAGAATGGAGAAGCGGGTTCGGGCAAGTCCACTGTGGTGGTGTCTGGAGACGAAGAGGCGCAGAATGTCAGAAATGGGTATAGCGCTGTATCGACAGGTGGACCTCTGGGTGGTTCAGACGGAGAGAGCAAGCATGGTGAGAACGGGACGCCCCAGGTATCGAACAATATCCAGGGTGGAGAGCAGCATTGGGTGGCACAGTTCTGCTGGGGACTATACTACTCTGGCGGCGGATTGATATTTACTTCTATCATGTTGGTGACAGTGGTTGAGCTTTTTACTTGGATGTTATCGGCTGGATTAGCCAGTGCCGCAGGCAAAATGCTGGGGTATAGATTATGTGGATATTGGGGGCCGAGAGTGAAGAATGGATGAAGCATGCGTTGGATTTAGATGTAGAAGGTCGAAAGTGGATGGGCTGAATAGATTCACTGGTCACTCGCGAATACTTGGGATACCTAGAGGGGGCTTTCAAGACGCAATTCAGAAAATTCCTAAGATTTTAAGCGTTCATGAGAATCCTAAGTTCTCTTCTAGAATAAAGCACAGCCACTCAAAACGGCACAAGATAAGAATTCTTCCACTTCGCGTACTCCTGAAATCAGAGAGCCTAAATACAAATGCAATGTTACCGGCGTAGAACGCGGCGCAAATCCTATTGGATGGGATGATGTTTACTTCGCTTGGCACAAGCGAGTGTTTATGGCATGCATTCCGGAAGTACGCGAGACCTCGGTGAGATTGCCATGCATATGTACCCACGAGATGAGGCCAATGTACCGTGATAACAACCACAACAGAGTTATTGATTCCAGCGTAGGGAGACTTCTGCATTCAATGCCGGAGAGGTTGTCTCGGTCTTTGGATAGTGATGCATGTGCCTGGACTTCGAGACCCAGCATATTGGGCACTTAAATGTGTTTCGATTGGGCTGCACTGCCTTCAGTATATGGATTGGATACACTGTTACCCATGGCACAATCGCTGGAAGGGTACTTACTTGAACTAGGTCGCACCTGGCCTAAAGCGGTGCCGAAACTTCTTCGTCCTATTGCCGAGGAACCCCCTATGGCCTTTTAATTTCTTGTCACAAGATCGGAGAGGCTTCATCAAGGCCGGCGGAGTGTGTATGATTTGTCCCAAAGGCTTTCTGCGATAAAGATCAAAACGTTCTAGTAAAGTCTCGGAAGAAATACAAGACCCACATTGAGAGTGCTTGGTCCGGACCACTTCAAACACATCGGTCCTGTCAGAAGACATGAGAACCACGTGATTGAGCCAATGTGAATCGATTCAAATTGCCCTAAATTGCATGCTCACTAAATATTCCGGGAAGTCAATAGGTATGGAAATCAAAAATCTCAAGGACGACCCCGAACTAAATCATAATTCTCCTTCCCGCCGATTCCTTGGAATTTCGCTTGTCAATACTCCTGTAGTGATTTTCATCATCAAAGCCAAATGCGCTGAATTTGTATCTAATTCGTCGACTGAATCAATACCACAAGACTTTCGGAGTCCTCTGATACGCTCAACCACGATTGAAATAGTCTCACATGGGCTTTGCAGCGCTACAAGAAGTACGAGTGTTCCAATTTCAGTCTCTGACCCTGGGTACTGTCACCTACCTTTATTATACCCAAATTGAATCTCCTACATGGTCAATTGTCATACAGGTATATGGCTCTATGGTAAGACGTTGCGTCATGATTCGATTTTCTGTTTGTTTTGCCGTGTGCTGTGCTGGAAATGGAATGGTGCTTTCGCTCCGTTGGAATCCTGCCATTACTCTTCTCTTTTCGTCGGTATTTGCATATTGCAGCTTGTCCTCAATCTGAACTTCAAACACTCCTCCAAACCAAAACATGTCAATTAAGTTAGTTGCAGCACATTTGAATTCCAAAGGACGCAGATATCCTTACAAACCCACGTGATGTCCTACCCAGTCCTGCCGCTGCCCGTAGCAGGCACCCCAGCAGTCTAAAATCTCTTCGAGTGGCAACGCCCCACGAAAAATCGCATGAACACAACGCACAAAACGTCTTTTGTGTCCCACCCCTGAGATCAACCTATGCAGTGATCTGACAGCTCAACTGCGTGCTACCGACAATTCCGGGCCACGACGTCCCGACACCATATTCGTACCCAGTGGTGGCTGCATGCCATTCGTTGGTGTGTTTATCTTGGCAGGTGGGTTAAGCTTTGTGCTTATCAGCAGGATGAGCTTGACTGGCCTTGGCGATTGCGTGGCTTATGTACGGCATGCGAGTAGTAGGTGAATCTGCGAGACTGAAATCTCCGAAGATTATTGTGAGGATTTGAGAGGGGTGAGATGATAGGGGCTTGATTTAACGTGGAGTTACAAAGGTTCATTCTTTGGCTTCATAGTATGTTGTTTTGGAGATCAGATATTCAGGTCGTGATGAGTTTCCAGAATCAGCTTACGAAGGCGAAGCCTGAATATTACGATTGTCCCCTTCTACAATCTCAACTCATTGGTTTTAGCAAATTTCCAAGGAAGCTTGAAACCGCCATGCACTACGACCATAAAATCGACAGGTCCTCGGCGCTCGCCGCTATCAAAAGAGGGGCGGCAACTCCGTGTCAGAACCCCACAATCTTGACCCCCTTTGACATCTAGCCAAACTCAATTCGCCGCTCAAAGACCCTCGACCTGCCAGATCAAGTCTAGCTGTACATCCGTTATCTTTTTTGACGTGGTGGCGGGCCCCTCGTTGTGTGTGTGCGCGTGCGAGAGGGACACAGAACATCGTTATCTGGTCGCACGACGACCCGGCTGATCTTGCTGTGCGAGGAGATGATTCGTTCGTGGAAGGGAGTTGGTCCTGTTTCTGGAAGATGGAAGGGCATGGGGTGGGCGTGGGAGAGAGTACATAGGGAGGGGGGCAGCTGTCTCCTACTGCATTGTTGGAGCGGCTTTTTCAACCCCATTAATTTTCAGCTACTGAGAAGTTGACTTCAGCATGTCTGACTTTGTTCACGGCGATCAAGCTGACGTGCGGCACACTCGCGATGTCAAGCATCTTCATGGCCATGACCTGGAGTCCGGATCAGATAAGGAGTTCAAAGGCGGGCGAGGTGCTTCTCACGATGTCGAGACCGAGTCGCAAGATATAATCGTGGCTCGAGAACTTCAACAGAAGAAAGGTTTCCTACGCTCTATGCGTCGTGGAGAAGAATGGCTTGACGAGAAAATGGGTATTGAGACCCAGGGTATCGATCGAATCCACGAGGAAGACAAGAAGCCGCCGTCAATACTCAATGTCTTCCTCCTCTGGTGGTCTATGACATGCCATGTTGGAACTGTTCCTCTGGGCATGCTTGGTCCAGAATTCGGGCTATCTCTGGATCAATCCATTGCCGCTGTGGTTGTTGGAACAGTTCTTGGTGCCCTTTGTACTTCATTTACTGGAACTCTCGGTCCAAAGGTAAGCCTCCATCGTATCTCCAGAAGCAATACAGTCTAACATCCAACAGCTCGGTCTCCGTCAAATCGCAGCTTCTCGATACTCCTTCGGCTTCTACGGTGCCAAACTCTGCTCTGTCCTCAACGTTGTCATCGGCGGTGGCTTCGCAGTCGTCAATGTTGTGGTGGTCGGACAAATCCTCGCCGCAGTCTCCAACTACAACATGCCGCTCGCCGTAGGCTGTATAATAATCGCCGTTATCTCCTATGTGATCTCGATCTTCGGATTTGCGCTCATCCACACCTTCGAGAAATACTCCTGGATCATGACATTCATCCTGCTTATCATCCTGATGGGCGAAGTAGGCGATAAAGTCGATCGAAGCCTGCCATCTGAAGGGACGAGTCTATCGATCGCGGGATCGTTTTTGTCTTTCATGGCGATTTGCTTTTCGTCTTCCTCGGGATGGTGTTCAATGGCTTCGGATTATTACTGTAATTATCCCGCTACCACCAAGTCCTGGAAGATCTTCTTCCTGACTCTTTTCGGGATTACGATCCCCACCGTCTTCGCAACTGCAGTTGGATCCTGTCTAGGCAACGCAGCAATCACCAACGGGGCTGCGAATCCCATTCTGGCGGAAGCATATGAAGACCATGGCTTGGGTGGACTTCTGAGGGAATCCTACCATCCAATGGGATTCTCGAAATTCTGCCTTGTTCTCCTGGTTTTCTCTGTCCTGGGGAACAACATCGCGATCAATTATTCTTCGGGCCTGTCACTCCAACTTCTAGGCCATTACTTCCACGCCATCCCTCGCTTCATCTGGTCCTTCCTCAACGCCCTCGTAATCGCCGTCCTCGCCATCGCTGGCCGAGAACACCTCTCCATAATCGTCAGTAATTTCGTCTCGCTTCTCGGATATTGGACTATATCATTCACATTCATCCTGCTTATCGAAGACAAATATTTCCGGAAGACCGAAGGGTATGATCTGAATGTCTGGGACGTGCCAGAAAAGCTGCCATGGGGTCTTGCGGCTGTGATGGCACTGCTGGCGGGGTATCTGGGAGGTGGTGTGCCCGGGATGTCGCAGACGTGGTATGTTGGGCCGGTGGCGCTGAAGTTTGGGACGTATGGTGGGGATGTGGGGATCTATATGTCCGGGGCGATTACGTTGTTGGTTTATCCGCCGGCGAGGTGGTATGAGAGGAAGGTTACGCATCGTTAGGGGTGGGAGAGAGGATACCGGGTGATGTTTAGAATAAATTGAACAATATAGTAACTTAAGTTGGATGTGGAATCTTAGTTTGAGATTGAAATCAAGAGCTATTACGTGGCTCTACAACACAATCACTTTCACTTACCTGTTTTCCACTTCCTGTGTATCAAGTAGTTTGCCTGTCATCTATCTTTTGTCATTCCTCCTCGTGGAGGTACAAATGCTGAAAGTCGGATAGCTCAATGGCTTCGCATGTTGCAGTGACCCGTTCCCTTCTCGCTTGAAGGGCAAACTCAGCAAAGCTGGAATCTTTTGATTTTCGAACGCTGGATACCGGTCATTGAGTTTTGGAAAGCAAAGAGATGAGAACTAGATCTCATCGCTCATTTTACTGGTCACAAATGACCTCATAGTATCTAATGCATGTTACAATAATCGACAAGGAACCAGGGCATCGGAAACGTGACAACTGTTCCACGTGCTATGGACACAAGATACAGGCAGATGACTGACACGCGGTATTACACAGGTCTTGCCTAGGTACCCTCGAAGTACGTACCTGCATACACTGCTCTTTCATTCTCGATTCCCAGTTCTGTAAAGTCTCCACTGAGGATCCCCCTTGCACAAGAAAAATGGGAAAATCCCGAGCACTCTACCCGCTTACTTATTCTAGAAACAAAATTTAGTAATCGAAATCCTTCTAGTGTAAGACAGTTATTTCCACTTTGCTGTATCAGTTAGAGAAGACATTTCAAATGAAGCTATCGGGATTATATCTCCGAGATCTCAAGCCATAGGATAACCGAGCATGTGATTGGACAATGGCATTTCTATTCGATACAACCTTGAACCAACCATCCGGCAGTTGCTAGTTGCACGGTTCGCATAAGTAGTAAACGGCTCCCACAACACCATCACACGGTTCCTGAATCTCGAATCTCATCCCAAGCGAAGTGTTAGTTTATTGATGATTAACCTCGATTTTACCATGTTCAGTTGTTGGGGTCCGAGATGCAGATTTATCCACTCGCTTCCGCCCACATCATTTTCTACTGGATCTGGGGCTGGGGCTCGGGAGCATGGGGGCCGTGCCATACAGTATGCATGCAGGCTTTACCCGGTTCGTCAATAAGGTACAAGCTTATCTCACCAGGAAAGCTTAAATCTGGTCGGTACTGAGGGGTAAATTAATATTGCATCACACTCAAGACTTAGGGGCAGTAGTGGAAAGAGAGAGAGGGAGATATAAGATGACGTCTCTTCCGTCTTAAAGATTGGACCTTTGGTTCGTCGGATGTCACTTAAGCTTCGTCGCTGGTTCATTGTCTCTGTTGACCTCGTCTTGTCAACGTCAATGATCATGTTTGGTGAATATATCATTCTGGCTGCTGCTGCTTTCTCGCGGGCCATTGCTCTACCTAATCGTGGACATGGAAGCCATCCTGGGATGGGATCGTGCCCACCTTTTGGGGGAACTTTCACGATTGATCAATATCAACTGTATCCTGAGAATGCAGACTTTGACTTTGACTCGTGTCTACTCTACACTGGGTATGTTCCTCTCACTCAGACATTCAATCAGCCCTGGATCTTCTCCTATACTGTCCTCTCTCATTATTCAAAGGTACGAGTCAATGACTAACGCTGTGTAGAAACCTCTTCAACTCATCCGTTGGCGTCTACGACCCCTACAAAAACAAAATCGTCGACATCATCGAGTTCCCCGGCATCTCACACAACCCAGAGTACCACGTCGGCGGCGTCGGGATCGACAAACGCACCGGCCTCCTCTCCATAGTCGTCGACGCCGCAGCTGCTTTCTCAACCACGCCACCAGACGTATCCGGCACAAACCTTATCCTGCTCTTAGACCCCTCAACAAAAGAACTCATCTACAAGATCAACCTAACGGACACCACACACGGGAAGTACGGCGGGTTCCAAGACGTTGAGCAAGATCCTGATGGAAGAGTTTATGTAGTGGGTACATTCCCCGGAAGTATTTTACGCGTGGATAAGAAGAGGGGGAAGAGAGACCCGAAAGTCAAGCCTTGGTATGTTTCTCAACCAATTGATACAACCCGCACCGGTCTCAGCGGCCTCGCCTCAAAGGACTGGACTCTTATCTCAAACGACAACAATGGCGGTCGTCTCCTAAATTTCAACATGCGTCTCCCCACTGGCATTCCCACAGTCGTGCCCCTCACCCCAGCCTACAATATCTCTTTTAGCGATGCCATCTACCTGCCTCCTAAATACGGCGGTACTGTCTTACTGGTTGCTGAAGATGGAGTAGGAATCACGGTGTTGAGGAGTAAAGACGGGAAGTGGAATGCGGCGGAGTGTCTTGGGACGGTGCCGAAGAATCAGTATGTGACGGATGATATATTTTCGACGGCCGCAGTGCAAGTGGGGAGTTCGGTGTATATGGTTGTGACGACGTTTGCGGATCCGATTGTGCCTGGGACGTTGGCGGGGAGTAGGAGGGAGTTTCCGTTTTATGATATTACTGCGCAGGTGGAGAGGTTTTTGGGGCTTGATACATTGAAATACGAGTAGAACTTCGACTTATGGATTGGAGGGCCTTATGATGCAGCTATGAATGCATATACAATACAGTGTCGCGAAGGAGGAGCTATGCCTTGGTTTACTTCCATGTCAGAATGTCATATTCTACTGCCAGTATTCAAAGTGCCGGCGTACGGAAAACCTCCAAGTGGTGAACAATCCAGAATTCTCATTCCATTTTTCACTTTTCAATTCTCACAGAATGTGATTTCTTCTTTCATCCTCCTATGCAGCATAGTACTTGCTGGGGGCAATGTTCGAAGTCGAAGAATGCTGAGTAAAGAGTATTTGGGACCTGGCAAGGCTGTCATCACAATTGCGTGTGATACTTGTCCGAAGTAGTGAAATGGGAAATTCCTCGCCTAGTGGTGCAGTGGAAAGCATGATTAAGATGCAATTTAAAATTGATGTGCTCCTGCAGAGAAGACAATTCCCTAGTAATGTGAAGTGCAACTAGAATATTCCAACCATTTGAACATTTTGTTTATGGTCGTTTAAATTTAAGTGGGGGCATATCATCAGACGCCCTAGCATTCGCTAAGGTAAAATCCAGCGGCACAGGTCGCTGAGACTCAACGCCTCATTTTTACCAATCGCTCCTTCTTGGCCACACATCATCGAGCGAAATCTTCAGGAATGGTGTATAGCGGTGCTACGACGCATTATCCACCGGAAAATGTTCTTCACGGATGAACGATAAGCTTGTTTGTCTTTGCGCGATGAATTTACCTCAATTTTCAGGGGCTAGACCGCACAGAGATTTCGGTATCCAGGAAACCTGTCACGGAGCCGAGTCATCTATTTTTGGGGGCTGCCGTTTCTCGCCGGCCATTGACCTAGGAGATTTCAATGAGTCGGAATCTTTGACAAAAAGCCCGTCAGGATACATTCAAGACACACGTCGCGGTTGAGACATCAGGTCTAAATACAATCGCCAGTTGCCACCCCTCTGTTGCAAGCAAATGAGAGCAACTCCCCGCAGAGGTGAAGATCCTCTCTGACTATCTGAAGGCGGAGCAGATTTCAAAGATATTGACATGGTATATCGAGAGTGCCAGGATCAGCCCAGTACCTATGCCTGGAAGAGGGTGGGCGTTGCCAACCGCTAATATGTGCGCACAGAATATCATCCAGAATCCCGGCTTTTCCATCCTACCAAGGACCGGGTATATGATTCCAATAATACGCCACCTCCTCTCTGGGAAGTCTTCTCGATACAATGCATATTTCCTGCCCTTTACAGCGAAGAATTCAGATGATCAGGCTCTAGTACTACCTGCCCACTGTGTCTGCATGCAGGTACCCTTTCACTCCGTTTATCCAAGCGAAGAGATCTCCAAACGAGGAGGATTCATTCGACTCGTTTGTACACTGGCCTCTTCCAAAATATCGAATCGTCGGCGACGCTAGTTGAATAATGCAAGTGGCTTATCATTCCCGTACGCATGCAACTCGTGCAGATGAACAAACGCCCTCGGACGATGCGACATGGGGGGTCTAATTCTGGATCAAAGATCATTTCACCTGCACCATCGTCCCGATCCCTGATCAGGCTGCCCTTCCGAAAAGTAGTCTGGTCGAGTCTCTAAACCAGTATGCTTTCCAGCGTTTGGTCACGTTCTTCTCAGTGCCACGCATTGATGCCACACCCTCGGGCGTACCTTTCAGGATCTTACGCCAAGATATTGAAGATGTCCAAGATTTTGGGATTGTTGGAGGTTGCACAGCGGCATCGATCATTGGGATCAATTCTCCAGAAGTGGAAAATGTGTGTCGACTACCGATCTCAAATTTGGATTCTCACTTCTGTCCCAGATACTGTCGTGGTTGACGGAGATGGCGTCTCAGGTAATTCTACCATCATTCTAAACATTCTAAAGACTCAATTGCTGAAAAATCAGACACATCCACTGGAATATCATCGTCATGAACCAAATTCATAGCAAATTGAGGTCCGGAAAGCTTCCTTTTCGTCGGTAGATACCACTGCCCGCCCTCAGCTCCATTGTCCGGATTTCTTCGCCGGCTTCCTCATTCTCGAGCCTTATCTGTGAAGACCCCCTTGGAAGTTTGATCTCGCTTGACGCAATGATTTCGTCGCCAGCGCTTCCGTTCTGCAGCTGCAAATTAAAAAGGAATATCACACCTGCACCCCCGACCAAGCGAATCTTCCATGCTGGCTACGATTGGGCAAGAGACAACTCCTGTGCTTCAAGAGCGCTCCAGGCTCAAGCCCAAAACTGTACCACCAGAGAATGGCCTGATCTTGAACCAGGAGAAGGATCGAATGCTCTTTCAGTGTACTCCGCCACTGATGAGACTGGCTGACAATAGCTTGCTTGCACATCAGAGATCATGCAGCCCCCCACATCGAGAAAGAGCGTTTCCAAGGCGTCATGAGCCACTGCTCATGGAGTCACAAGCTATGGATGTCATCTGGGGGGCGCTTCCATTGAGTGAAAGAAGTAGCGTCGAGGTCTAGATAAGTTATATACCGAGCTGTTACTTCATACCCTTTGGACCTCGCTGTCTTCTTCCTTTCCCAACCCCATACAGCACTAGTCCAAGACACTCGCAACGACAGCTGTTCACAGGTTTACAGTCAACTGTCTTCCAGCAGCCTTCGACATGTCCGACAACCTCCTACTACCAAACATTGTGCCAACAATCCGCGTCAATGACGGCGATGTCCCCATGTCAGAGGATAGCTCAACTTCGCGAGGCCATAAACTTCCGGAATCAAGCTCCAATGGCTTTGCGCCGCACGAAGGAATTGAAGGCTTACCTTTGGCTACCGAACAGCCAGTAGAAACACCTACTCAGGAAATCAGCAAGAAGCTATCACAATCAGAGGACCCCACATCATCCACCTTGCAAAATAAGCTGGCCAATATAGCAAATGCTCCAACAACGAGCTTGAGGAAAAGAATAAGCGATGCATTGAAAGAGACGGACATCGGATTCGGGTTTATGAATCCAAAGCCTTACGTGTCAGCTGCCCAGCTAGAGGGGATCATTACAAACGCAAACACGAAAAAAGCCCTTCACAATGCCTCGGACGAGGTTCTCATGTTCGCCAACCAGAATCCGAAACTACTCGCAATTACAATACGTAATTTTGAGAAAAACGAAGAAAAGTATAGTCGTGCTAAAGCACTCGCTCTATTTCAATCCAGCAGAATGATTGACAGCGAATTACCTGTCGAAGACCACACTTCCATGAATGTATGCATTGGGTTGCCAGTGCAAGAGAGCTCTGGATCGGAAGACGAAACAACTCAACCGACGGATTCCAGCATGCCATGCCAGTTAGAAACACATGATAGCTTAGTCTCTTCACATGTCTCAGATCCAAGTGGTCCATGTAAACACCCATCTGCTGAAAACGCTTTCCACAATCCACTGTGGGACGAGCCCAGCTTTAAAAAGTTCTACACCACCCAGTGGGCATTTTTGGTCCCGATTTTCACTCAGGAAACTTTCACACATCGTTTCGAACCTGAAGCTACACTTCCTTTCATTGTCAAGAAGGTGCACGCTGGAATCGACCTTTCAGGAGGCCACTTTGGCGATGTTACTCAAGAACACATGCTTGCCAGTCATCAGACAGCTATCAAATCGGTCAGTTGTTTATAATAGAATACATTTGTGACTTAGAGCTAATTTGGCAAAGACTGAAGGAAGGCGAACTATCCCGGTGGCTGTCAAGAAAATGAGATCATCTGCCAACTTCGTGGGAGACTGGGATAGGGAAGCAAAAGCCTTACACGCGTTCAATGAACTTGACGATCCGCACATTGTAAGGGGCATCGGAGCTTTCACCTACCATGGCGGTCACTACATCGTGATGGAATGGGCGGATAGGGGAGATCTTCACAAGGTGTGGAAAAAAACGCCAGAGCCTCATAAGTCAATGACGGCAAATAAAGTGGAGCAATTCCTGAAACAGTTCCGAGGCCTCGCCATGGCTTTGAATCAAATGCATAACAAGCCAATAAAAGAGAATCCGAATTCGGCTCTTGCGAGGCCAGATGATTCAGGGAAAGGCAGAGGAAGTGTCGCCTCGAATCAAGACCTGTCGATCTCGTCTCACCTCAGAGTCAATCGGCTTACGACCGCTGATGAAAACTGGCGGCATGGTGACTTTAAACCGGCGAACATTGTTAGCGTCACCGATAAATCGCAATCGCTGCTGGGACGTTTGAAGCTGGCGGACTTTGGAAGGGCCAAGCAGCACATGAACAAGACTGAGAAACGGATGGGTACGGGCGAAATGTTCACAACATGGCAATATCAACCACCAGAAGCTTTGGACAATGAACACGGAAGGTCACGTCTTTTCGACATCTGGTCATTTGGCTGCGTGCTTCTGGAAACAGCTATTTGGATGCTATTCGGCTCCGTTGGCATAAATCAATTTCTGGACAGCCAAGCAAATAGTGGGCAGAAGACCAGATCGCTTTACTGGTCACAGGATAAATACGGACAGAGAAACCCTACACGAAGTGCAACTACCTTTCGGTTGGTCGAGCGTCTATTGAGTGAAGACAGCGAATGTAAGCAAAGAGACGGAGGCTCAGCCTTTCAAGATGTGATTCGATTGATAAAAGACAAACTCATCGTGCTCAAATTGCCCACAAACGCCGACAGATGCGAGCCAGGCTGTAGGATCAATAGCAAGACCTTGGTGGAAGAGCTTGATGGAATCATTGAGAAAGGTAAACAGAGCCAGTTGTATCTGTTCTCGGGGGTAAACCGAGACCGTGTTCAAATACTCAATTTCATGCCAAAGCAAGGTCGGTACCCCAACGCGAGATATATTTACGAGGATGCTAAACAATATCAGGTAGAACTGAGGAGCAGACAAATGAATCCAAGAGTCTAAGGGCTTCCGATACTTACGATCATGACTTCGATAGGGAATGGGAGTTTGTTGATGACAGCTCATTCGCAAACAGATTCCTTCGCGATCATGCGTCCCCCGACTTTCAACAGCGATCCGACATGAGATCGTCCAAGTTGTGCCAATGTTGTCGCAAGATTGATTTCAACGACTTGAATGCAAATACTGGCCGCCCACTTACGCCATTATGTACGGACAATACCGGATGTGAATTCTGTGCGATGATACTACGAGGTGCAGACAGGTATCCAGATTTAGATTGGAGAGAATTGACTCTCAGCGAATCTGGCTTGAAGCCAAAGAAAAGTCCTGGACTTCCACTGTTGCTTGTCCGCCGTACAGAGGCAAAACGAACTTCGGATAGGAAATCCACTGGCCCCGACCAACATAATTTGGCCCTGCCTTCATCTCAAAACGCGCAAAAACACGATGCCAGTACTTTCCCGATTCAAATCGGGCTTCCCATGCTTTCTCTGGTGGGTAATAAGCCACAGACTTCTCTCATACTCGCCTGGCTGGATGACTGTGACAAAAATCATGGAGATTGTACCTCCAAGCGTCAGCGGTCTCTTCCAACAAGAATGATCGAAGTTGGCACCACCCAACAGCCTATTCTACGTCTTGTCGAATCGGCATCGCTCACTACCCAAGCCGGCACTTCGACCCACTTCATCGCTCTGTCATACCGTTGGGGGACAGTTCCTCCTCACGAACACCTCGTCACTAACTCGAAAGTCTCGAGCGACCACCATGAGGCAATTCCTGGTCCACTCCCGCAGACCCTGGCTGATGCAGTTGAGATCACAAGGGGCCTGGGTATTCGATATCTTTGGATAGACGCTCTCTGCATTGTTCAGGGCGTGGATGGAGATTTCGCACAAGAGGCTGACCGAATGGATACTGTTTTCAGTTCAGCATACTGTGTGATTGCTGCCACCAGTGCAGATGGAAGCTCTTCCGGATTCCTGAACAGATCGCAAAGCCGGGACATACCGCAGGTGAATGAGTACAGTAACCCTGTCTGGTTCCCGGATACTGCCAACCCAGACGGCAACTTTTTCGTCGAAGAACGTTTTGACGACTTCGACCAGGACGTACTGCAAGGGCCTCTGAACGAGCGTGGCTGGGTTTTCCAGGAAAGAGCCCTCGCACGTCGAACCATACATTTCACCAGCAAGCAGGTCTATTGGGAATGTGGTGAAGGGATTCGATGCTAAACGTTGACAAAGATGAGAAACAAGCGAGTGGGCTTTCTCGGCGACCCGAATTTTCCTACATACGGCTTGAAAGGGACGAAGGGAGGAGACATAACGTTCTATGAGTCTCTGTATGAAGATTATTCTAGGAAATCTTTCACGCATATCGAAGACAGGCCTTTTGCTATCAGTGGACTGGAGCAGAGACTTCATCAAGCTCTCGACGAGAAGATTGGATCTGGGGGAGGATTCTGGGGCATATTCGATCACTACTGGGGGCGTGGTCTACTGTGGCAACGGGAGGCTAATGTCGAGAGGATGATACGGCTCAGGCGGGGAGCTAGTGGGAGAGAGGCGGCTCCGTCGTGGTCATGGGAAGGCCACTCTGGTGGTATAACTTTCATGAAGCCTGATCCCCACACCGTGGATTGGCTGTCTGATGAAGTCATATTGCCCTGGACCAAAGCGAAAGAATCACATTCTCGGATGACCACTGCCTCGTATCGGGGTGAGAGGGCCCTGAAAGGGAAGGCACTAGAATGGAAACATGATCCTCACCTCAACCACGATGACACGTATGAAAGCATTGTTTATGATGATGAGGCAAACCTTCCGAGTCGAGATATACTCCGAATCCTTGTCGTTGGGCGGAAGAAGTTGACAGAGTACCAGCACTCACAGGTTCGAAAACATAGTTATGTCCTTGTACTTGCACCGAAGGGTGTGGCGAGCGGATATATTTATGAGCGGGTCGGGGCTGGATCCTTGGACGAATCATTGATCGATTTCGAGAATTCCACGAGTGTTTTGGTTGAATAATCCAGTGGTTATATTGGGCCGGTCTGGTACAGCCTAATTGGATGATTGAATCTCGTTTGCAATTGCATTTGTTCCTGCCTAGAGGTCATTCGAGCACCACTTTGCAGAGGACGCTGTCAAGATGCCCTGAGAAGGATGAAGTGAGAGCCATAGAGATATTGCCTCGCCTTGGCTCCAAGAAACTTGACCTGCAGTCCAAGCTTGGTGTATTTCGGAACCGTTTCTCCTGACGAGTCAAGCTGCTGAGTTTGTCGGAGTTTAATTGTCATTGTATCCAGTTTTCTCATGCGTGTAAGCGCTCTGAAATCCTGACGACTCATAGCTCACAATTTCTACTCCAGACTCCACTTTTCAACCCACTTTTCGGGCTAACTTAATAAGAGTCGGTTCCCCTCTATTCCTGAGTCCTCGAAGGTAAAGGAGGACGGACAAGCTATTATTACCCACTGTTGATGATGATGCTGTGTTGCTATCCACATGGTGCATTACTGTTCTCAGTGTACAATTCCACCGGATCTTGTTAGAGGTGTCTATGCATCTAACAGAGAGCCTCACGAACATGATTCTTGTACCAAATAATGACAGTCTTCGACCCTACCATACATCCCCCAAATAGCGGCCACGAGGCTCAAACCCCCCCATTTCCCTCCATCTATCTATAAAAAGACAGACCGACCCACTCCCAGATCCCAGACCCAGATGCAAATCGTATGATTCCCCCACCGTACGCGCCTTAAGGCCAGAATATCGCGGCCGCGGTTCCCCAAACACACCAAGGATCTTGGAGTTTTGACGCGGGAGGTCCTTCGATTGGCCTGCTCGTCCGCGGACACGGCTTGGGGATTTGGCTGGGCTGCTTCTAGCGAATCAATACCCTGTAAGCTCACCAGCACTTCTAGACGGTCAGGGATAGGGATTGGTTCGCTAGAATATCCAAGATGCAGATCATTCTTTATTTTGGTATTTTTATCTGTAAGCCCAGACTGGTGTCAGCGGGAGGTCAGCCACCCGCCTGTTGATGGGATGGATGGATGGATGGGGTGTACTGTATGTACTTTGCGGTGAGCTCATTTCATCCTTTTTGAACTGCTTCTTTGTCACTTCTCTGGTTTTTGTGAAGTTTCTGTTGCGAAATTTGTACTTTGGAAACAGATTCAAGATGAAGCTCAATACAGTCCTTTCTGTTGCTATATCATTAAGCAGCTGCTGTGCAGCCTCGAAAGAAGACAAGTACGTTCCCCATTCTTGACCCGCTGTATGCTGGGGGAGAGACTATCCAGCTCTTTTCTAATCTAAGTCCTCATACAGCCTCGAGAAACGTGCCGGAACATGTAGTGTTGGGATCGGCCGACAATTCGCAGACGTCCACTGGGACGTAACAATCTACAACGTTCCTCAACCCAAACCTCAAGATGTCAACATCATAGCGACTCTCAGGAACGCTAAAATGGACAAAGGCGAGTCGCTGTCGGTTTCCTGGGCATCAAATACAAAGTCAATCAACATCACGAACATCGATAATGCGCCGGTGTTTACATACAATGAACCGAATCTGAAAGGGTCGTTTGTGGATTATGAGCCGGGAAAGACGAAGGTGGAGTTGCAGTTTCAGGTGGGGACGACGAAATGGTCGACGGATGATTGTGAGGCTTCGAGTGTGGTGTTTTCGGCAGGGAGAGAGGGGTGGGCGTGTAACTTTCCATGTCCGTAGATGGTGATGAATGGTGGTTGTTTCAGATGATGAGAAATGATGTTGGTGTTTTGGAGTTTGGGTGGGATCGGTTAGGAGGAATTCTTTACATAGATTGTTCACCGGATGAGAGCATGAGAAATATACCCTGTTGCAACGCAACGTTCAAGATTTCTTGTTGTGCTTGAGAAAAGGCTTTCCAGATAGATAGTGTCTACTCTCACAGGAAGCATCGATGTTGACTCCAATGTGCTCGAATTGTGCTCGGATGTGACTCTCTTGGTATCACGACGGCAGTCAATCGTCCAAAGTTGGCTCCTTTGATTTCGAGTAAGCTAGGCATCCATATTTTACATCTATCTGTACTGAACTGAAGGCAACCCTTCTCCACGGCGCTCTTGAGACCATTGAATACTTCGTTCAGCGGCCACTTCAACTTGGAACTGTGAGACGACAGGGCTTTCACTTTCGAAAGCGGAACCGTTGGGAAGAGATTGCTCTTCGCGGCGAATCGGCTCTTCTTGAACAATGTGAAGCGCAAATTCACTTCGAGATCCTCTTTCTCGAGTATGTCATCCGTGTTAACTTGAAGGTTTATGGAAACAATGCGTTGTTGAGCACATCTTGAACTGCAACGGCATCCATAAACCTCCTCTTTCGAATATGGAGTATGTGATGAAGACTTGCCCCACGTAGTTTGTTGTTATTCGTGTCATGATTTCGTCTGTGTGGCTTGCCCGCAGCCATCTGACCATTTGCGTTGTGTAACTGCGGAAGCTTTGATCACGACACTCTTTTCCGCTTCCCAGCTACCCGGGATGATTCTCTCGACACCACAGATGGGGATCTGACTTCAACTTCAATCTCTTTCAATGTATCCAATTCGCGCCTCGCAGCACTCTCCTGCCTCATCAAATCCATCTTGAGCTTCGACTCTTCCCTGAGCAACTCCATTCTCAGCTCATTCTCTGCCCGTACAGCAAGTACTCTCGCCTCCGCTTCGGCGGCCCACATCCTCACTATACATTTCCTCTCATGCTCCTTTGTCGTCTTAATTTCCTTCAGAATAGCTTTATGTTCCGCTTCGACAGCCTCCACCTTCGCATCTCGTTCGTAGCCGTACATATCATTGAGATTTGCGACTTCCACACCTCTCAGATCCTTCGCTCTAGTCTTCGCCGCATCCTCCACAACCTTGATCTTCGCTTTCGTCACCTCACGATACATATCCCCTATCTCATCACCTTCTCGTTGTCCAATCCCTTGCCATTCGTACTGCCTCGCCATACCCTCCCCTCTCGCACATTCCTTCTTCATCTCATAAAGGTCCCGTATACAATCTGCTTCTGCCTCTCCAAGCCCATTGACCTCCCGCTCTCTGGTAGTTCCTTCTTCTCGAGCAGCTGCTTCCTTCTCCGCATATAGATCGTTGAGGTATTGCCCTTCCAGCTGTCCTAGACGCGTGATCTCGTTGACTCGCTGCTGGCTCGCAGTTTGTATAGCTGCAACGGTTGCAAGGCCATCGTTCAGAACGGCTTGGTTTCGGGATTCTGCCATGCGCATCTCTTGGGCAACAAACCTCTGCAACGTGGCTTCATCCATATGATCGTAAATATGTGACCGTGGTGGCATATTGGCGGTGAATTGAGCGCTGGGCTCCTTAGGAAATTGCTGGTATTCGGATGTGTATGTTTGCGATGATGAACGGCAGGCTGGAAAACGGGAGCTTGGTATCGTAATTGTGGTGATGCTGGAAGAATGAAGTTGAGAATTGAGCACCCGGGCCGCTCGTCTCCCTTTTCCAAGGGTCACGAGGAGCCGAGGTTGCCAATTCAGGGGTCCCTAAAGTCCGCCTAATTTGGCGAGCCTAACCCTGGAAGCGAGAGCTTTGTTTACCGCGAGACAAGTACAAAATTCACGACGTTACTTCGAGGGGATCATAGACGTAAAGTGTGATTGTTGCCGAAGACTTTAAGGGTTAAGACTCCAGAGGCTCAATCTCAGTGACAGTGATGATGGGCTTGACAAAGGATCAGGCAATAGCAACACAGTCATGGGCCCTGGGAAGTAGCAGTTTCCCATGATTGGAGGTTGCCAGTTGGGTATATGGTAAATTTGGGAGAGGGTCACGATGCTCGGGTTCTGATAGCAGGTAAGCCACACGAAATCATGACTTGTTGCACAGGTGGACTGTAAACCTGCTAAGTCGACTTTGGTGCGACTGATGTCATCATACTGGAATTGAACCTCTTTTGCATCGGCCTTTACAACCCGGTGATTTAGCCACCAGTTCCATTATTCTCTTCTTTCGTCTCCAAGTTAATTGGATATTATGACTCATCTCTAGCTTCTAGTGCTCAGGGGTGAATCCAGTTATCCCCCCCGTCCCGAACCCCTGCCACTGGTCAAGTATATAAATTTCAACCATCACAATCCGCAAGATAGAAAAAGAGGTCGTATCATTTCAATGACTCGCCAAGACCGCTCTATGTCTATTCTTCAACTTCATTCCAATACTTGGTACCGCGAAAGTTTGCGGGACCCAAGCTGTGATCTGCTGTGTGCTCTCAGACTATTTTATCGTTTTCTGGTTCAGCAAGTCGACAATTCTCAAGATTCTCAAAGGCAGGTGAAGTGACAATAGGAATAGTAACACTAATGACAGCATCAAGCCTTCGACAATGGCTACTCAACAGTACCCTACTATAGGCTAACAATTTCTGGTTGCTTCTGTTCCGTTTCGAGAGACAATTGGCTGACTTTTACCCCACGGACTAGTTAGAAGCTCCAGAGGCTATTATGTATAGGGTCAAAGGCCTCGTTGTCTGTAATCTCATCAACTCCTTAACCATACCCCTTGCACCTGTAATCTCCTAGTGCCTTATATACATGATTATACTCAGGTACGTACAAAGTACGTGTTATGCCTTGTGACCTCATGTTATTGGGAAGTTTTCAAATTGAAACTGCAATTCATTTGAAATTACGTTCACTTGCACTCTGCTTCAAGGAATATTCACGGATGCACTGCCTCCGGCTAGGCTTTCGCTCCTGCAAGTTCTGACTGTGATCCTATAAATCATGCTCTTCATGCATCTCTACACTCTACAATCTTCAAGAAAGCATATCGACTCTTTCCAAGACTAGCTGAACACCCTCTTCAATACCGTGACGTCGAAGCCGATTCTGAGAACTCTGTTCGTCCCATGCTTCCAACATCCAGTAGACGGGCGAGCTCTCGTCTCGTGTGGTTCAACATCCTATCAAGCTCTGGATGTTGGTAAATCGCGGGCTAGATAATTGACAACAACAGAAACCCCGACAACGATCTCCACAAAGACAGCACAACTCATATCTTCGCAAATCCCATCCATCTCTCATTCTACCGGCAAACATTCAGAGCTCAAATAGAGATTTGCCCTGATCAGAAACACAATCTCTAGGTAGTTGGGTGGGTTCCTGATGGACACCCCAAGGGCCAAGCAATCTCTCTATGTTTGTATTCTTAAGGGATGGCTAGAACTTGATCGTTGCTTAGTGGCTCCAGTGGTGTATATATACACCCTCCTAATCTCCCCGCAGCCACGAAGTCGGCGACGGGGATAGCTACTCGTGCAATTCGCCTGTGACTAGCCATTCAAGACCCATAGAACAAGCTATTCATTCAGCATACTCCGACAAGTATCCTCTACCCTCTTCCGCCAATATGAAATCACTGTCCCAATTCACCTAAGCACACCTGTGATCTCCTTCCATGCCCAAGAGCAATCTGTATAGATGTTCTATAAAAGCACTCAAACTAATCACCACCAAAGATCCTCGACTTTGTGACCAATCAGGGATTGCTCGACTTTATGAGAGGTAAATCTGCTGCCCGTTTCCTCAATAGAGTCTTTTAACAATTCGATTTTTGAATATTTAATCATTACAAGAGGAGGAGCCCATTCCGTTCGGTTTCTGGATGTGCACATAAGTGTAGGCGTATCGTTGTGGCAAGGTATAGCAGATGAATGACAACGAAAATTTCCTTGACAGCACCAGCTCCTGAATAAAAAAAAACCACAGGTTGAAAATGCAACGTCTCATTTTCGCACCAAGGCCCGATAATCTAGCCCACCCTCATACCACCAATCACCAAAACTACCCTCCAAAGCCACGTAAACAACCCACAAGACAACCCAGCACAACAAACTGTCACGGCCAGCATGGAATAGAGCGCAGCGTTGATTATTCTCAAAAGAAAATAATGGTTATTATATACTCACGATACACTCTGATACTCTCCTAGCCTACGCTTTCCAACAACTCTTCAGTTCTCTCCATTTCCCACAGCCAGTAGTTGAGAAGGAGCAATACAGTCAATAACAACATCAATCCAACTATCACATATTAATTCACTCCCCCTCCCTCCCTGTCCTCTAACCAGGTACCCCTCTTCACCCTCTCCCGCCAGTCCCCCACACTATAAAAACCTCCTCCCATACCGCATCTCCAAAGTCCCCAGACTCGAAGCAACCAAAAGGGAAGGTGAGAAGAAGAGAGAGGCAGGTGAGAGGCTGACAAGTGTGAGGTAGGTACAAGAATGACTTGCTCACAACGAGGCAAATATGTACGTTGAAATTGAATCGAGACTGTTGGGAGATTTGGAATCAGATAACAATAGGGAGATTTTATTCAATGGTAAGAGCGATGGCCGCATTTTGAACGGTGAGGTGAGGTGAGATGGCAGCGAGCAGAGAAATGGCAACACTCCTTCCTTCCTTGCCATATGAAAAATCTACGTTTCTCAACTCCATACCTATTGTTACTTACTCTTTCTACCACTCTACCTGCACGACCCCACCTGTCCTGGCCCCAGATCACGAGAAAGAAGGGAGTGGGGGGGATCGACATCCTCCTTCTTCACAGGTAAGAATCAAGTAATAAATAACAAAGCATCCTTTCCCACACATGCGAGACAAAACTTGGAAAGGAGTCTTCATCTATAGTACCACTTGTTTCAAGACATAGCTTCACTAGCCCACCCATTGGGAAAATAATTATCATTACCTCTATTTGGATCTCCCATGTCTCATCATCATCATCATCATCTATCATCTATGCAAACAATCCAACGAAGCGAAGCAGCGGACAGCTCAAGATCGATCGACCTTCCCATCAATCACTTAATCACAAGCATTCGCCCACTCCACATCTCTAATTCTCTTCCTCCTCTCCCTTTCCTTCCCTTTTCCCTTCTTACCACCCCCATGTCCTACACTACCCCAACCCCTCCAAGCCCTCCCCAGACTACCCAGCATCACATCTCGACAACCCTCTCCCTCCTCAACCTCGCCTTCCTAAAAACTTTCTCAATATCCGACAATTCACCACCCCGCCACTCATTACCACGTCCATTCCAATCAAGATCCCCACAATCAAAATCGGCATTTCCATCATTAGTACTCAAACACTCCTCCCTATCACGTAAACTATCATCAAACCCCCAACCAACACTCCCCTCTCTCCACCCTTTAATCTTGAGGCTCACAGTCCTCCAGATCAGGATAAAAAAGAGCCCGTGATGAGGATGAGCGAGATACTCACGAAAAGTAAGCCGATCAATCCACCGTGTCCGCCGAGGTTATCAACATGCTTGACCCACTCTCCAAGAGAAGTGGCTCTCAAAGCCGTGGCGGCAGATTTGGATTCTGTAGCTGCGGGACTGGCACCCGTAGTAGTGGGTGAGGACTGTGACGGAGGGGAAGAAGTTCCTGTAGGTTCGTACGCCTTGATTAGAGTCCATGTTTTATTATCAGAATCGACGGCCAGAGTCAAGCAGGTTCCAGAACGGTAACAAGTAGTAAATGCCTTATCGCCAGGCCAAGGAGGATAATGTACGATCGTAGAGGTGGAAACGACCGTGATATCCGGATGAGATTCTTGGAAGACTGCAAAGAGAAGACATGATGAGTCGATACCCTCAAATGAGGGCCGACGAGATAAAATATACTTGGATGGAGGTGAGGGGGAAACTCACCTGCTGGAATCATTGATGAAGAAAGGGGTTGAGAGATGATCGGCGAACTGCTCGTCGATCCAAGAGTGGAAGATGAAGGGACTAAAATGGAAGATACCGTTGGCATGGTGCTTGAGGAGGTAATGGAAGAGGTTGACGCCAATGAAGAAGATTCGGAAGTCGACAAACTGCTAGAGGTTGAAAAAATTGTAGGCATACCTGTGTTCTCCGCAGTCGGACTGGGAGAATTCGATGTACTGGGTTTGATTTGTGTGTGGACTTCGGAAGCAACTGATTTGATGATGTTTGTGTCCAGTCTTGGAAGTGGGACGTTACCATTGACAGCCCATCCACCAGTAGCACCAGGGCAGGCTGGTGGACTGAATGTGGGGCTATAGCTGTCCTCGGAGACTCCGACTGGATTGATATCCTTCCAAACATTTGCGAGGTTGTTAAAGTCTGGTTGGATTGGAGTTGGAGTGCTGCTGTAAATTTCGCCATTAGGATAGTCCACGATACCGTAGTCGTTTGTCTCCTGAACCCATTCGTAGATGATACTGCCGGACCTGCACAAAATTAGCATGTATGGTCCACAACCATAAGCCAAGGACAAGAAGATCCTTAAAACATTCGGTCAGGGCAGGAGAGGATACATACCATGTGTCGATCATCTCGGGACCAAAAATGGCGCTCTGATCATTGAAAGTACGTTCTCCACCAACATTACAACCAGTCTCCGAGAAGAAGATAGGAAGATTGTATCCAACAGTCATAGCTTGAAGACCAGCATAACCAGAAGTTTCATATGTAGCAGTGCCACACCATTCATATGAATTGAGGCCAAAGAAATCAATAGCCTCATCAGCCTCACCACAAGCCAGATAATTCTGCAACATAGGACGAAGTTCAGCGATATCAGCAGCAGAGTACCCGATAGGAACCTGGCGATAGCTCTTGGCAGACATGTAGGACTTCATATCCGCGACAGCAGCCTTGATATATGGCGCAGATGGCGATCCTCCAAGATTGTTGATGACCTCGTTTCCGATCCAAAATCCCCCCAAATTATCATATTGCTGGAACTCGTCCATGACCTTGGCGAATGCGGAGAATTGCTCTTTGGTCCATGTTGGTGTGGCTTGTACGATTTGGGTTTCGAAGGTATCGAGGTCCAACCAGATGTAGATTCCGGCGTCGCTGAAGGCGGACATACAGCCATCGTGGTTGCCATCTGGATCAACGTGGTAGACTCGAATTGAGTTTGTGCCAATGGATTGCATGGATTTGGCGTCGAGTTGGCATTGGTTGGTATCGACGAGGGGATCAGCTGGAGTACCTTGATAAGCGACGCCTAGATGGTCAGATTGAGGTATTGAGATTGAGGGGGATTCTTACCCTTGAGAAAGAACTGTTGGCCGCCTGCGAAGAACTTTGCGCCCTTGACGGTGATGGTAGGTAGTGCTGAGGCTTGAAGAGCTAAGCATCCAACCAATGCGATTGCCAGGAATTGCTTAAACATGCTGGAGATCTATCAATGCTTTGGGAGCGAGTGTCGCAATTGAGAGGATTTCCAGGTCGAATACAGCTTTATTGATGCTTCCAGAGCGAGTGTGGTTGCTGAACTAGAGCTCCAATTGAGGTTTGTGTGGACGGAGGACCAGAGGTTTGTTTACAAAGCGATGCAGACGCAGTACAAGCCAAAGCGTAGAAGATGCTGCACAAAAAATATTCCAAAGCAATGCAATGCAAATGCAAAATTAATATTTTACACAAGGGTTCTGTTGGGTGAATTCGACGTGGAGGATCGCAAGTCGAGGTTTGATTGTCTTGTGCCTTGATATTCACGAGCTCTGTTGACGCGAGGACAGGAAAGCGCGGCCTGAATTGAAGTGAACTAGCATTTGAAGGGGAGGACAACAACAACAATAACAAAGCAAATCAAAACAAGAGAAACTTCGAAAGACAAAATCAAAATCAAAATCAGACCTCACGCGGGACGTTGCTTAGCTTATCACTTACTACCCACGTACCTGTCACTTCCAAGTAAATGGACCTACCAACCTGCATCGTGAAGATCATCTCTATCAACCTATCTGTCTCCCTTATCCAGCTCCACATTTTACATTCTTCCGAGTCTAATGCAACCTTGCCTGCATTCAAGCCGTTGGCAATGGATCCACTAGAGCTTGTGTAGGAGCTTGATCCTGGGATCATGAAGATGTGCAGCTCGTGGTTGGGTGGAGAGTTGGTTGGATGTTGGTTTCCTTGATTGATAGAAGGGACGATAAATACAAGGGTGATGGACAATACGATGTGAGTTGCCAATTTAGAGGGGGGAGAGCTGCGGGTTAGAGGCACGACGATAAGAGCTTGATTTAAAGGGGTGGTAATGATCATGAGGGGAAGGAGGATTTCATCTATTTGTTGCAAAAATGAGGGCGGAATGAAGATAGATGAGGGGAGTATGTGACGTTGTTGGTATTAGGATGATATTCATGAGAGAAAGTTGGAAGTTGGCAGGAGAAGTTGGTTGATGGTTGATGGATGATGACAAGAGAGGACGTTCTGCGCCACAACAGAGAATTCGGAGATAAGGCTTCCTGCGAACGTGCTTAGAACGTGACTTGAGTACCCCAGCAAAATATATGATACAAAGATTTGGTATCATTGTAGCGTAGACACGAGCATATGCCAATACATTGGATTCCCTTCTCCATGTCTGATTCTGCTCCAAATGAACGCCCGAGCATGCACTCGTCCCGGGTAAGGTGCACATAAAATAGCCGAGCTCAGACAAGTCTGTTCGTACGCTTCGACACCTCTCTTGTGAACCATGGATACGAGGATATTCGATATGAGTATGTTGTATCATCAACCAGAGCCCCAAAGCTGTGCCTGGCTAGCGCATTGCTTCATTACCCCCTAACAGAATTTAAATATAGTAAAAGCCTCTGGCGCTTCTGGATATTGACGCTCCAACATTGGCGACGAGGAGTAGTATGATAAAGTTGATCGATACTTTCTGCCAACTCGGTGACTAGTAACCAGTGCTTTCTTCAATCATCGACAGGATTTTCATCCCTGCGCCCCAGGGTGACGTGTGATGGCTGTGTGGGTTTGCTATAGATATAGTGAGGAATTTCGTTCCGAATAGAAGGATTCGTGCTTACAAGTGAAATCGCACACTATTGTAGTAAGCTTGCATCATCGAAGTTATCTGAACTTCCTCCATTTCCGTCAAACCCCTCAGTTTCAGGGCATCATCATTGAACAAATTCCTCAATCCACGTGTAATTCTCATAGCACATTCTTCGAACACCCTTGGATAAAACCCAGCACTGGCCCAATCAAGAAGGCAGATAGAATCATCCTCGAGTAGGAGGAAGTTTCGAGGAGCTATATCAAGGTGACACAAAACCAACTCAGACTCACTGAATCTTACTTTAGGATCCTGTTTCCGTAGTCTCCTGTTGAACCAATTTTCCATCTCCTCAACAGTATGAAGGAGAGGTTCTTCACTGTGTTCAGACCAAAGGATACCACTTGACACTCCACCACCAAGCGGACCAGGTACAGAACCGCGAATAGTCGTAAGATAGGCAACAACATCGGCGATTCTTTCTATCAGAACATGGTCTTCAACAGGCTCGATGACCCTTCCCCGCATGTACTCCATGACAATATAACCTTGTTGTGCTTTGGTGAAAAATCGATAGACAAATGGAATGCGCACGACATCGTGATCAACCAGTTCGTAGGCTCGCCTCAGACTTTTCGCCTCCTCTTCTTTGATGCCCCGCCCAAACTTGACTACTGCTTCTTCAGATAATTTGACAACATGGTTATCATAACAAGCTTTGCTGAGAGAGGTATGGTTTGGATTTGAACAGTAGGCAGCTATCTCGTCATTACTTGCGGTTTTGTGGTCAAGGTCAAAAGAAGCCATAACGGGACCAGGCAGTATCGGACCGAAGATCTGAGGAGCACAAGAGAAGAGCGACGATGATAGATGGTGACAGATGGCGGGACATGGTGGGAGAAGGTGTAAGATAGAAATGAGTAGTGAGGCGAGCGCCAAGACTCTTGTCTTTATGCGAGTGGCCGCGTACGTGCATGAAGCCTGATTGGAGGTATTAGGCAAGGCACGAGGAGACGACCAAATTGTGCGTAGAAGAAGATACGGCTTCGCTATCCATTCCACACCTTTCTACAAACCTCGACTCACTCTTATATACTTATCCATGTCAACATTCAAAGTTCACCCCCATTTTCTCATCACAATCCTTTTCTCAAGGCAATTCCTCCGGCCTTCTCCCGTCCCCAATCTCCATAGGATTTTTCCTGTCCCTCTCCCGCACACCCATCATCCCAGTTCCATTTCCATTTCCATTTCCATTTTCACTCACCACTCCATAACTTCCCGGTACGATCCCAATTCCCTGTCTATTCAAGCCATCATACCCAGCCATTGCTCTCAACCTCTCACCCCTCCTCATTCTCCTCTCCCTCAACCACATCCCCAAACAAACCAACGCCGCAATACCCAGCGGAATCCCTACACCAGCACCAATAGCAACTTCGTGATTCTCTTCACACCGGCCCTCTTCTTGAGTTGCATTCCCGCTCACCCCTATCGCTGCTGAGCTTGAACTCGTTGAAGCAGCAGCAGACGAAGTGGCCGAAGAAGAAGCTACTGATGAAGTTGAACTCGTCACCCCAGCCGTAGCATACACCGTCCCAATCGCAATCTTAATCGTTCCACCCTGCGGACACGTCCCATTATCGAGCGGGAAACCACAACACCATCCCATGTTCGCAACATTTCCATTTGGTGCGGGCGAGGCGAGGATGATGGGTGCGCCGCCTGTGGGTGTGACTATCTCATTTATCAGCCCATATTCAGTCCTTGACATAACTGCACCTTTGACACCAGTAATTTGAATAGATTTGGTTTAACAGAGACAGAAACTTGAGATGAAGACAAGAGAGGGTGACATACAATCCGTACAAACCCTCGCACACGCCTCATCCGCAAAACTCTCATCCGTACATGACCCCCTCGACACCAACCCATTATCAAAACATAACCCTGAACTTAAACACGCCACTCCCTGGCTACAACACGCGCTGTGGTCGTTGGTGTTGGTGTTGCATGGTACGTCGTTGGGAGGGGCGAGGATGCCGCTAGGGTAGTAGCAGGATGAGGAAGGGGTGGCTGCTTGTGTGAGGGGGAGAGACAAAGAGTTGAGGAGGGAGATGGTGAGGAGTGAGAGGGAGGAGGAGGATCGCATGTTTTTTTTTTCGACGAGGGGAGGGGATGTCTGTTGAAGTGAGAAAGAAAGAGAAGGATGGAACGAGTGCTTCACGAGCCCTTAGACAAGACTTCAATGAGAAAGATCAATACGAAATCAGATGAACAGAGGGAGAATCCCAAGACAGATCAAATCAAAGTCAAGTTCCAAAAAGAAAGCCAAAGGAAAAAACCTCTCGCCTCCCCTCCAGGTGGAAGCCCCTCCAAGATAAACCATTGACAATAACTCCTACTGTACAGCAGGCCCAAGGCCAGGGCACTGCAGCGCGTAGCCTCACCAACCCCCCGCTTCCGTCCCTTAAATCTAAATCTTTGAAAACTGGGGATTGCTCACGATCTGGATACCGGATTTGGCACTTCAGGGGTTGGAGGTGGGGTGTTGTTTTATCTCGTCAGCGCTACGGAAGCTTATTTCGATCCGCTGGGATTTATGGGCCAGTGCTGTGAAGTGTTCGATATGAACCTCACACAGCAAACTTGAAAAACATCAGAGAAATGCTAGCTGACTTTGAGATCTAGTTAGGGCAACTAAGTATTATATTCGATTGATTCACAAGAGAATTATTTGTGCTACGACATAAGGGGAGAAAAAAAGGGTTTTCTATTCTCCTCTTCCTTTACTGCAGTATCCCGAATTTCTAGTGCAAAACACCTGCAGCCCAGTAGAACGGCCCACTAGGCCTCGTCCGCTTCTCAGTGTGGCACAGCAGGCGGTAAGTGCTTCAGATGGCACGAGCGATCCAATTGATTTCTTTCTCATCCAAAAAATAAATGCCGGGTCTTATGCATACAATGTCAATGAGGATATGGAATGAAGGATCCAACAGGAGTATTAGAGAAGCGGGAATGCAGTCGAATGGTAGGTATTCGGATTTGCACTACCTGCCCTGAACGCGGGTCGCTTAGGCTTGTTCCCCTTTTTCTCGTCCCATGGCTGTGCCTCCCCTCGATATTTGATATAAGAGATACTTTGGCAAGTTTCCCGTTTCTGATCCTGTGATTGAGGTAATGCTATGTTAGCTTCGAGGACATGACCTGTTGTTTAAGATTATAGAGGATGATCAAGTTAAGTGCGGAGTAAACAATGCCTGAAGCGAACCGCCAAGCATTGTGTTTCCCCATCCTGGGATTCGTTTCCTGAGCCAGGTTCGAGTCGTAGTTCGATTCACAAATCCAGATATTATCAAAACGTCTCAAGCTTCACGTTATCCTCATACTCTCTTCCTTGCTCTGTACTTCCACGAATGTCTGTCCCGCGAACAAGAATCAGCAGTGAATATTCATCAGGGAGAAAGGAAGGAGGATATACGAGAGCTCGAGAACGTCGAGTGTGACTACCCATCACTTATTTTGCCGTTTTTAACACGTCTATTAATTGCTGTTTGGAAAGCAAAAGAAATTGTATCTGCTTCTCCTGCCCGATATCATTTACATCAACGTTCTGTCAATTCGAGAGCTCAGCCCCCTTTTGTGTTGCCCAGCTCGGCTAACACTCTCCGCTCATTGAAATATTGACTTCAAACTGAATGGCATTTAAAGGTGAATTGATACCAGTGGTAGTCTCTGGATATTTTGATAGTCACTTAAGTCCCTTTTCTAGGTATAAATACAAGAAGGATCGGTGTGATATGGAGGGGCAAGGAGAACACAGAGCAAATAAAACCACGCATATATGGAATAAATTGAGTCTGAGAATAAAATTTATCGGGTCTCTGCCGTTCCATTCTGAAGCGCCAATAGTATGTGGTATTTTCAAGCATTGTGCCTCCAAGATATAGAGACAAAAGAAGTCGGAAGGAATGGAGAGCACATGTTGCACCAGAGGCTGCTTTGATAGTCGACAGCGGAGCTAGCAATGACAACAGTCTTCAGTCAAGATCAATAAGCACAATTGAAGCAGGAATATCCACTAGACAAAGGAATATTATGACCGACTAACAAACCCTGTATAGCCTGTACTTGGGCTCAGGCGAAAATAGCCTAGTGGACAAAAGACTTGTAAGTGGAAAATTCTCCTCCACCCACGGTCTTGTTCGTGGACTTGCTGTGAGTGCTTGACTTGGAATATTCTCAATTACCAGCCTCCTTATATATGAACCTATTTGGACTAGTATTGAGGACTGCAAGTGATGTACCACAAGCACAGTAGGTATGAATCGAAGCTTGAGCATATTCACCAATTATCTCATCTTTCACATCCTGAGGTCAGTGGGCTCTACCAACAAATTGCCATACAATTCACCTCGCTGTCCTGATCAGAACACACCAGCGAACATATAAAACTGAAGGGGAGAGCAACATCAACGAAAGCAGGACTTAGCCCGTTTGCCGTGTAGGTCTTACTGGTGCGCTTGCCATCACCGTGTTCCATTCACGACTATTCTCCCTGCAAAACCCCAAGAAAAACTAATCAGAATTATCAGATCATGGACGCGAAATAGCCTGGATCATCATGTCCAAGTCCTCAGCCTACGGTTTGAGAGATTGGAAGGTACTTAATGCAGTTGTGACAGTGACAACAACATGGTGTTTGACCATAGGATTTACCACGACAGCGTTGGAATTTATCAAAAATATTGGTGGGTTGGAGATTCCAAAAGATAGATACAAATACTGATTCGACATCTTCAGGAAATATACGCATGAGACCTGCCCTTTGATGTTTCAATATTGAAAGAGGCCAACATGTGGTTCGCAACGTGCCATCAATGTATGATTTCATACATGCTATGCCTTGTCGCAAGAATGCCCTGTATTTGCGTTGTATTTATATATGTTCTCCATGCTACAAGCCATTCCTGCCACGTAATCACATGCCTTTCAGTGAATTGACGCTGCAATTTTTGCAGATAGGATAGACCGAGTGCAATGACCAACCAGAAATTCACCACGCTACTTACAATGCACACCAACCTAGAATGCAATGTTCCACCATTTCTTGTACCATGGCCAAGTAGCTTGAATAGCACGTTCCTAACATCGCGTCAGTGAAAATCCAAACCCCCACACTTTTTAACTCCACCAAATTCCCCAACAGAAGCCGACCTCGTCTCAACCCGACCAAAAGAAGGAAAGAAAGCCAAACTCACCTCCGCCAGTATAGACGCCAAATCTATCTCCCTCCTCCCACTCGTAACATCAATATCCTTCAACTTCTTCCACTTCGTCTTCTTCACCAGCTTGAACACCACAAAAAACGCCATCACAATCGGCATCGCCAGATACGCCTGGAAGAAGCCCTGTGCGGTTTCGGACGGAGTATTGGATGCGTAGCCGACGGGCCAGATGGCTGTCCAGAATTGGGCGATCAGGATGAGGAAGTTCATGATGAGGCCGAGCCAGGAGCCGTAGTAGCCGGGTTGGGAGGTGAAAGCTAGTCTGGAGGGGTGTGTTAGTGGCGGGCTGGTGGAAAGGGGAAGAAGGGTTCCAAAGGAATACATACTCGTCTAAGGTATGGCCGTTGTATTTCCACGCATGTCGGAAACGGATATGACATGCGCAAATACTCGCCCAGGTGAAGATACTGCTCAATCCACTCACAGCCAACATCCAGTTGAAAGCTTGAACACGAACATCGGTTCCAGCTGCGACGATGAAGCAAAGCAGGCCAATTGCACTGGCGAGAATGATACTGACCAGCGGACGACCTGTGTTGTCGATGTATCCTAAGATTTTCGGGGCTTGACCTCGATCGGCGAGAGCAGCCATTGTACGTGAAGAGCCATAGACAGAAGAGTTTCCGACGCTGAGGACGGCGATGAGAATCACGACGTTCATGATGGATGGGACGACGGAGATGCCGGCGTTCTTCACAGCGATGACGAATGGTGAGGCGTTTGCGTCTTGTGAGCCGGAGCCGTTCAGAAGATCGGGGTCGTTGTAGGGGACTAGGCAGCCGACGATGGTGAGGGAGACCATATAAAACTGGTAAAGTATGGTCAGTCAGAAATCCAGAACAGCATGTAGCATACTGAGTGGTTTAAAACTGGGAAGAAACATAAATAAATACACGGAGCAACTTACCAGCGTAATTCTCCAAAATACCTGCTTAACAGCACTCGGCAGACTCTTCCTCGGGTTCTCCGTCTCAGCAGCCGTCAAACCCACAAGTTCAGTCCCACCAAAACTGAATGCAGCCGTGACAAACACACTGCAAAGGCCCTTGAATCCATGATGGAATGCTCCAGGGTTATACCCAAACCCCGCGCCGAGATATCCTTGCGGAGATCCTGGAACACCACCAGCTGCAATTATGATACCTAGAATAATGAATCCGATAACTGCGATGACTTTGATGATACTAAAGACGAATTCGGCTTCTCCGTATCCTTTGACCCCGAAGAAGTTGATGAGGACGATTACGAACCAGAAGATCACGACGAAGGCTGCGGGAGAGACGTCTTTGGCGCCGGGCCAGTACGAGACTGTGATTGACGCTGCGGTGAGTTCGAGAGGGAGGGTGACGAGCCAATTGAGGGCGTAGCTCATATCGTAGTCAGCACACCACAGTTCCTTTGTTCTGGGGAAGAACGAGACTTACTTCCAACCCATAGCAAAACCCCATGCGGGATCAATAAATCGACTCGAGTACACCGAGAAAGCACCAGCAATAGGGAAAGCAACAGCTAGTTCACCCAAAGCGTGGACCGTGCAGTACAACATCATGCCAATCAGACCATACGCGATGATGAGAGATGCAGGGCCACCTGATGCGAGAGCCGAACCGGAACCAACGAAGAGACCCGTGCCTAGAGGACGAGAAGAGTCAATTTAGTGTTGCATCTCGAAGTGATGAATTGCAAGACCAAAGCGTGATGAGAGAATGACCTACCGATACTTCCTCCAATGGCAATCATCTGTAGATGTCTTTCCTTCAACTTCATCGCCAATGCTGGCTCAGCAGGAGGTTGGTCGGGTAATGGTCTTCCCTCCAGATCTGTGGCCTCAGTCACTACTCTCGCATTGGGATTGCGTTTGAAGCTCTCCAGCGTGAAAGCTGAGAAGAAGCCATCGTGGTGTTTTGTCACGCTGCCCCTTCGGATATGTGATTCCTTGTCAAAACCATGGTTGGGATCGCGATTGGGAGAGGGAGAGGAAGACTTGTCCAGCTTCGAGGCGGATGTTTTCTCAATATCTTCGTGAAGCGGTTCTGCCATTTTATCGCTATGTCTGTAATAATTTTGAGAAGCTGAGGCGTGTGGAGTTTCGACCAAGTAGTCAAGAACGAGCAACGCGGGGAGACCTTGATGATATGAAATAGTGAAAAGGAGGGGTACAGTCCCTTATCTGGTGAATTATGGGATGACAATCAGACTTTACTGATCGATGCAGGGTACTCACACGACACACCTCGCCGAGCATGCTAAGTGGTCTTAGCTATGTGCCATTTGAGCTTGGTGGAGCTCAAGCTTTGGGACCGAGATAAGAGCCCGCGAGGCTTTACGCCTCGTCCCGAGTTGGACTGAATTTTGGAGATCTACACCACGAGACACTAATCGATTGGATTGAATTCTTAATGAGCTATGACACTCACCAACACCAGGAACATGTTGCCGCCAATAACAATCGATACCAGGGCATACTCAACGGGATAACAGATGTTGGAAATATTGGTCCAATGGGATCAAACGTCGTGATTTGCCCATGGCGGTCGCAAAAGCAGGATGGGATTTCCATTGAGATGCGGACATGGGTGCAGTGCAGCAATACGCCACAGACGTAGGTCAAATCCACCTCCCGCAGCAACAAAGTGTGGGGGAAGACAAGGGTGGAGATATTGTTCAACGAGTCATGGATAGGGATCCTCAGGACCGTATCGAACGCTTGAATAGTCGCTGTTTCTTAGCTCATGCGTTGAACGCCTGTGTCTCGTGAGGTCTGGAGATAACATCAGAAAGAGGCTTTCTTAGCGTGAAGATAAGGATTGACAGTTTGAGTTTGGGATACGCATATGCAAAAAGTAAATAAAACTTCGAGACATAAGACTCATGAAAACCGTTTTTGCATGAATCTATGTGGCCAGGCGCGTTCGACGAAAGAAGCCAGAAGACCGAAGACGAGCCACATGCTCATATTGCAACACACGAGACACCAAGTCCTCATAGGTCAACTCTCATGGCAGCGGGTAATGATGACGCTGACCGTACCCGTTCATAGCTTCCTGCAGCAAGGGATAACAGCAACTGCATCATGCAGTAGATTCGCCTGCCCGTCCGTGCAGCTATCTCCTTCGGGGTGACCGATAAATACCGCAAGAGAGAAAAGGCACAGATCAGAGGACTCAGAAAGAAAGACGAGATAAGTCAAAAGGGACCAACAAACACGGCTGAACGAAGTCAACTCCTTTTTTCGGTAGGCATCAAATGCCACTGCAAGAAGTTGATTCAAAGAAGAAGTCGATTGCGCACGCAAGGAAGAAAGGTTGACAGCTCCAACTATGAGCTGAAGTTGCAGTGTGCGACTGAGGAGAACTTCTCTTATCGAAAGAGCATTGATGTCTTTCGTTTCAAGCTTTTCTTCAATCTCTCTCAGGCAAGTCAGGCGTGTGGGAGCAATCCGAACAGCTTTATATAAAGCTCTGGCGCAGAAGGTCGTACAGAGGTACATATGTATCGGCCAGCAACTTGCTTCCAATGTCGACCACGTCCTTACCATAGCGCAACTATGAAGCCATATCGGTTTGTTTCCCGTTATGTGAGTCTCCCACAGAACATGGGAGTCGGTATCACCTCCGTATGGCGCGCTGCGCCGCTTTGCAGTCCTCCAGACTTACTTCCCCCAATCCTCCACGACTCTCCCCCTTCCAACACAAGCAGCAGTTGTCCCGAAACTTCCAATGAGGATGGTAAACCCGTATGCCGTCTTTTTCCGTTGCACTACGACAAATATCCATTCCTCTAGCATTCCTTGGCTCCCAGCTCAGATTCCCAAAAAAAAAAACGCCCTATCGCGTGCTCGTTATTCCAGATTCGTCATTCAAAGTCCGTTCACGGTCTCTCGAATCTGCGGATGCGACGACTCGATGTTCGAGGATATCATACATTCGCAGAGGAGGTGTGTGTTCGTGGCAGGCCGACTTGCGCTGTTGAGGTGAGGTTGAGTGCAGAACGGAGTGAGGTGGAACGCGAAGCCTGAAGCTTTTTGGGATTGGGCAAAGTCGCGGGGTTTGGCTTGGCTGGCGGGGACCTCGCTGCCCTCCAACTCGCTCGCTTCGTGTTCGTGTCAACAAAGCCATCATCACCACCCCAGACAAGGCCCCCGGAGAGGATGGAGTCCCTAATAGAGTCCTGAAGGCCGCAATAGATATTCTGGTATCAATATACGCTAAACTTTTTAACTGGTCTATTCGACTCCAGTACTGCCCGAGGAGGTTTAAACGATTAGTTACAGTAGGACTAAGGAAGCCTGGAAAGGACGACTACTTACAACTAAAGTCGTACCGCCTAGTGGCCTTTATGAATACGATAGGAAAAATCATGGATATTATTTTTACTAAGAGAATACAGTACTACGTAAAGAGATATAAGCTATTTCAGGACAGGACAGGAAAGTCCAATGCTCCAGAGTTAAAACGAGTTATTCTTTGGAATCGAACAATATCACAACCTTCAGTTGCTTCAGATGATTTAATCTAGTTTCCAAAGAGAAAGATTAGCAATCTACAGGGCAACGAAATCAACAAGCTTCAGTGAGGTGCTTCACAAGAAAGAAGATGGCGAAATGTCTTTCAATTACGATTCAGAGTCCTTTTTACAATAATTGCAGAGACTCACAACATCTCAAAACGTATCTATTTAATTGGGTTTTATTAATGCTTGGTAGTAGAGTGTAGCAGGGAAACTTGACTTTGGAATGCACCTTGCAGCATGTAAACAAGAATGTTCGGTACAGTAAGGGGTCAGGTGACCTGCCAGAAATTGGTACTTACCTGGTTCCAGAAAGTATCTGTCTCGGAGGCCATCGAGACGATAAACTGGATAAAGGGAAGTAGGAAAGTACCAATAATAAGTTGTGCAACTCAACCTAACCGTATTCATGGCAAATTTCACGTTGTAATTTACTAGAACGTCGTGATACCACAGCTTGATATCAAACCCACAGCCTCCACCCTGCGTACCCCCGAATCCCAAAGGCAAATCCAATAAGTCAAAGCAACTGCCAAAGCAAGTCCCTCCACATTAGATCCGCACCAATTCATCCCGTCATCAAAGCATATTGAGGCTATTCCCAAACTATAATTAGTCGTGCAGCCCGTCACTTCATCCACAGTGGGACACGGCCCACCACGGCCTGACCCGCTCGGCTAGGCTGATGAAGATGAAACGAGAGGAAGTCCTCCAATTCGCGCCTCCACAGCCAGACCCCGCGCTGGGATGAAACAAAAGGGAAAGCATTGGGTGTGGAATTCTTAGGAGAAAACACTTGTCTTTTGAAAGCTGTTGTTGGGAATTTCTGTGAGTGAGGAATATTCATTGTTCCCATTTATTTTGTTGACTTCTACTCTGTTCCCTACTATTTATGTTTGCGACGTCGCCTGGATCATTCTGCCGCCGGTCCAGAAGCCATCCGATTGGACCCTGACGATCAAACCAGAGCCATCAAAATCAATAAAGAGAGCGCGCCCGCCGCCGCGAATGGGATTGTTTACTTGCAACCAGCCAGTAATTATTGATTAATTACAGGCCCAACCAATAACCAGATCTGTTCTCATTTCCAACTCTCCCTTTTGTACTGTACGCATCTTCGAGTCAAGCAACACAACACAACCAACATTCGCAGGATTCAGCTGGATCCCATTCACCCGCACGCACAGATACAGATCCGGAATCCTATTCTTACGCACAGCCTCACGTCCGCGTGCAGCGCAACGCAGCGCCTGGACTCCTTCCCAGACACCCCGCGCCAACCCAACAGCACGACACGACCACAACTCTATTTACGACCTAACGACTTCTCACGACCTCTTTTTCTGTCCTCTTCTCTTTTACCTACCTATCTACAAATCTATCAACATCTTCAAACCCTCACCCGACCCGACTTCTACAAATACCCAAGAGTACAGTACGATCCCGCCGCCCTCCTCCCATACACCACCCGACTCGTCTCGGAAGCACAGCACCCACCTCAAACCCACCCGCGAACATCACACACGCACCGCACAAGTCGCATGTGCAGTGCATATAGACACAGACACAGGCACAGGCAGGCAGCCCAGTATGTGGAAGAGGCTGAACAATCCCAAGGGGGCGCGACAGCAGCAGCAGCAGCATGCGGTTGTGGAGGACCCAGCTGCTGTGCTGGAGAAATCGTATGCTGGTTCTGGGGATGATTTGGGTTTATTGGGACGGAGAGGAGAGGTGAATGAGGGAGGGTATGGTGGGGATATGGGAGGTTATGGGAATAGTGGGAGGTTGGAACGGCCGAGGAGGGAGGGGGATGAGATGGGGATGGGGATGGGGCCGAAGGTGTTGCCGAGGTTGCCTTTGTAAGTTGGGTGTGGTTTTTTCTTTCTTTTTATTTTGGGGTGAGGGGGAGGGGGAAGGGGTGTGGGTGTGGGGAGAGGGGATGGGGAATGTGGAATGGGGAGAGGAGATGGCTGTGCTGCTATTGGGGTGTGCTGAGGAGGGGTGTTGTGCTGTGGTTGATCCGTGGGAAGGAAGGCGCACGAGGGGAACCATATCGAGCCTGAAGGTGGCAGATGCGGTGCATACCGATACATACTCTAATCTTGGGTGTGTAGACTGGGAGTGGCTGTATACCTCGTGGACGACTTCATGAGCTCCCAACCCACCTATTGATCTCGTGGTGGCCTGCGCATTATTCCCAGCTTCATGGTGGCGGAATACTGGTTGCAGAAGTCTGCAACATCGATGTTCCTTGCACCTCCTCTCGCCTCCAGGTCTATTCCCAGGACAACGGCTGCCAGAACACGTAGCAGGATTCTGGCAGATCTACCTTGTTTCTCTCCGTCACAGATACATAAAGACTATTAGGACCCCGCTAATACCAAGCAGTGAAGCAGTTCCGCCACAATCCAACCAAGACTCGAGATTTCGTCCAGCGTCCTCAATATACTCACAGCCGTCGCCGAATCCAATTAATACCCGGTTCACTCAGAACTCGTATCAGAGTACTTCTTACACTGAAAAGGAGGAGGTCTCCCCACAAAGTTCTCCTGAGCTGGGTCCTGCGAAGAATAGGTATGTCAATCTGCTGTGGACTTGCGCTTGAGCTGCCTACAAAACAAAATCTACGCAAAATCTCAAGGACTGTTCCGTCACTCCTACGTCTCACTTAGATGTTCGGGTTCTTTGTCAAAACCATCCCGACATCTCCCTTTGTTTATCCATGTTTGCGCCTCGTGAGCGGGAATAGATACTGACTACAACTAGGAGTCAATCACAGGAAGACGACGGGGTCTCGCCTATTGATGAAATGCCCGACGTTTCCCATCTCAATCTGCGTCCATCATCGGGTTCGAAACCTCCCTCGAGTAACATTCCGATCCTCCGACGAGAGAAGCGCAATCAGGTAGCTGCAGCGGCTGCGAATCTGGTTAATCGAAAGCAAGTTGGGGAGAACCCAAGAGGTCGAGTCGCGCATGATCCAAGATGGGATCCTTATTCTGGGGAGATCACAACAAGTGACAAGGGCAAGCCACAATCCGTTAAACCAGGAACATTCTCACCACCTGGACTTCGTTCTGTCCACAAGGAGACAGGACTCGTACTGGGAAATGAATCGAGCATTACGACTGCAGGCCCAAAAGCTCACACCTCATTTAGCGATCGTGTTCGCAGACTGAAAAGCAATCATAGCGCACCAGTCGAACGACCAGAATGGAAAGGGGCAACTGGCCGAGTTACGCTGGTATCTCCAGTGCATGATCAGTTGGACATGCCTCCTATTAGTATCCCGCGAAAAAGCAGCAAGCGTGTCGCTTCGCCTCACTCGGAATCTTTTTCTGGAGGGAGTAGCCCAGTAACAATCGTCCGAAATAGCGATGGTGAAACGAGCCCTGCATCACCAGCCTACCCCTCACCAAACATCCACACTGTCCTCTCTGAAAAAAGCAGTCCTCGCATCGCAAATCCTCAGTCCCCTATTACCGTCAATCCGGATCCGGATGTCGTGTCACAATCAGCTGCAACCAAAACCCTGGCGCGGAATGCTGCCCCAAGCGAGTCGCATGACCATACAAATACCTGGGAGCGAGACGACGGCACCATGGCGAACATCGAGCGCAATTTCCGCGAACAGTTACAGAAAGTCTCGACGCCTATCACGGAAGAGCCTGAACCGGAATATATCCAGCCGGCCTCCCGCTTCAGCGTAACGACCTACGCACCATCCACAGCACACAATACCCCTCGTCCATCAACCGACACCTTCGACAACCACCCAATGCCCGACCCTTCCTCAATCCTCAACCGCCAGCGCCCTCGCCCAAGCGACTCCCCAGAATCAACCAAAAGCACCGTAACCCGCAAAGCGGTCGCCGCCCCGGCGCCCGCCTCCCCAGTCTTCATCTCCATGACCACCATCCCATCCAACCTCCCCGCTTCCAAGCGCTCCTCCAACATCGCCAAAAACCTGCCCATGTCACCGGCCGAGGCGTCCTCCCACGACCTGATCACCTCTTTACAAGCGCAGCTGGAGAATCTCGCGCACAGACGCACGAATATCAGTAAGAGTATCCGGCAGATGACGGAGCTGATGCCGAAGGATGGGGTGTTGATCACGGAGGAGGTGAGGAGGAAGAGGGAGAATGAGAAGTTGAAGGTGGAGAGGCTGAGGGAGGAGGAGAGGGATGTGAGGAGGGAGGAGCATGAGGTTGGGTTGAGGCTGCATAGGGCGTGGAAGAGGAGGGATAAGGAGGCGGTTTTTGAGCCGACGGGGTTGTGGGTTAGGAGGGTGACGGGGTGAGCTGTGGGGAGGGGGGAAGGGAGGTGGGAGGGATGTGTTGGAGGGGTGGGGTGGGTGGTGAGGTGTTGTGTAGGATATTTTGTATACTGCGTGGTTTGGGAATGGCGTTAAGAATTCGTCCATCGCTTAGCATGGGCGAGACTTGGAGGCATGGAGCGCTGAGCGTCGTATATTTGCTTTTGTCCGGTTTGGAGCGAATGAGCGTGCATTTTTGTTGGATGGAGTATGGGATTTTTGAGCGGTGCAACTCGGAATCTCTGCGGACCCTGGAAAGGAGGAAAGCCGGAGGTGGGTGGAAGAGAGATACATGTCTGAGTAGAATAGAACTGAGCTATGTCAAGAGTATGAGAGAGGTCATATTACATCATTCAATCAATCAATCAATCAATCAATATCCAAAAATCGCTGTTGGTTTTTTGCCTTGACGTTTTTCTTGCCTTATACGAGGCTTTTCTACTTACCCCTGTCCCTGGTTTTGTTTCTGGATATTTTTACCCTGTGGCATGTGCGGTCGGCATTGTGGCGTTGTTTGTAGGATGGATGGATGGATGGATGAATGAGGGGGTGGATGGATGATGAATGAATTCTCGGACGGAGGGAAGGGGGGAGGGGGGTATATATATGCACGTTCATACTTTTTGTCATGATTGTTCTAACAGCGTGGAAGCAAGCCACTTGAGGAACAAGAATAATACTGTGGATTTTGGTTTTGATCTTGGGTGTGAGGGTGAGGGTGTGAGTTTGGAGGTTGATGAGAGAGAGTATGCTTGTGAAGAGAGGTAGAGTGGGAGGATGTGGACTCGGGAGAGATTTTGTCGAGAAAAAGTACTGCGAGACAAGGAATCACTTGCGAGAGGAAAGGGAAAGGGTGTTACTGTCATTCTTCCCAAGTTCCCAACATTGTCGTTGTCAAATTTTATGGAAACCAACTCTCGGGATTTTGGGAAGAGGCCAAACCTTGGGTGGCTAGACAATCTCGAGCGTATTGTATGGTGTGAGTGGAAGGTATGGGAATGGAAGGGTATTGTTGAGAGAGTGATAGGGCTGGCTTGGGGTGGAGATGGGTAGCTACCCATTCCAGCGTATTTGTAACACGTCGGTTCGGGCTTGTCTGGGTGTTGAGGGTTTGGGATGAGCGGGGGAGATGTGGGGGTTATATACTTACTCACTCTCTACACCATTCCGTCTTCGGGTTCATGTATTTTCCTCAGATTACCTGTTTTCTTGTACCTTGTTGAGATATTCGCTGTTGCGTTTCGGATTGGGAATACTTTGGAGCTGGGGAATAGGATTGTGGATGGGAGTGTGACTGGTGGTTGTGAATAGGTATACTCCTGCAAGACTTCTACCCAGTCAGAAAATTTCAGGGTGAGGTGAATGGAGGTAGGTTTCATTCTCGGGATTCAGACGGCTGGGGATGGAGAAGACTGAGGGAGGAAGGTTGCGGGTATATAAACCCATGCTCTTCTTCTTGTGGAAGAGCAACAGCATTGTCGATTCGAAGGTGACGACAATTCATGGAGTTGGAGTCTGTGTCTGCTGTGGAGTGTTTGAGGTTTGAGTGCATTTGTGTATGCCAGTACAGCTTTTGCGAAGTTTGATGAGAGTGTCCAGGAGCATTACAGGAATGAGTTTGGATAGATCTGAAGGTGGTTGGAGATTGAAGAACATGGTGGAATGTAAATGAAAATTGAAGTGTTGTCGATGAATTTGATGTTGTCAATCCTCTGCTTTGGGTGATGTATCGTTTTCTGAACTGGAGAGGGGAAAAGACGAGAGCGCGAGGCTACAGCGAAGCCTGTGTAAGTTTACAATTCTTGAAACCTTCAGGATTCAGGCAAACTGGCACCATTTCTCATGTCTCCAGATTCTTTCCTTCCTTCACCGAGTCCCCGGGAAAGTTACAGATTGCTCGTCTCTGTATGACCAACTTGTATTTGACCTTGGGCTGATACAGATTATGCAGAAGGGGGGCGGCGATAAGATTATATACATGTCTGTGGAGTCTTGATTTGGAATTTAGATGGGCTACGCACTCGTTTGGGAGGAAAGGTGTTGTGTGTGGTAAGTGAATGTTGATGGGAATATCAGATGAGGTGGGTTTATTCATGTCCGATTTTCGTGGATGCAAGGGAATGTGGGGGGCAGGGGGAAAGCGAGGGAAGGACAAAAACCTCTGTCTGTTTCTCTCCAGCAACCCAGCAATTGGAAGTGGAAATCCTGTATCCAGAATATGGACTGTGTGTCTGATTCATTGCAGAGTAATGCTTGATTGGGTGCTGGAGTTTGGATGGTGCTTATGATTTCATTCTTTGAGGCTGGCAGATTGTTCAAGGTTGGAATGTGGTGGAGCATGGAGAGGGAAGTTGTTATTGTCAAGTTGTCTACTCTTGTGAAACTTCCGCTATCATTGTCTCTTTCACTATCGTCTTCATCTCATTTCCTTCGCACTGCTGAGGTGGACCTTCGTTCTATCCAAGTAATCTTCTGTCCGAATGCATAGAGAGGACACCAGTCATCATTTTAATGCGAGCCGCTGACCACTTTATGATTGACTTGGCGGGGTATAGCTGACTCTGCCCTATCCGTATCTCCTAAAAGAGTGTAGGGAATAAACAAAGTCAACAGTTCGCTGAATATTCGTTATAGAGAGAAGTCAAGTCTATATGGTGGACATTTATATACTCACCTGGCGAGGTTCAGAGATTACTTGACAGGGGTGGGTGACTGGGTGATATTCACGCTTTTCGATCTAATTATTCTCGGTGGCTCCAAACTGTTGCTTTGTAGGCTTTGTGAATACTTGAGGATATTAAATGAGACCAAGCTAGGTATGCTCGGCGGTATGTGGCATATAGACACTCTCTCTCCTGGCTGGGCTTTGATACATATGGCAAAAACGTTGGCAAACTTCAGAGTTGATAGGTTGCAATCGATGTATTGTGCTGGTTGGAAGAATAGGTCTATTCACTTGATTGATTTTCGGATGGGAATAATGGGAGAACAAATGCCGATAAGAATGTGGGGGCAATGTTGTGTTGCGAGTTTGAAAGCTCAAGACATTCGAAGTTGGTGAGATGCTGTCGTTTCCGAGACCGCTGTCAGATTCTGTTTGCCAGTACTGTAGGTATGTTGTTATATGAAAGGGAAGAGTACCAAGAAGGGGGGTCCATAACGCGGTCCCTAGATCACATCAAGTCCAAAAAGAAAGGTGGAAAAAGTTCAAGCCTGGTCCTCGTTCCCTGACTTCCTTGCACGACTTTGTTCTTCTGGTTTGCTTTGTATCAGACTTGAATGAAAGTAAACCGCAACGGTCGGGGCTATTTATATTCTTGCTGTCTGTGCAGATGTTGCGATCGAATATCGAGAATGCTGATCGTGCTGATGGGGAGCGGTCTTCACCTGTCTGCCTTGAGCTATGATATTCACCCTTTCAGCTTCATTCAAGGATGTTGCTGTGACGAGGAGATGACGGGTATATAAAATCCAAGCAATCATCATTGCTCGGCAACCGATCATAACATGGTGACGGGAGACATAAGGGAAAGAGAAACTTCAATGTGAGATTTTGACTTAACATATTTCCAGAGGACGGGCATCTTATATACATGTATACCTCAGCTGGCAGTCCTGCTTTGAGATCTCTACTGGGAAAATGTATTCATGGGAAGGTGCCTTTGGATCTTAACAAGCAAAGAAGTCGCAGTGCTGTCAGATCTTGGGCCATTGTCGAAGCTTTTCATCTACAGAGCTGAAGGATACCGTAATCTCACCCCACATCGGAACATAAAGATGATCAGAAGTCTAGTATGGGATTCTTGATATTTATTCATTCATTTAACTTATCTTAATTAGTACTACATGATATTTGAACTGCGTCTTGAAGTGCCCAGCGTAGTGATACCTGATTGTGGCGAATGTTCTCGTCATTGATCGTGATAGGAATGAGGACTCCGTATTAAAGCCTCTGTGATTCCTCAACTTCGGAACTACAAGTCAATTGATAGCGCTGCTTGTGATTGTGAATTGTTCTATGGAGCATGTAATTTGCATGCAGCTAGCTTCGTTCAAGAACGCAGTGGGTACTAAGATAACACTTTATCCTGTTTGAAAGAGACAAGCTATCAATCTAACCCAGAGTCAGATTCATGTGTGCTCGGTCACTGCGGAACATTGTGAACTCCATCGAAGCTGCTAGGTCTTAACACTTGCCTTATAGGCTCCCAAGTTTCAGGGAACATATACCTGTGGTAAAGATGAGAATTCAAATACTAGTCCAATGCTTGCTAGTGAAGTGGCACGGAACATATTTTGGAGAAAAGTTGAAATGCTGTCGACATTTATCTTGTTGTCGTTGTAACTCCTTAGTCGACTTTGGGAAGCAAGATTAAGGCCCATGCCAAGGTAAAATGATAATTTCTGTATTATCTCTCGCATATGGAGGTCTCTTGGCCTTTGAAAGTCCGACAGGTAAAGCGGTTATATGAGATCAGGATACTCCCATAACGCGATCTGAAGGTGTGGTGGTGAGACCGTTCAACCTCTCATGCTTTACAATTAACACCTTCTTATATATGAGAACTGCGCCCAGTCTCACTTACCGAAATCCATTCCGCTTAGTAGAGAAATTCACTCAGGGCACGGCCAAGCGCACCCGACTTCTTTTTATTCATGTTATTACATTGCGGCTTGGAAAGATTTGGGAGCTAGGAATTGGGATATAAAAGCATGATTTAATGTCAGTCTTTGCTGCAGTAGACAATAACCAGAGGGACTTTGTATCGTCCTTGGGGAGCAAGGCTCTTTTCGGCAGATTTCATTTTGTTCGTTTTTTCGAGAATCATATGAACAGATCCGGGTTTAAAGAGTCAGTATTCTTCATGGCTCAGAAATGTCCATAATGTCAGGGGTGAGAGAGACCAATTTGGATTTCTCTAGCTGTTTGTTGCTGTCAAATAATGCTGTTGCCAGACTTACAACCCAAGGTGATTTTCCACAATACATGCACCTAGAACTTTGGGTGAGACTCAAACGTAGAAAGTGGAAATCATCCTCAGTAAATTCTTTAAATACGAAGTGTAGTTCGTGATGAGCTATGCCGCCATGTCCTGGGATTGTCGGTTTTTCGGATGATGTGAGGTCAAGATAGTTCTTCTGTTTTAGAGGAAGCGATGCTGATGAATTAAGTCCAAGGCACAGAAGATGCACAGTTCCATATCTGCATTAAACCTGGATCTCGAATTTTTCTTGGGCCTCGAAATCTCAATTCTAGGGTGGCTGTTAACTCGCTTAAAGGATTAGTTAATATCTCCCTGTGCTAGTATCTTGTATCTCCAGTGCCGAATGATGTTCCGTGGGAAATTTCGACTACAGTAATTTGTACCGTGCCACTCAGCATTTCATCAACGTGATTCTAGTGAGTGATGTCGATCCAGTCGAAGACATTGCGATACCGCGCGCCATATTAAAGTTTGAAGAAAACGAAAAGCATTGGTATTTGTGACCAAGTGACGAAAGCTGCTAGTACATAATGAGTTTTGACATAAGTACCTACACAAGTACATCTGGACCCTTGGCTGCATAAGTATTCCTCTCAGCTTTGCTAAGCGAGGGGTGTGTCAAATTCCTTAGCGGCTGATCTTCGCAGCCCACCCCGCGCACACCCACACGAAAAGATGGCTAGCTACCTTGGCATATTTACTAGAAGAGGAATTATAGCCTGGAAGCGCGTTCTTGATCACCTCTTCAGCAGCTTGAAGGAAGCATGGCTTGTGGCGTGTATGCCTATTCCAGCCAAACTCGAGTGCCTTGCCATGGATCATGACCTCGGTGCGTTGTCGCAGAGGATCAGACAGAAGGTTCGGCGAATGATAGATGACTGCTCTATATCACAATGAAGTTGTTAATAAGGCGAAATAGTCCATCCGGCAGCCTCGCGATGGTCAAGAACACCGACCCGCAGGTGGTGCTCTCTTCACCGAATATTCGTACAGGATGCGCCATCGTTCATGTGATTGGCACATATCAGAAGTCTTGGATTCGCAAGATGGCTTCCAGACCCAGATCAGGAACACGTCCAGAACATGATTCTGTTTGCTACCAGGGACGTCCACAAGTAGAAGTGAGACCCTCTCTATGTACATAATACCCGTATGCTATCTATTCAAATTCAAACACACTCTCATTAGCTTGGCGACGAAGACCACCATGAAGTTTCTGTGGTCCCTCTTTATCTTTGCTACCAACCTCTTTGCTGTCTTGGCCACGGTCCTGGTACCCTTAGACAATTCGGTAAACCCTCAAGTCGCTGCTCGTGATGCTCTTGAGCAACGGGATGCTGTGCAGGTTTGCAAGGCCATACTGATCGCTCTTAAAGCTTCTGCGTTTTGCTCGTCGTTCGTACCAATCGTGAAGAGCACAACTACACAGACTCGGACCGGACCTCAGCAATTCCAGACAGTGACTATCACACCCGACACTGCTACCGCAACTGCGACAGTGACTACTGGTGCGGCGCCGCCAGCGAGGAGAGCAAACCCAACATGTTCCATCAGGGGTCTGCCGGTCCCTATCAAAGCCTTTGCATGTGATGTCATCAAAGCAGCCTGCATCGCTTTCGTCAAGCCTGGTAGAACGACTGTGAGTGTAACAATCGACTGCTGCAATTACTTTCCTTCTCTAATCGGAACTTCCGCTTGTAGAAGACAACAACTGTACCTGGGCCAACAAGTACAACGAGTACAACTTTAGCAACCCAAACCTCGACGACGACGACGACAACAACCACAGCCCCAGCTGCCCCAACATGTACACCGGGTCCTTTTCCTATCGACCGCGTTTGCCAATGCGTGTACACCGTCGCATGTGATACCGACTCCCCGACGGACCCAGCCCTGACCATCTCGTCTGCTAACTATCAACAATGTGCTCAGACCTGTGACGACTTGAATGATTGCACAGCTGTCGTTTTCAGTCGTACACCAAATGGTGGAGGGATCTGCAAAATATATGCGCTCTCTCAAGCTCCTACAACCGTCTCTGCGCCAGGCGTTGTGTTTGTATCAAGAGACACGGGAAGTTGTGGTAATACAAGCTGCGATTCTTGATCCTAGCGCCAACTCGCCAGCTTCTCTGTCAAGCAGCTTTGTTTTATTGTAGCTAGAGGATGTCTAATTTTCAAGATGAACTGTGAATGGGGACTCCCTTTCCTAGTTGATGTATCTAAGAGAACAGGAAGCCATATTTGACCTGTTGCGAGTTTTCTCGTTCCACTTAAGACGGGGACGTTAACCCATATCTAAATGCAAATTAGGACTTTACGTATATTTGCTCATTTTCAGAATATGGCATTTGTAAGCTGGTAGATGCCAGGGTGATTTGAGTCGCCCGAGTGACCGGAATGTTTCGTTCATTGAGAGTGTTGGTGTCCGCCGGGCGGCGGCGAGCTGAGCCGTTCCCAACGACTCGATACTGTCCAATCAAAAATGATATTCCAAACTTATCTCCCCCGCTGTATCCCTGAACCACTAATTGATCTTTGATGATCTTGAACAGTCGTTTTAGTAATGGCAGAAACGGTACTGTGGAGCTGCTTGTGCAGCCAAATGTTGTTTTGATCTTTCGCTTATTGATATCCCTGTTCCAGGGTGCTAAAACTTGCACTTCAACACCAATGTTATTTCCGTGATGAATAGGAGACCTGTTTTGGCTTAAAGTCTTACTTAAGAGAGAGTAAGGGCAAGTGTTCCTGATCATCCCCGCTCGGGGATGGGTTTAGTAGGTTTACAAGGTGTCTCCACAACCATAACAGCCATTCACAAGAACTGTGCCAATAGCGCAACGTGAACGAATTCAAAAATCGTGAATAGTTTATGTCGAACCCGATCTGGGCCGGAATGTAACAAAAGTTTTGGCTTCTTGTTGGTGGTTCACCATGATTGCTCCTTCCTCGTCATGTGATAACGTGGCGCGCGCTAGTCCCAACCATATTTTGACATCGACCTCTGTCAATTCCTGGACTGAACATCTCGCAACACGACCAGGCTCCACCACGATGTCTTTCGCATTACCAAAGACTTGAGAATCAGTCTCGTCTTTTATCATCGTTAGTCTGTTACTCTGCGGAATCGAGACAATCGAGACGCGATATGAGGCTGGCTGCTGACGTATTACAGTGCTACCCTCACCCGCGTCTCGTCACGTCGTCAGATAATCTTCCAAAGCGAAGGCGACCAGCATTGCACCCAATGATTTCGAGTATCACATTGAAATTGCCACACGGATACACGAGATGCCTCGCAAATCCATGGGCGCTTTCAACTCGTGAATTATGGAGATGGCGCACGTCCCCGAACATAGAGCTCGACCCGATATTGGAAGATCATGATACATTTACTACGATCATACAAGAACACACTGTCCACCAACCATTGCCAATAGAGGTACAAACAAACAAAAACAATCATTACTCATATACAAACCCCTCAAGCTCTACTTCCGACCAGTTAGAGACTCAGTCACCATTCCCAAACCAAGCCCCTTGAGGATACCCTTGATACCTAGACCACCGAGCAGATTATCAAGTAGTCCTCCAAGTCCCAGACCGCTCAGGAGTCTACCGACAAGACCCAGGACACCAGCAAGGAGTAGACCAACAGCAGCCAGAATCTGTCCCAATGGCTCTGCGAGCAGACCCCAGAGAGGGTTGAGTTCCTTCTTGGCGTGCGGCATCCCGGCGATCTTCTTCTTTGCCTTCTCAATTGTTTGCGTAACGTTTCCGGTGAGCTGTGGCAAGGTTAGTATAAGCTTTGGTCTCTGGTACAGATCAACTAACCTCCTTCAGAAGCTCAGCAAGGTGGTGCTCTTCTGGTGTCGCTTCTCTGGTAGCAGCCTTCTGCTTTGCATTGGCCGTGATTCTGCCATCAGGATCCATTCCACGGATCGCACCATTTGTCTCCGTGAGGATGCGGCCGCCTTCTTCAATGAGAGGCTTGACTTTCTCGACCAGCTTCTGTTCGTCACGATCGGCCTCCTTTTGGCGCTCGACAGCATCGATTTCCTGAGCTAGTTAGCAATGTTCACGACCTCAAAGGATCAAGCACTTACATCCGTGATGTTCTTGAGGATAGGAGATATCTTATCAATCGACTCCTGTATGGTGTATGCCATGCGAGAAGCCAGCTTTGTGTCTTGCTCGACTTGCTTCCTGGCATCAATCTCTTCCTGCGACTCTTTTGGTTCTTCCTCGACCACCTCTGGCTCTGGCTCTGCCTCCGGTTCAGGCTCAGCTGGAATCTCATCAAGAAGTGTCACGTGACCAATAACTTGGTTCTTCGAGTTGTACACGTCTCCATCAGCGTCAATCTCTTTCCCAGAGCACTTCGTGATCTCTCCTTCCGTCAATTTGGCTATGAGGTCGCCATTTTCATCCACGACGTTCCCCTCGCGATTGAGCTTTCGACCCTCGACTGGGCTGTGAGTCTTCTCCTTTTCCTCTTCATCCCACCTTTCGGCCTTTCCCAGACAGTTCCCGTTGCTGTCTATGACTTCTCCATCCGCGTCAACTGCTTTGCCGTACAGCTTTTTCATATCCCCCTCAAGGAGACGTCCAATGATTGTTCCTTTCTATAGGTGGATTAGCGGGCAAGTCAGTCATAATTGCTGACATCCACTTACAGAATCTGCAACCATTCCTTCCTTGTTCACTTTTGGGGAGTCAAACCCGCTGAATGGCCCCTCTTTCTGTCCGTCCCTTTCACTGTCCGATACCAATTCTCCCCTTCCAATGATTTTTCCGCTGTCATTCCAGATAGCGCCGTCTTTGTCGCATACTTTCCCTGAGAGACTCTTGATGTCCCCATCGACGACGCGCCCATAGATACTCCCGCTGGAGTCAACCAATTTCCCCAACTTGTTCACTCGCTTCCCTGCCAAGATGGAAAGGTCAATTTTCTCAGCTTCTGGCGTCTCTTCGCTCCACCGTTCAACCTTCCCCAAAACGTTCCCTGAACTGTCTGTGATATCCCCATCAGCATCCACCCTTTTCCCTTCTAATTTCTTGGCATCTCCCTCCACCAGTCTTCCCACTACTTTCCCCTGGAATAACACTTTCCCATCATCTCGAAGTACTGAATCAGGAAAATCCTCGAAAGGTGAATCCTTTGATGGATTCCTGTCATCCACATCCAGAAGTTCTGAGGTCCCAATGACTTTCCCTGACTCGCTCCATATATTTCCGTCGGAGTCTACTGTTTTCCCAACCAATTTGGTCTTGTCACCCGAAATGACACGCCCAAACAGCCTCCCTTCAGAATCTACCACATTCCCTGCCTTATTCACCTTTTTCCCCTCCAAAATCGAGAGGTCAGCCTTCACAATCTCCTGTTCCACAATGTCCTCTTCCTGGAATCGTTCTGCCTTTCCTATCAAGTTCCCATTTTTATCCAAAATATCCCCATCGGAATCAACGGTTTTCCCCTCCAATTTCTTGCCGTCACCCTGCACCAATTTCCCAATGATCCTGCCATCGAACAAGACATCACCTGACTTATCCACGACACAATCTGGAAAATCTTCGAATGGTGCGGAAGTAACCTCGCGGTCACTTTCTGGCAGCAGTTCTGCCCTTCCAATGATGACACCCTTGTCATCCCAGATTTGACCTTCGACATCCACTTTTTTACCAGCCAATTTCTTGGGATCTCCCTCGATGAGTTGGCCGTATGGGATGCCATTCTCGTCCACGATTTTCCCAAGTTTGTTTACCTTCATGTCCTTGAGGATGGAGAGATCTGGTTGCTCAGGAGTGTCTTCAGCGATTTGGTTTTCATCGACCGGCTTTGGGTCGAGTTCGTTCAGCTCTTCGGGCTCTTCTGTAATCTCCGGAACTGGTGCCTCACCGTCGACGGCTTTGGCGTCCAGGTTTTCGGCTGCCTGGGGCTCCCCAGCAACCTTGGAGTTTGATTCCTTGGCCACCTCAGATCCATCTGCACTCAAGTCTTTGGCTACCTCATCTCCCTCTGCAACTCTCGAAGCACTGGCAGGATCAACCTTGGAGCCAAGATCTTGTGCTTGTCCCCTCTTCTCCGCCACGTTGGGAGCATCAGCTGGGACTTTAGAGCCACCAACTTGAGACGCTGAGTCATCAGGCTTCAGATTGTCCACATCTTTGTCAGCGCTGAGACCTGACTTCTCATCTGCGGTCAGTTCTGGCTTTGCTGTCTCTTGATCTTGCAGCTCAATGGCACTGTCTGCCTTTTCCGACAGCTGTTCATCATCGACTGTCTCATCTGGCTTTTTGGAAGTGGCGTCTTCGAGTAGTCCTTCCTGCAGGTCTGCTTTGCCGATGGTACTCCCCGATTCGGCCTTGAGATTTCCGCTGGCATCTATGGCTGTGATGGCAGTTCCGACGAGATCTTGGGGTTTTCCTTCAGCGAGCTTCCCTACGACTGATCCAGTAGCGTTCGTGATGTCGCCGTTATCTTGAACTCCGAATGGAGCCTGAGCCTCAAGCGATGGCTTGTCTCCAGATGCGGACTTGGAAACGTTCTGTACCAAGTCTGCTGTCCCTATGACGTTTCCCTCCGCGTCCAGGATATCACCCTCTTGATCTACCAAACTTCCTTCGAAATTTGATACCGCCTCTCCGTGTACATGTCCAATGGTGATCCCGTCTTTGTCCAAGACGTTTCCTTCATTGTCTACGCTGCCAGCTATCGAATGTATTAATATTTCCAATCTTTAGACTGTCTGTGAGACATGTGTTTGAAAAACTGACCTGGGATGACCTCTGTGCCGTCATCTTCTGACTCTTCTTCCACGCCATCATTCGTAGCATTGTCGAGACTCTGATCCTCAGCCATACTCTCGAGGTCGTTTTGTGTAAACGGATCTCCTTTGGTGCTTGTTTTGGCGTCGTCGACTTGTGACTTGTCACCTTTCAGGGATTTGCTTGTATCACTCTTCTTTGGTGTCTTTCTGGGAGCTCCGCTGTTGCTTGGAGTTCTTGGAACCTTGGGCATACTGCCCGTCTGCCTGCTTGCAACATCCGTCATGATGATAGGATGGTGTGAAGCTCTGTATTGCTGTGAGAGCCTCCTGATGATCTTGAATGGTGATTGATTGTTGTGACGTGAGGTTACAATTATATTTCGATCTTGTGGTGGATGTGGAAAGATGTATGGGTATTGAATCGAGAATGATAGATGGTATAGATTTGAGAAGGAAGAGTAACAAGCACCCATATTAGTATCTCTAAACTCAAATAGCAGACAAGGATGAGCTTCAGCAAGAAGCGACGTCATCAATGAGTGTTTACAGAGCTGACTGCGAAACACAGCCCTTCCTCCAGGACCAACCACTTACTTGCATCAGGAAATAAACCTTTAGACGGGATGAAGCTCCTGGAACCTGGCCCTGAAGCATCGCCATGACGCCTCCTTTCATCATAGCAGTCCTGCTCACTCCAGAACCAATCCTTTCCACAGAATTTCAAGTTTTGGTCTCCGCATCTTGGGCCTAGACAAAAGGATTATCCCGTCCGGAGATCCAAAACATGGAAACTTGTGGAGTGACAGCTCCGAGCTCCGTCACCCTGAGCAAGAATGATGCCAGCCAAAGTCAACATTCAAGCCACATCTCGCTTCTACTGACATCGTCGATCAAGTCCTGTCCCAGGGTTAGCTAGGTCCCTGTCTGAGATCATCGAGCCTGGACGTCGATCCTGCGGAAACCAAGAGAAAAACCCGTGGCTGACCCTCAAACCCTCGCTAATATTTTTGCTAGGGTTATTGTAGAACACCAGCCACCACCCGAGGCGACTACGCTACGCTAGATTGGGTAGTATCAACAACAAGGGATATCCTCCACATACATCTGCAAATGCAGCAGTAATCCAGAATGGCACTTTCGCTCCTTCTATCACTGCAATGTCGATCTTGTCCGATCATTGGATGGAGACTTGCAGGCGACTCTTGGGATTCGTCACCTTACTATCTGCTGCAGTGCAGTCTTCTCTCTCGTTTCTCCCTGCTAAGAGCTGCAATAGTTCAAGTCACATATATTTGGCGGCAAATGCAACAGAGTTCAAGTCTTTACATTGGCTGAGTTATGTCCGGCTGTGATGTCTCTTAATGCTATCCTGTTTTTATGCTTGATGCTTGGGCTGCATCCGGAGCCGTGTCCTTGAAACATGGGGCATACACCATATCTATACATATACCTTTTGTTCCTTAATGGGAAATGTCTCTGCGGCGTGAGAGCTAAAGTAAGATGCAATGCAGAGCTTGTCACATACAGGTGTGGCACTGTAGACTTTGGCTTTTGAACTTTCTCAACCGTGGCGAAACCCACCAAGCTCCATATTCCAAGGCTCATGATCAGCCACAAGAAACAAAAACTACGCAAACGGCGTTTGTGCTTATGCAAATCAAAGCGAAAAGCAGGATTAGCATGCAGATGCAACTTTCATACCCCGCACACTTGTCCCAGAGTACGAAGTGGGCCATGACGAGACAGGCCGGGATGCACGGTTGGCTGGATGCTTCAACGAAGTCATAGCTCCCCGTCTCCGTCGTCACTGATTCCACAACAAGAAAAATCTCAAGGCAGGTTTGCTACATGATTTCAGAGTTTCTTTTACCATTAAACCTTCGGAATCTTTTCTTTCTACAGCTTCAAACTCTACACTTTCAACACTTCTTTACATTTACGATCATGTCTGCTCCACGAACACCGAAGGCCCCTCAAATGCCTATGGGCCAGGGTGAAATGCCCAATAAGACTCCATCGTCATTGAAAAAGAAGAAAGTCCCGACAAATGGAGATGTCAACGGCGTTGAGAAATCCGCTTCCAAATCTTCTCCCAAACCTCCCCCTCAGCAAGATGATAGTCAATCTCCTGGATCACCCATCAGGAAGAAGAAGCGAGTTCCGAAACCAGCTGCTGATGTCGCTCCACCAACTCCTCAAGCTTCTGACAACGCCAAAGCTACCGACCCCGAAGAGACTCCAAAGAAGGTGATCAAAAAGAAGAGGCCAGTTCAGCCTCCAGCGGAGTCTCCAGCTCCAGATGCCGACCAAGAGCCTCAACCAGATCAAGCAAAGTCTTCCTCTCAACGTCGAGATTCCGAGTTTGACGATGACGCCGCTCCGCCGCCAGATGTTCAGAAGCCAATCATGAAGAAAAAGAAAAAGCCGGCTCTAGCACCAGAGCCTGAACCAGAGCCAGAGCCCGAAATGGCTTCTGAGTCGGAGCATGACGATGATGAGCCAGAGGAGGAGGAGAATGACTATCAGTCGGTCACTAATGGTGTGCATGATCAGGACGATCATGACGATGGGTCTGATGATCACGGCGATGACCAAAGCGAGCGGAACTCGGATGAGGACGAGGAGGATCACGATTGGGATGATGGAGAGTCCGATGACGGGCCATTGGATGGCGTCACCAATACTGATGGTGAAGCTCCTAAGAAGGCTCAAGACGCAGCATCTGGAGTTCCAGAACAAGCTCAACAAGGTGTCGACAAAGCCACAAATGGCGTCACGAAGGACGCTCAGAAGAAAACTTCAGATCTTTCAGATCAGGCTCAAGATACCGCCAAAGGTGCCACAGACAAGGCAACTTCATCAGCGAAAGGACTTACTAAGGTTCTTCCTGGTCTAGGAGATACGCCGGATCGGTCTGCCGGAGGTGATGCCTTGAATGGAGTCAAGAATACCGCAGAAGATACTGGAACTAAGGCCAGATCTCTCCCAGATACTGTCCCAAAGAAAAAGAAGAAGTCCAGTGGGCTACTGGGTGGTGTCGCAGATTCTGTTGGCGAAAAAGTCGATGGCGCAACAAAGCAAGCAAATTCTACTGCTCGCGGCGCTGTTGATAGTGGCAAGGGAGCGGCACCTGATCTTGGTGACAATGGAGGTGGTGGTGCTCTTGAGGGAGCCAAAGATACCGCTGAAAAAGCAGTTGGTAATGACCTAGACAAAGCTGGGTCCGCTGTGGGCGATGTCCAGAACAGCGCACAGCCTACAGTCGGAGACGTCCAAGACAAAGCCCAGTCAATGACTGGAGATGCCACAAAGGCAGTCAGTGGTGCAGCAGGGAAGCCAACTGAACTGGCAAATGGAGCTACCGATACTCTGGGAGGTCTCACAAACGGTGCGACCGAAGCTGTTGGGGGTGCTACAGAGGAAGGCAAAGATCTCGCTGGGGGAGCAACTCAACAAGTCACGGAGGCTGTTGACGGTGCCAAATCACTCGCAGGAAACACAGTTGACGATTCAGGAAACGTACATGATAAAGCAGGGAAACATCTGGGAAAGGTCACGGGAGACTTGAAATCCATGACAGGGAGAAGTGTGAATGATGCGGGTGCAATCGTGGACGATTCTGGGAAAGTTCTGGGGAATGTGAGTGAAGTGGCGAGTGCGAAGGGTGATGAGGCATCGAAGATCGCGACTAAACATGGTGAGGATCAGGTTGGTGGGAACGCTGACTCGGCGAATGTCAGTGTCAGTGGGATTGAGATCAAAGTCGAGACGAACCCTAACGGGACGACTCTCACGATCAAGATCCCGGGTGCGTTCCAGCAGCAGTAATTTTGTCACAGCCTTGATTGTTTGGATTGGACTGTTTTTGTTTTGATTATGTATGACGAATATGAACTGTATGTAAATTTGGTTTAGCTTTGTAATCTTATCATTTGTTTTCTACCATTCCTATCGATACGCACCAGTACTGTCCCATATCACTCATGAAATTCCTCTACCTGTGAGAAGCCACCCCTTGCAAATCCATGACCGCAATGTCCAAATGTCCAACCCGTTGGATTCCCACGAGCTCGCGTCCGTGCAACCCCACTCAATCCTCTTTCACATGAAATTTCTACGATGTCAAACCTAGAACGCTGCAAATGCATTGACTCGTAAGAAATCCAGTTTTTAGCCCTCCTCGTGGGATTGAGTTTGAATTAATTCGCACAGACTCCTCAGCCACGTCCTTGCAATTCTGACATCTAGCGTCTAGAGTAGAGTTTCCGCCACACCTCTGCCGTGCCACAGGCCTTCGTGATGCAGCTTCATCCATGTGCTCGAAAAGCAAAATCAAAGGATCTCTAGCTCGACTCTTGGGACTGTTGCATTGTTGCAGACAATAACAAAACCTGTTTTTCGTGCTTTGCTGTGCATCGCTAGGTTTTGGGGTGGAGTGAGTAGGTCCACTGTTTGCATCACCGGATGAGGCGGGTAGGTCGTCGTACCCCGCCGCTGAAGGTCCACTGTGGTGTCCATCAGGTCTTTGTCAGAGAAACTCTAGGATCGAGATCGAGATCTAGGTGTTTTGACATATCCACCCTGAAGGTTGAGAGTTGACGCAGGCATTTGCACAGTGAGACGGACGGTATTGCGAGAATGGTCAAGACGTTGTTGCTGTGTTTTATACACGGCTTCAAAGGAGACGAAGAGACCTTCTTTGAATTTCCAGACGTTTGTTCCCCAAGAAATCCAACTTTATGAGGGCAATCCACACTCTGACTCCATATCTCTAGGCACTCAAGAAATCCGTGTCGCAAAAGTCCCCACATCTGGATGTGCAGACGAGAGTATATCCCAAATACGAGACACGAGGGGATCTAGCCGCTTGTGTGGAGACATTCAGAGAATGGTATGCTGTTTGCACGATGCTACTTTGCATCTCTTACTGATCGATGAATGGCAGGCTGCAAGATCAGGTTACCAATCTTGAAAGAGATGCCGCGACTCCATCTGCTATTCTGGATCCTTCAGTGGGGGTAGTCTTGGTGGCTCATTCTATGGGGTATGTCCGCCGTACCAAGTATCGCGAACACAATTTCCATAACTGACAGTTGTAATTTCCAGAGGTTTTGTGGCAGCCGACGCATTATTCTCGGTGCTTGACGATAGACCAGTGTCGAATATACCAGGGCAGATGTTGATGTTCCCGCTGATTCATGGCGTCCTCACTTTTGACACGCCCTTCAATGGGCTGTCTCGCTCCATGTTTGCGTATGGAGCATTCTCACAGTATCAGAACCTGAGCTCGGTTTGGAACATCTTTTCAACTGTATCCTCTTCCCTCACTGGAGCATCGACTCCTTCAGCTCTAGCCACCACAGCTCAAGCATCCTCTTGGATGCGCTGGCAGACACTTGCTGCCCGTACCGGAACATATGGTGCTATCGTGGCAGGAGGAGTCGCGGCGTACATCCACAGAGATAGCATCCGCACCTCCCTCTCAAAAATCAAGAAGGAAGATCTCAATCCTTACAACATCAACTACAAAGACAATGTATCGCGAGGGCTCACCTACGTGAGTCGCGACAGTATTGGTGAAGGCTTTGCATGGATGGCAAGCCATCTTAAATTCGTCGGCGCTCTAATGAAACAAGCACAACTGACGACCCGGCTTGAAAGACTCAGCCAACTCGAAGGCTTGGGCATCAAAGATCTCTACACCTCTCTCGGCGAAAACGGCTAGTGGAGCGGCGGTTATTTCGTCCCTAAACGTACATTCTGCGCCGTACCCACTGAGAAAGAAGCCGCTGCCGCAAAAATCTTCCAAGAACAGCCCAACAAGAAAGCAAAAAGCGAGATCGAAGCCCACTGTAGCATGTTCCGTCCCGAAAAGAACGAGATGTTCGATGAGATGCTCGAGACATCTGCGACGCTTGTGAGTGAATGGGCGAAGAACGATCCGAGGAAGATTGTGGATGAGTATAAGCCGACAAGGGAACAGCTCACCAGGACGCAATCGGAGTCGCAGCTTTGGGATGATGATGGCAAGATGTTGAGTCCGAGATTGTCGAAGGAGAAGGATAAGAGTGAAGATGAGTTCCAGTTGCAGGCTATCTTGAGGTGTGCGGAGATGCCGCAGTTGGTGGATGGTGGGGTTGATGAGGAGAGTTTGAAGAGAGCGGCGGAGACGCCTTTGCCTATTGATGAGGAGTTTATCAAGAGGATGAAGGCAGATGATGGAGGAGAGGATATTGAACTCAAAGAGGCGATGGTGGTGCCTCTGCCAGCGGATGATTTGGTCGTGTGAGCGTTCGTATGAGGCAGCGTGGGCGAGATTGACGAGTTACGACATTAATGATGTACTTTTTGTATACTTCACCTTTTATTTGTAAAAATCTCATAGTAGTCATAATCCTGCTTTGGAGTAATTGTACATCATATCATCAAGTAGTCAAATCCGCTCATTCTCATCAAGTGTTTCCCGCCACTCATCTCGACAACAAACCCTTATCCACTACCTTCCCGACCGGTGCAGCAAGCCCATCTTCCGCAAACACATTGCCGACTGTCTCTCCCACAGCATGTTGGATGCCATCTATGTCCTTGTTTCCAGTGACTTCTGTCTTACTCAATGTATCTATTTCCGATCAGCCAACTTTCCCACCTTTCCCATAATGAAGTCACCAAGGTAAAGATAAAAACAAACCTTTGATACCATATGATGTCCTGTTCTGTCCAAAGTACTTCAAGTACGTATCTTCAATCCACCTCATCGTAGCCTCATAATACGTATCCTCCTTCTTCATCGGGTTTTGCGGGGTAACGTTGACATTGGGATCCATCTTGCCGATCGTTCTTCGGATGATGGTCAGGTGGATTTGTCAGGTAAAAGAACTCTTGGATAGTCTTGCGTCAAATAGCGTGAGTGAATCTGCTATGCTATGGTGTGATGTGCGTTTTGAAGTGGAAACTTGAGTGAGTGGTTTTGCTCGGACGGCGGCACGGAAGAAGAGGAGGGACGGGGACTGTATTTCGAAAACCTCGCAAAGCTTGAGAGCTGTTTCTCGGACTCCGAAAACCTGTTACTGGTCTTTGCCTTCCAAACTCAAACGTCATTGTGTTGCTGTCACTTTCAGGTAGGAGAGTTATTGATGATGTGGCTGTGGCTTGAGATGTGTCATGTGGAGTAGGTGTCAGAGATCAGCGGGATGGCGGGGGAAGTGGAATGGGTTTGACCAGGACTAGGTGGATAGGAGGTCTAGATGTGTTTGTGGCATTTGATATAATCGTTTTGCCAGGGAGAGATTTTCTGAAGTGCCATTTTTTCCACTTTTCGATATGAGGCATGAGAGGCATGGTTCAGGGTCCTAGATTCAGAAGCGTGAAGTCATAAGTCGCCTTGGTGCTGTTATTGGTGGAGTCAAGAAACGTCTAGACAGCTGATCCGAGGCTACTAGAAGGGCAACTGGCGCCTAAAATCGTCTTTTTATCTGAGAGATAGTGTAGAAATCTAACTTGCTGGAAGGTGTCTTGGAAATGGGTACGATTTCTACCAGTAAACGAAGAGTTCTAGATAGTGTCATTTGGGTCGGTTGGCAAAGCTCTCCGATGAATCTCACATGATCCTCACAAACTTCTCTCGAGAGCCTGTATTAAAGATCCAATACTAAGCATGCCTTAAAGCTCCTTTGAACGCCAGAACTCCCAAGTGACTCCTCAATTATCTCAAAATGGTATCACCTTTTCTCATCTTAATCTCCCTCCTCGTCAGCTCAACTTCCATTATCCTCTTCGTCACCTCGACTTTCTGTGCCAGGCCATCATCATCCACATCAAAGTACAGGGCCCAAACACCTTCTTCCTCTTCAACCACAGTGAACCCTTCCCACCCATCAAAATTTAGCCTCCTGTCTATAGGTGTGATGTTCCAAGGCCCAACTAAATTTCCCTCTGCTTGTACTTTCAAGCCATATTTGATCTCGTATGTGTCTTTGTCGATGTAGATCCAGTTGAGTTGTGGAGGGTCATCTGAGATCGTCGATACGTATCCCTCGCCTCGTCGTCCCCAGTTGCTATTTGGGTAACCGAAGAAATATCCCGCGAATTGATGACCTTGACTTGTGATGTTGTCCTCGCCCTCCTTTGGCAGGAACTTCGACTTCGGATTTACATTTTGTGACATAGAGCTAGATTAATCTCAGTTCGAATGGTTCGAAAAGCTTGATCGGTATCACTTTCACTGTGAAGTGAACTCACCTTGTTGTTGCGAAGGACAACGGTCCCACCATGAATATCACGACTTTTCCGTGAGGGGTCATTGCAGGTGACATACAAGTTGGCTTTTCGACCTCGGTGAGCTTCTTTGGCATTCTGTTTCTGGCCTTGACGAACAGCTTCTGTGGTTCCAATAATTGCTGGACAGGCAGCAATTGAGGTCAGGATTCCAAGTGGCATACTGATCTACGAGCACAGAATAGGCGTCAAAATTCTCTCTAACACAGAACTTCACACTGTAATCTGTACTTCCCATCTCTACACGGGAACAACCAGACTGCAGGTAACAATCTAGTATACCATATTACATCATTGTCATGGGAGCTCTGAAGCATGCTCAGCTGTCACGCTGGAGCTATGATGTAGTTTCAGACAGCCAGGCATGGCTTGTGGGAGTGTCCCTGTGCTCGTATCATGCATCAAGTCATTACTGAAACCAATAAGTGCTGAGATATAAATTAAATTTGCTCCAGTTTGAGAGCTCATGATGACCCAGTGGGGTTAATGTTTACTTCCAAGTGCGCTAGTTCGAAGGAAGCGGACTGCCTAGAACCTGAACCAAGTTGTGTTGACAGGTGGGCCTGGCATGCAGATCAGCCGCTTAGGTTCTCGGGTTGGAGGGGCAGACACGCAATTCCTACCAAGAAGCTAGCAATCTTCTTTTATTTTTGGAGAAGTAGAATCTTGTTTTTCTCTACTCCATGTTTCAGACATGAATGCAAAGGCTGGGTTTCTCGGTGATGTGGCGGTTCTCGTGCAGTCCCGGCGCTGTTTGCTGGGGGGTACCCATAACATTTCTAGATTCTCTCCACTCTTTGAAGATTATGCCCGTGAGCCCCACGTCGATCTTGAGGGGTGATATGACGCATCTGTAATCAGAGTTACATGGCTGCGATCTGGTGGGAAATTTGCGATCAGCAGCCTGTGGCTTGAAGCGTTACCAGGATTCCCTAAACTTGTTTCCCAAACGATCTGTTGTGGTCTGGACTTTCACACTTCTCAAGATGCTTGCCAGCTATGTCATGATGATCAAACACTGCTTTGACTGGTTATCTGAGAACAATAAGTGATTCGGTTCTCTATAAGTAAACACGGCAGGAAGTGTGCATCAGCTTTCTTCTTCATACATCGTCTTCGCCTAGAATCAACAGCATATAGACACCCAATCAAAGCAAATATTCATTTCCCACCTTCACCTCCAGCAACAAGACCGTCTTCTCCAGTCAAGTCAGATAATCCAAGCACAATGTCCGACCAGTAAGTCTCCCACATGACCCGGGCTCTTGATTCAGCTTGAATATGGGACCGAAACTAATGATGGCTTTCCATATAGCGAGAAGCAACAGACCTTTGAGGAGGAGGAAGAGTACCAATCAGAGTCCGACGACCAGCAACAACAACAGGTTGTCCAACCCACACCAAAGAAGAGTCAGCGCACGATGCAGAGAGCCCCTCGTCAGCCAGATCAACAAATGCAACAACAGCAATACCAACAACCACAACAACAACAAATCATTCCAGCTGAGAACCGACAAACTGGCAGTATGGGTGGCAGGACAGGTGCCATCCGGGAGTCTAGAATTAAGGATCGTCCACAACCAGCACAAGAGCGAGACAGCAGTTTGAAGATCAAAATCGAGCTGGATCTTGAAGTTGAGGTAGATCTCTACGCCCGAGTCAAGGGAGATGTAACCATAGGTCTGATGTAATTGTGTAGGTCGACCTTTACGCGAGAGTCAAGGGAGATGTGACTATAGGCTTACTGTGAGAAGCGCCGAGATTTACCTCATGGAGTGGTTTCTGATACGAAGCAGACGATGATATATGACGGCGTTTTCTTCTGAATTTGGGATTCTTGTACAACACACAATACTTCTTGTACTAGTAGCAGAAAAAGGAGATAGAATCGAGAAAACTATTTCTTTGCTTTCACATTCATCTTGTCTGATCTGATTATCAAACTCCATGAAAAGCATTTTGAATTTGCGTGCCTTCAGAGAGACCGGGTTGATGGTACATCCCACCAGGTTGGAACAAGGACACACCTGCCTGGTGAACCTGGGTTCCTCCTGTTACTTTGCTTACTGCAGAGACTCCACTCCGATTAAGTTCAATCTCCTCGCCGGGTCGAACAGCACGACCAGCCTCTAGGATTGCCCAAGCATGGAACATTTGCAACCACCGCGACGGAAGCACTCGCGTTTCCGGCTTGGCCACCCCATTGCTCTTGCGTACATCTCCTAATTGCCCCACAAATATTAGATGGCTCGGAAGCGCTCAAAGCTGGATTCCTCACCAGTCAACTCGTATCATCACGAAATGTGCTCCAGGCTTCACCAAATCGACGTTGAAAAGACCCTTGTACGGCTCGCTTGCCAGCCCATCGAAACATGGGTCCCGGCACACGGCTTGAGATGTGCATTTAGTGCGTCCAGATCAGGTTTCTTCGTCCAAATTGAGTTTTACACGTGCACCCAACCCTGTCAATGAGCAAGCCACACGGGACGATCTCGACGCCGTCCAACGGTGAGGCTGACGAGGACGGCAGCGTTGAGTTTCGTGGAAACATTGATCGGAACTCAAGCAAAATGGCGCAAAAGTTCAAGTTCACGCACATGTCAAGATGGGTATTTTGAGTTGTCTCAGGAGACCACGTATATCACAATTGAAAATCGCATTTCAGACCGACTCTTGCATGGCGTAAGCCAAGTGGGATTTTGCTCCACCAGTGCATATTATGTAGACTCCACTGCCTTTCAGTAGAGTAAGTGCCTGAGGTTAGAATATTCAGGCCAAGGGAACCATGTCTTATATCAGTGGGTTGAAAATCGAAAACGCAAGAGTGGACGGGTTAATGATTGACGGACAGCAGTCCGCACTCCGTACAAAGCTGCAGTTACAGCTTGGTATGCGGTTTTCAGAACTTGATTTTGCACGACTTCTTCACACCACTTGAGTGAAATCACTGGCTATCCTGAATATAAACTACTTAAGACGGAAATGTCTTATATCTGAGGTTGGGTTACATCGCCGTTACGGTGGATCTATAGCGTTGTGTGAAGAACACCGAGAAAATTCAGTTTCCGATCCTCGATTGGTGGGTATCATTTCACACTCCACTTGAATCCACTGGGACCACACTGACGTCTGAATCCCATAAGTCCACGGATCTACTCTATCCCAATTCACTGCCAAGGAAATGCCAGGTCAGAAAAGTCGCATTAAAACTCTGCCCAGATTGCAGGGTCGCCCTTGGATTGAATTGACTTTCAGCGAGCGCTTGTGCCTCATCACACTTCCAATTTCCCATGTCTACTGGAGGAGAAATCTGAAGCTCCGCAAACGGAATGCCATTATCGGCTGCGCCATATAGGGACCACAGTGAGTTGTAACGAGTCAGTGTAACAACCTGGAGATCCGCTTCCAGAATGGCGGGATCAGCTGTTTGCCGAATTCACTGCTTGCAAAATGGAGACTAGATGATGAAGTAAGCGGAATGCGTTAACTTACGCAGAATTACTGTTTGATGAACAAGTATACAGAATCCCAGATAGTGGATTCAATGGTCTGATTATATAGTGCTGTTACTACTACAAGCAGCTGGCGTCACTCTGGAGCAGCCTACATGTGCCGCTGCAGACATCTGTCTCCTTGCTTCAATTGATTGAGTCCTCCCTTGATGAGAGCTGTTGATCTTGCACATCCGTGTTGTCTTCGGCGTGAACAGTCTTGACTGTATGTAGGCCACTGAATTGTGATATCTGCCTTCCCACAGGCTTCGTCCTGGCTTTTCAGTCTGTGTGAAACGAATGGAGCTCGTGTGTTTGTATGTGATATGTGAACCAGATCGATCTTTCATTCCCTAGCGTACCAGATCAGCGATGTTTTCATAGAGTAGCACCAGTAACTCGAAACTTACAAGAACGTAATAGTCACAGCTCCCTTAATCTTTGCTTTGAGGAACACCTCAATCATCAAGTCGAGATCCAGTCGTATTGACATGGGCTTTCCTGCTGACTCCTCTTCCGTTTCTTCAGAAACCTCATCCGGCTCCGCTGCCTTGGATGTGCTTCCTTCAGATTGTGTTTCATATCCAGCGTCGTCACTTTTTGACGATGATTTTCTGTTTAATGTGGGCGGTGCTGGCTTTCTCGTGCTCTTCTTCTCTGGTGTAGCTCTCACTCCTACTGGTCTTCGACTGCCTGCCGCTTTGCGGACATTGAATGCCCGTATTCCAGTCTCGAACGGCTCTTGGATCCTCCTTCTTGGTTGGCGTTCTATCTTTGCTGGTTTTGGTTTCCGCGAACAATACTGACAAGTTTCGTCCTCATCAGGCTTGTAGTCATCCTCGATTTTCTCATCCTCTGGTCCTAGCAGCCCAGCAGTTTCCTCCGGGGTTGGCTCTTCATAACTTGTCTTTCGACCACCTCGCTTGTGTTTCCTCCGCTGCTTGGTCTCGTTGTCTGAGTGAACCGAAGCGAGATCTGAGTATTCGTTCGCGGACTCGTCTGCTTCCCGGTGGGCTGGAGTATTTTTCTGCTCCATTTGAAAAAACTGAAAAGAGTGACTGAAGCTGTAAAGATGCCTTCCAGATTACTTACTTTCGAGATGATACACCTTCACAAAGGCTCTGCATGTCGATTGCGTGGAACCAACTCCACCAGTGCATTGTTGTGCTTGGGTGCAGGGTCCATCCTTAAGCGGAAAGATGAGCGAGCCCCTATTGACAAGGATTTGACGACTGGTCACGACCCCAGCTCGAAGTTCGGCATCGTCGGCATGTGGACATCGCAGCTCACTTGTGCATGTTTCAAGAACCACAACAAACTCCTTTGAACCTCCGAAGGGCTCCTAAGGTTTCGATGAGCCAAGATTACTGAGGAGAAACTCAAGGGTTTCCGCTTGGATAGAGAACCAGCCACTGCTGCAGCGTGCAGTCACATTGCTCGTGCTTCAATGACTAGAGAGTATTAACTCCGTAGGGCTCAAAGCCACTACCCAGCCGCAACATTAGACGAAACAAAACATCCAAACAGACTTTAGAAGAAGTTGGCGAAGGTTCAGATCGCGACGATGTGACTTCGATATTTGGGTCGGGCTGTGCCGTGAGGACAAACTCTAAATGGAAGTTTCCAAGGATTGGTCAAGGTCATGGCGAGGTCCGCCCAGCCAATCGCTTGAGTCATGAGCACGCGATGTACTTCCGCAGATTCGATCCTTTCTGTGGAGCGCTGTGGAGTGTGAAGCTGCTGATACGGGGTCAGGATGTCATTTTTGCAGTGCCAACGCGGATGGAACGGCAAGATAATCTGGAGAGTGCTCAGGAGCGCAGGCATGACCTTGTAAACTCGTATTCTAATTCTTCTGGTGATTTGGGCATTTCCTGCCTCTCGCTTACTAGCCACTGCTTGCTGGATCTTTAAGGCTTTAGGCTTTAGAATTTCTAGGCGTTAGGCATCTTCAGCTTTAGGCCTATGTGCTAGCTAGCTGCTGGCACACACGCATTGATGATAAACATTACGAAACAGTTTTAATGTATTTACGCCGCTGTTTTGTAAGCTTTATTTGGTATCTTTTATCCAGGTGTGTTGATATTGGCGGGTGACTTTTCAAGAGATGAGCGGCTTTCTAAGCTTGGAAAGCTTTTGCGACACTGAGACAAACCAGAAATGTGGTAAATCGCATTTATGTAAGTATACAAACATTACGTAGGTAACTACATCAATGATAAAGTACAAAAAACCGATTAGATCGTTCTTCATGATCTGTCATGTCCCAGCCCGAGTTTCAGCGACCACATACTCCACCCTGTTTCCTTGACCACCATGGATCAAGACAGAGGCCCGAATTGTCGGCCCCTCCATAAATGCCATTTGGAAATGGCATCAGACTCAAAAGTGGTGTTTCGGAGCCAGGGATACGTGTCCGACATTCTCTGTTGTGGCATATCAAATAATCCCCCAGAATATTTTTGCCTGCCACGACAGCTTGCTCAAACCTTGATCCATGTCAAATCCACGACAGCACATTCAACACATGTACTTTAGTTTTGCATCTTGTTACTCTTACAACAGGATTCTCGGAAGAAAAGCAGGTAATCTGCATATCTTGAAACTTGGAGCCACAACTATCAGCAGGTCAAGGATCTCTGCTTCATCTTCCGCATATCGTGAGAGTGGTCTGTGGGGACTGAGACATCAAGAGCTCTTACTGACAACCAAATCTGGCAATTTTCTCACAAGCCACGTGCTTCCAGGCCTGAAGACACGTGAATAGCGTCATCGGCATGAGCTGTGAAATCATAACTGACATCATAATCGCTGATCATGTTGTGTAGTGGTCAGGTTGTAGCTGAGAGATGTTTCTTCAGCCTTGATTGTGGCACTTTCTACGACGTGATTGACTGAGCTTCAAGTTTGAGTTTTGACGCTCAGGTTGGGTGACAACATCGAAGAGTATCTATAAAGAGAGCACTTACCATTGAACATGGAAATATCAATCTCATAAACACATAAATCCTCACTCAAGATATCAAGAAACATCTTCAACATCAAACCAACTCTCTTCACAAACACAAACACACCTCACAAACCCTCAAAATGGCCGGACTCCTCGGAAACCTCACAAACTCCCTCGACAACACCCTCACAGGAGGTGACCAAGCAAAAGGTCAAGGAGGACTCCTTGGTAGCGTCACAGGAGCAGTTGGAAAAACCGTTGATGGCGCAGGGAACGTATTAGGGCAGACCACAGATGGTCTGGGGAACGTCGTGGGACAGACCACGAACGGCGTGGCAAATACGGCGGGTCAGACGACCAATGGGCTTGCGAACACCACTGGTCAGGCGACGAATGGAGTTGCAAACACGGCAGGAGGATTGACAAATACGGCTGGAGGGTTGGTTGGAGGTGCCACTGGGCAGCAGCAGAAGAAGGCTTGAGCATGGGAAGATCGGGGTGTCATTGGATAGGAAATCAGGAGAGGGAAATTGTTTGAATATGGCTTTGTAATTTGTTGGATGAATGTACGAATATGATTTTATGACGACCTAAATGAACTTCCGTTTCCGCCTCTGTGATGTGACTGTAACCATACTCGCTACTGTCAAGTTGTGACCACCATTGACTAAGTAATCAAACGTTGCTCCCCTTACATCCCTCTGTCCAGCTTCCAGCACGCCCATTGAACCCAAAAGGCTTATCGTTCCAGCCATACGCGATAATACCGTTGTCAACCCGGAACCGAGTACTGCCTCCAGGCCCAGCAACCGTCCCAATGGGAGTCAGACAAGACACCCCTTGCTTATTTCCTTCCAAATAGTTGTCAATCTTGCGTGTCATATCTTTGAAATCAGCCGAATCATGCATCTGGTTGTAGTTATTTTGGTTTCTAGAAGTTGTTAGTGTCCAAGATCGCAATATTCTCATATTGGAAGCAGAGAAAGTTCACGTACCCGTTTTGCCAGAGGTAATCGGTCACAACGCCGTAGGCTCTGTTCTCAAGACGCTTCTCAAGTCCGGGGTGGCCCAATTCAATTCTCTTGCGAAGATCTTTCACGTTGTCACTGTCTTCGATACGGTAATGATGGAAAGTGCCGTCATTCTCAAAACCAAGATCTTCGGGTGTTGCTTTTCGGTACCTGCGAATATATGGTGAGTACAATACCTCAACACCTCGTGGGTTGCTTACATAAGATAGTGAGACTCCTCGTTATCCCAGAAGAAAGTTGCATGTCGCTCCCATGTTCCGTTATTTTGGGTTGCCATGGAAGATTCTTTGAGTGATCTATGGGATAGCGGGATATGTGCCTCTGACGATCGCTTTGCCTCGTCGGCATCGATCCAGTATGCATGAGTCTCAAGCCCATCACTCCGCACACTACAAGCAAACCCGCGTCAGCCTATCTTACAAGACGAGGTATAAGGGCAAATGTCAAACAACATACCGGAATCCAGACTTGACCTTGTACCCAGTAGCAAAGGCACTGATCACCAATCCAATGGAAGCAATGATACAGTCCGACCTATCATACTTCTGGACACAATCTTTCGCAAGTCCATACGCCGAAGATGCGAGTCCGAACAAGCCAACTGCCCAGCTGACAGCTGACCAGACTTTCTGAGCCACAAGAGTGATAGCCAGAACGACATACACCACGCCTTGACGCTCGACCAAGTCGGAGGATCGCCCCGAGACAACCACGCCTTTCACGCCTTCCCAGGCTTTTGGGTCTGGCTGTTGAACTTGTCAGTAATACATTCCGTTAATGCGGTCTTGGATATGACACACTGGGATTGATGGGTTCTCATCGTTTGGGAACAGCCCTTCGAATTCGGGGCTATCAAGGATATCGGCAAGCACGACGGCGCCGAATATGAGTACTGGGATCAACGTCTTGTACGATGTGTAAGCCATGGTGGTCTGCAAGTTGATGTGTTGGTGTTCTCTTCTGGGCTCGATGGAGGGCGACGCTCTTTTATGTTCTTTCAAATTTGGGCTGGCAGAATCTCGTCACACATACTACCACCGATCATTTTCTGTTTACAGTCATCATCTTCGTATTCTCACGGCTAAATTTGCATTCTGTCACTAAGCATGCTTCTCTGCGCAATGCGTGGATCGCAATTGAGGTTCTTTTGTCACACTCTCATTTTCCTCTTCCAGTTAGGCGAAGACGCTGTCTCCAGATAATTTTACCTTGTTGCCTCGGATATCTGCCCTTTGAAAGTAGATTAAGCGGGTGATATGTTGTTCTCGGACCACCTACGCATTAATATCGAAAGATGATAGGAAATTACTAAGCGTTAGACTTTGCTCCCAGTACACAAACCTTGAGCAGGTACCAAAAGAAGTGCTACTCCCGAGCGGTAATTGATCCAGGTCTGCATGTCCAAATTGGTAAGCCTAGTTTTGTACATCTTCTCGTAATCATCACGGTGTAACGTCGGCTGGATTGACACTGATCCCACCAGCGTCTGCTTCTACATTAGTTCTCGCAGCAGTATCACCTTCATCACAGCCAAACTTGCTATGCCTTCCTCAATCGCCTCTTCGGGAATTGAAAGTCACATCAGAGGGGCTTGTGGAACCAGTAGCATATCCCCCCGGCACTTATGCGCTTAGTAACACATCCCCTGCGTTATGGTGAGACTTTGTGCCTGGCGAGACTCCGGTACCATAAATGAGCTAGCTACTTCGCATGCAATACAAGCGCTTGAGCCAGCTCCTTTGGCCCCCAGATACAGTCAGTCGGGTATATCCAGATCGAAGCCGCTCGGCCTGCTGAGAAATTAAGCTTAAGAACCTTCAATTGGGATTGAGCCGAAAAATCTACCGGATAAATGACTCTCCATGATACTTCCTATATTGCAATTCGTGCATCCTTTGATCTCTAACACGAAGCGGCGCCGTCAGAGGCGGGGCGTCTGCCTTGTGACTTCAACACAATGGTTACTATCGAAGTCAACATCAGTTACACAGACTTGGCGCGCTTACTCGCTTTAAGCTCAAGGTCTTATACGAGTCAAGCTCATTAATGGTGTCACAAACAACAGGCGCCAAGGGTGCCGAGATCAGTCTAGATGTCTGGTTCAGAGACTGGATACACCTTCTGAACGACAACCTAGCTTTATTGGTTCAGGCACGGTTGCTCGTTGATCAGAAAGCTGCCTTCGTCTCTGTCAGCTTCCAATCTACACCCCACAAGATCGAAAGCAGATTGACTTACTTCCAAGTCTGAAATGTCCCTGTCTTCACATCACCATCATCAGAGGGTGGGCAGTATGTGCCATCATCGTTGAAGGTAGAGTAGAGAGATGCGTTGGCAGGTCGGGTGCTTTGATATCAACCTGCGAGCGAGTCGCTGTCTGCTTTGCTCTGGCAACTGTCAACTTCCAGTCTATAAGATTGAGAGCATTCTCGTCTACCTTGGCGTGAAATTGTTTTGGCTGCCTGGCAGTGGCCACCACTGCTGCTGCCTAGCGACGCGTCTGAATGCTTTGGCAATTTCAGCTTCCCTGAGTGTATCCAAGACTAGAGAAATTCCTGCGAAGTTGTGAGTACATTGCATAGCTTATGTGACAGAGAACATGGGGTGTTGTATTTACCAGTTGATCCGCGCAGTCTGTCTACCTCTGAAAACTGTCTGAACAGCTGCCGTCACTCTACCAGAGGTGAGGCTGTGGCTTCGCCCGGAGAGATGTGTGGACTCGTGTCTTGGCGTGTCTCTCGAGACTGCTATTGAGGGGAGAGTGCTTGAGGAGGGATGTATACTGAGAGGAGGAGGGGTGGGAAGGAGATCGAAGTGATGGTGGTAGTTGAGAGAATGGAGGAAGAGGGAGTTGACGTTGAATGAGAAAGAGATAGAACGCTGGTCGCGAGAATTTGAGATGTTGTGGGAGGCCGCAAGCGAGGTTAAAGGTGAGGAGGCGGTTGCAGATCACCTGATTTCCCAATCTGGCAGAAAGGCAACAAGAACAGGCAGAAAACGCCGATATCGCGCATGCCTCATGTGATTGGCGCATATCAAGACCTATGTCTCCTATCTGTCTTTCTATAGAAGGGTCCTGTCATTGTAGAGGACGCGAATGAACCTCACGTTCTGCTGTTGCAATTGGTCCCAGACACTTCGGATGAGGTAAATTCTTTTCCAGGACAAGGCATAGATTAGCTCAGATGCGAGAAATGGGAGTATGATGTAGATGTCTGCTTTACGAAAGCTGCGACTGCTAAAAAGTAATGAACAGATCCTCAACCCTCCGCAGTTCCAAATGCCACTTGACGATACAAGATGGTTATCTGACAACAGAAATGCTCTTGACAGCGATCGGCTGCCAATACCCAGGCCCTACTCATAAGCAGTTTACCATTCCAAGTACCCTGAACGAAGTGTTGGAAGCCTTGAGAAGAGTATCACACCGTGTCTGTCATGTCTAGGCTTAATGGCACTTCTTACCTGTGAGAGTCAAGGCTCGCTCAACAAATAGCGTTGGCTTCTGTGTCTACGCACAGCGCCTGGATTTTTACGCAGTAAGACATGGTGCTGCATTATATAGGCTTTCATCTATCTTTGGGCATTGAAGCTCGTTGACTTCAGCATGTCCAACAACAGCTGCAATTCACCACGAGACCTGTTTGGAAATGGCGATGAATCACAGCGTAATCCCTCTTGACATTGATTTTCTTCTTCTAGCAAAGGGAGTCGGCATACTACTGCTAAGTAAAGCGGCGCTATGAAACTACCTCCGTGCGAACTCCACTGGAACCCACCAAGGGATTTCAAACTCACAAGTCCAAGGATCATGCCTTTGAAGGGACCAAGTACCAAGTACTAGCAATTCGTGTAACACAAAAGTATATCCTAAAGCTTGATCGGCGATGGTTGGCGAGGACAATTCAACACGGCGCTGCACTGTCAGGACAGAGATGCTTTGCTGGATGACGACCAGAAAGACCCGACAGTAGATGACAGCAATCAAAAACTGACAGCAACTCTAAAATTCAGTTCCCAAAGCAAGCACCATAAACGTCGTCCTCGTTCTTATAGAAGATCCATACTTTCTGCCCCTGACGAACAAAGTGCACTTACTCGTAACAAAGCAAATACAGCGTGATTGAAACATCCCAGCGCGCAAGCGAAGAATCTAAATCTAGAAACCCAATAGTTGAGTTTCGTGGAGATCAGAACTTCGCCGGAGAAGGGTACTCAATATGTACCCTTCACACTGCCCTTAGTTTCAGCAAAATATCCTTCACTTGAGGCTATATACTATTGGAAACATAAGTGAATACCTAGGTAGAAACCGTACTTCAAGTGATACGAGAAATTCTGCGATCTGACTACTCCCTGGGAGCTATAAAATTCCACGTCCCAACCTCCGTCAACACCCAACAAGCACCGACAAGATCATGATGGAAGAAGTGAGGGTGGGAACGATTCCAGAATTTACAATCGCCATCTAGTCCATGAAAATCCCTTGTCTTGAGTCCGGACAAGGAGGATGGAACTCTGACACGCGTGCAGGCGTGGTGTCCACTCGGAGCCCAGAGAAGAAAGGCACAGCAGTCCAGCAACTTGAGTTAATGATAGCCAAAACAAAATCGACAGTATATCTACAAATGACAATGTATGGGTCCTACAATACCGGTATTCGAATTTCTGTTAGTGTGCCATGCCACTTCGCTATGAGATGATCTTGAAATGTTGTCCAATTGCACAACGTCCATGTTTGGGTGCATGTCGGGGCACGCGGTGTGGAGGTTCGAAGGTGTAGTGATTCGCGTCCCGTCGGCAGTGACCTCCTGCAAGAAGGCGGCAAGAACGCCGTGGATATATCTAGATAGAGCGATATAGAGCTTCCGGTGGACGATCTTGTGACACGTCTGGTGAGGTATTTCAAAGTGTTCGGGAATGACTGACAAATTTGCCAGCGAACTGAGGCAAACCAGACATACAGAGAAGGAGACGGGAAGCAAGCTACTTAAATAAACAAAACAGTACACAATTTGAAACACATTTTGGTGAAGGCGTGATTAGTAGCTCAGATGTTATTAAACAGTGATGATTACTTTTCTTTACTAGGCTGTCCTCAACATTTTCACCTTACCAGGAGGGAGAATCCAAGACTGTCTTAGCTAGAAGACTTTTACAATTCTGAAGCCAACCCAGCCTTGATTGATTGTCCCAGATCGACATAACGGAGCAGATAACAACAAAATCTAACTCGACAACAACTCAAAATCCGACAACAGCAACTCCAAACATCAGTTACCCAAATCGTAGCCCCAAAGCCAGAGTCTCCCTTCTCAATCCCAGATAAAATTCTCGCGCCCTCAACTCTTTCCATGAAAATCAGAGAGCAGAGAGTATGTCTGTAGAAGGTCCAATCCATAACGCAGAAGCGTCTGGAAGTCGTCTGTTGCTTACTCCTGCTGGAGAATCGACTCTGAGCGCCGATAGAACATTATATACTCCTACCAATACCCCTGACTTGGGTTCAGTGACATGGTACTTGGGCAGCGGAATTGGCGGAATCGAAGAGTAAATGTGAATCTAGCAATTTCAAGACAGCTTACCCACCAAGCACAAGCAATTCCGCGTTGCCTCAACATCTCAACATCAACAGAAAAGAACGACATACATCAGTGAATCCCATCCCCAAATTCTCAGAACCTGCAACCCATGTATGTGCTACGCATCGTACGTAAATACATCTCAAAGGAAACTCTCAAGCTCAGGATGCCACTCGAAAAAGAAAGATATACCCGCTAGGACGGAGGACAGTTAGACAGTTAGACTGTACCATACCAGTGACCTTGATGAATTTCCTTCCAAAAAGCATAGCTAGAACGGCAAGATGCGTTCCAGTGGAAAGAAGTAAACATCTTTAGCAACACCTTCCATTGGAAACAGGACTTTTGGCAGTGGGGGTAGAGGCATAGATGTAAGATGGGATGACAGCCGCGTGGAGTTTGACAGCAAAAAATCCAAGTGACAGTACTTTAAAATAGTAGACTCCACACCGCTGCTTTACGATTGAAAGAACATCGTAGCTGGGTTAGAGAAGTAGTGTTTTCGCCACAAATACAAGAAGCTTTACGAGATTGGGATACAAGAGCGACAAGGACGGAATGTGGCGCTCTTAATTTGATTCTGTGTTTCATAACGAGCATGGTCCTTTCAAGTGGAAGAAGGTAGCGGCGAGGAGAGGATAAACAGATATGTTTTGAAACCGTCGCTGGAAGGATTGGTTGCTGCTGTTGTGCACCTATTTTAGATGATTACGAAATGATGAGGAGTGAGACGACCTGGAGGAGTGTGTGTAAAGAAACGAATCAAATAAAATGGTAGAAGTAATGATACTAACATGACATTCGTGGAACACAAGGCTGGCATCTAGAGTCAAGAAGCAGTGGCGCTCTCCCACTGACAGCTTTACTCTCTCACTCCACCAAACTCTTTTCAACATTCTCCCTCCACCACCCGGGGAAATCCACCACCCTCCTCCCCAACCTCGCCTCCTCAGCCGCAAACACCATCGCATGACTCCTAATAACCTCTTCCAGACTACACCCGACATGCACCTTCTGCGCCTCCTCCACACTAACAGCATGATTCTTAACCGCATCAACAGCAAGGATAAACTGCCTCGCCAGCCCATCATCACCACCGCCATGTCCCCCGCCAGCAAGATGCGGTTTGTAGATCCTGGTGGCGCCGGTGTTGAAATCCTGTACGGTGATGGTCTCGCTGTCGGCGTAGATCTCACCGTCGTTGCCGTAGAAGTGGCTGTAGCGATCGCATTGTTTCTTGGTGTGGGCTACCATGTGGAAGACTGCCGTTTTGGCGCCGCGGCCGAGGAGCGCTTTCTCGGTATCTGCGTCTGCTGTGGGGATTGGGTCGTTGTCCCATTGCATGGTGACTACTTGGTCGTCGTTGACGTCGTTGTCTGCTTCATAGACGCAACGACCGAACCAGTTTTTGGCAGATATTTCAGCTTTTGGAGTCTCGTTCGTGTAATCCTCTGCGAGTTTGGCTGTCAGAGCAGCTTCACCTCCTGCGGCACCACCAGCAGCTATACATTCCTCGATTTCTGGGAGGACGATATTGACTGGCCAGAATATGTTCCCACTTCCGAGTCCCGTGTGGTCCTTTCCCAAGTATATCTTCTTCGCAGAGTATTTGCACGTTTGTTCTGCTGGGCATGATAGGCAGTTGGTAGCTTTACCGGCAGCCTTGGGCTTCCGCGACTTGTTGAAGTATTGAAGGCCGCCCACAGAACTGACTGTCGTTGGAATATGTGCGGAGTTGGCAGACCCTGGCGGTGGGGAGCAAAGAATCCAGAGAAGTAGATCGATGTCGTGACAGGATTTTGTGAGGAGGGACGGAGCAGTCGTGGATTCTTTACGCCAGTTTCCTCTGCAAGACATTAGACTTGTTTACGAGGTGAGACTATGAGAAATACCTGACGTAGCTATGTGTGAAATGCCACCATCCCACAGGCTCGGTATGGTTGACAGACATAATATCTCCAATCACTCTATCCTCAAGTAACAATTTCCTGAGTAGCATATTATGCGGACTGTATCTGAGAACATGTCCAATGGAGAAGATCTTCGACGGTGTGGTATTTGGTAGATCCGGGAGGAGAGATTTATAAATCGAGACACAATCGTCAAGACTTGTTGCCAGTGGTTTCTCGCACATTATATGAAGACCAAGAGGCGCAAGTCCTACGATAACCTCCTTATGCATCTCATCAAGTACGCAGATGAATACACCGTCGACTCCTTCTGGTACATCTTCTCCCCTCACAGCCTTCTCTCGCCTCTCTTGTTCCCAAGTCAAGAACTGTTTCCAATCCTCGAATTCCTGCCCCTCTGCAGGTCCAGCCTTGCCCCAAATGTATGAATCCCCCAACAGCTTCCGCTTATATGCAATTGGTTCTGCAACCGCCACGAGGATACCATTCGACGATTCGCCTGTAGCTCTGGCATAGGCAGTACCGCGAGATCCAGCACCGATAATAAGGAGTCGAGGAGGGTTCAGGGACATTGAAGGGCGAGGAGGAGCCGGGAGACGGTCGACATCGTCGCTTGGGGAGTCTGCGTGTGGTGCCATGTTGACTTGGGTTTACTCCGCGATGGAGGGGTATCTTCGAGATATTAGAGCTTGGGAATCAAGCCTCAGCCTTGCATGCCAGCCCACTCTGGGGTATGTAACGTTACTGGGGCATATCCAATCACATCGTTCGTATTTGAATGTGTACGTTGCTTTGAGGCTGCCGTGGTGGAACGAATCGGTGATGTTTTGGTGTTTGCCCAGCTTCGCCGGCAGAAAGTGGGGGTTTAAAGTCTGAAGTCTCCTGGAGCAGTTGATAGAATTATGCCTGAGGCAGCAGGATCCATACAGTATGCTCTAGTGCAAAATCTCAAAGCCAATTCAACTCCAGAGAATTCAAAAAGAGAGAATAGTACATAAAGCTACTAATCGCGGAGATAAACAGAGCGCATCAGCTACAGTCATCATCTCATCAGTGAAAAATGGTTTGTTTTGTTCGCTTAGGAGCTAAAACCATCCACCAGCTGTCATCCTCGGTTTGTCTGCACTGCCCCGCACCAATTCACACACTACCTTCCCGAGCATTCCAGTCTTGGACAAAAGATATTCAAACAACCGCAGAAGCAAAAACGAAGCTGTAAAATGCAAAATAAACGACCCAGACGGGACTCGAACCCGCAGTCTTCAGTATGTCCTTTAACCGGAAACTGACGCCTTGTCGATAGTTAGTTTTGTGTAGCAAGTATTGTCGATTCGAGGCACAACTTACGTTACCATTACGCTACCAGGCCACCGTGACTTTTGAAAATTTTCTTATTTGGGTACAGATCACAGTCAAAGAGCTGCGGCCAAATTGCGGGTGAGGAAATAAAAGACCTTAGTCAGCCACATTTTTGCGCCACACCACCTACGTTTACCAGCTTGGCGTGCGACATCAACTCTTCCTCAACAGATTCATTTCCAGACTATGTAATCCTCAGCTTCGTATTTCATCATATAATGGTACAATCTCGACTCTCTTCCAGGTGGGTAACCGTAGCGAGGGGCCGGAATATATAAAATGTATGTTTCTGAAGAAATACCACCGCCTCACCAGAACAATTTATCTCGCACCACGTACAAGAGCATCCATGCGTTGTTTCCAATCCCTGTTCGGGCTCGCATTGAAAGATCGGGGTGTTTTTCGGGTTTTCTTCATGAGATCTACCTCTCAGGCTCTGATGCTATGTAAGGTGGCGCCGGGGCGCAGGCATTACCAGTTCAGAGTTCTTCGCAAGTCTGCGCTAGAGATCGCGGCTTTCGCAATGTTCAAAGAGATTCAAAATCTTCTGTACTTTCATGGACTTATGCAAATTTTCTTTAACACAAGTCGTGTTCGATTGAGCTTTGATTTTCCGTTGTTTAGATCCGGAGTCGAACTTTGGCCATCATCAGAGCATCAAGGTAGTGTGTGCAGCGACGGCTTGACAAGGGACAACAGAAAGCAGGCTCATTACTGGCGAGAACGATCTCAAGTAGAGATGTCCTTGCAAACATGTTTGTATTCGTCGGCGACGGTGTTACTGATTTACAGTGTTTGTTGACGAGGTTGACGGCTTGTCCCCGGTAATGGAAATTCAATGTATTGATCATCATGTGGCTATCTTGAACAGCGTCTTGTTGACCATGATAGTCATCTTCGCCGCTCCGAATGATTTTGCTGCAATAGAAATCCTCTATTCTTTGTTTTGTCAAGGCCTTCGTGTCCCCAGAAGCAAATAAAACTCTCCCATCACTCGTGACCTCCAGAGAATCCTAGCCCAAATGAAGATCCGCGACGACGACATGCAGTTATCCTCCAGGTTGTTTGACATGAGCTGTTGTTTGTGAGTGCATATTCAAAGCGCTTAGGTAGCGCAAACTTACGAATCTTTGTATCGGTGGTCTCATATCGCGTTCTCTCAATCGCAGTTAAATGGGTTTCATCTCGGTTTCGGCCTCATCTGTATCATTTTAATGGCGCTTTCAGATTGCAGTTCTGGGATTAACCCACCTTTGATAGGCTTTGAGCCGATAGACTGGCGAATGCATTTGACTATTTCTTGCACATGCTTCACAACGGATTGCCGGCTAATGCCATCGTCATCTTCATCGCCCAGCGTGTTGGGTAAAGTGCAAACTTGGTTGGGTCTGTCATGTCTACGTGTTCGTCCTCAATCCGAGCGACCATAGGGCGGATCATAGTGTATAATTCTGAAAGATTAGCCAGATATTACAAAAGCCTCATCTCCCTTGAGTGCGTCCAGGCGGGCCTGCAGCTTTGCGATCTGACGTGTATAGCTTTCTTTGAGCAAGTTCTCTACAAAGCCCAAAAGTCAGCGACACACCTTGTGAAATAGTAATAAGCCTTACCAATATGTTGTTCGGACCTGGTGAGAAAGTCTAGAAGGGCTCTCCTCCGTTTGGATCCTCTTCCTCGACGACAACAACAATTCCCATTGCCGCCACCAGCTGGCCGAGAGCCAAAACCTCATTCCCATCAAAGGCTCCCTCTTCTTTACTTCTCCTCAGCAGCTTTAGTTCGCTGATCTCTATTATCGTCTTCTCACGCTGTTTTTTCCGCTGGCTCAGATCGGCCGCTCTATCCTGAATGTTTGCCTCCGTTTTCGCGATTGATTCCATGACATCTTCGATCTTCCTGGCGTTATCTGTCGCAAGCTGTGTAAGTTCCTCTCTTGGAGTCGCAAACCTTCAAGATCGCTCCTTGTAGGCTTTTGGGTGGTGGAAGCCATGTTTGGGAGATTGACTGCGTTGATCGTGGTTTGCGGTGGTTTGGTTGAAGTATACAGAATATGGTAGGTTTCTTTCCACGAGACAGGAAGGTGATCGGCTAACTATGCTACCGCAGGTACCTTAGGTCGTATCTTTAATCTTGATGCGCTAGCATGATCAAACTTCCACACCATCAGAATGTATGCTGAAAAAAAGTCCTGATCTAAAGAGTCTGTTCACAAGCTACGTCTCGATGTCACGAAGTCCAAGAAGTTACTTTGCTCAAATCATGATTGCTCAAAGCCAGAATAGCTCGATAGAAAGTCTATGTTCTGAATAAGAGCCACTTTTGTTGAACCAAATGTACATGCTTTGCGTTGCACCATGGGCCCTCCTTCATGCTCTTCAGCCTACATACAGCCCTGTATAGCTGCTGCTGCAGCGTCCCTGACAAAAGAGAACTTGAGCGTGCTGATCATAGCCCTTGTCGAAACTAGTCTATCTGCAGCCAATTTCACTTCTGATTTGAGTTCAGCCAAATTGTCCAACGACTTGATATCAATCTGAACGCCGAGTTGTTCTCTTTCCGTCTCCCCCAGCTGCATCAAACGAGTCAACTGCGCATCTAGTACCTGAGTTCTCTTTTCCAATTCCTGCAACTCATCACTATCCTTGGCTAGTATGGCCTCTAGAGGGGCGACTTGACTGTCGAAAAGGTCGAGCAGGTTCCCGCATAACTGTAACTTATTCCGAATGAGAAGTTGACCGACGAGTACGTTGGGAGCAAAAACTTACCAGAGCTGCGCAATGTTCGTCTGCGATTCTCTCTTCTTCTTCAGAAAATTGTATCTCTGCCGCGGCTTGTGGCTCAATCGCCCTGCCGACGCGTCCCTCAGTTCTAGTTTCTGTGACGGTGCCATCTACACCAGCAAGGGGTTTGATTGGAGAGTGTGGTGGCGACGGGGTGACTTCGAGACCCGAGGATGAACCTGAATCTCCAAGTGACTTCCTGGGTGGGTCGATGCTGCCAGTTTGTTCTGAAATGTGGTGAGCTGAATGTAATGTAGCGACGAACCAAACTGAGATCGTACCTTTCAGTGCCACCGGCAACATCTTTTCTCCTCCGCTGTCTTCCATCTTCCACTTCAGTACGAGTGTAGCAAAGAAGGTGTCGAGATCTCCGTTGAAGCAGAAGGAGCCGTTGCTTTGAAGGCAGCTCAAAAGAAAATTTGTTTTGTTTACCTAGGTGCGGAAACCACGCTAGTTCTGCGCTACTGATAAGCGAGGCTGTCCACACCACAGTCCTGTCAACATGATCACCTCAGCTTTTCAGAGCGCTAGAGCATTCACATGTATTCCAGTTCACTTTCTGCCCATCTATCGAAGAATCTCTATCAACACCTTGGAATCACAAAGTGTCAATCTTGCCGAAGCTGTTCATCACTTGGATGCGTACAACAAAATCCACTGCTTGATTGACCATCTGGTGATGAAAACGAAAACTGCTGTATAATGTGGCACCATGGAAGATTGGGACCTCGATTTCATATTGAGACGGTTCTATAGATCAAATAATTCATGTTGTTTCTATTACGTATCGCTACATTCACTTGGAAGCGAGCCTTGGGACAGTACAGAGAATAGTCCCTCTGTAACTGCTTCTATGAGACCTCAGCTTCGCAGAATCTCTTGAATGTTGGACTGGCGGCGACGATGAATCTTATCCTCGCGAGAACCTTCTCAGGTGTGCAACGCCAGGTGTCATATCTCTATCTCGAGGTTGAAATCATGCCACAACAATAACACGTTCACATTCGAAAGCAAAAATGCTCTTGTGACAGGAATTCAAAGCTGTGTGATCTATTTGTTCCCGTCCATAGCGCGCACCGTCGTGAATCGCTAGCTAGAAATCTCAGCCCGGGTCTTTCCTAAGACTATCATGCTGCCGAAGTGATCTAATATTACAACATCGCCTCTCTAGGCTCTCGAGCGATCCTATCCTCCACTATGCTTTGGGTGATGTTGAATCTATCGTGCATCAGTCCTCTACTATCCAGCAATGCTCGAGCTCATGTGACTGGATTTATTAAGCGTCACTGTTGCCGAAAGCCTCGGAAAATGAAAACTTAGGTTCTTGCTCGGCCTATGCCCGATCCGCATCTTCAAGGGGTTTCATTACTCCGGGTTGGTTTAGGAAGACCAGTCCATAAGAAGCACTTCTGGAACATCAAGACCAGGCAGTCGGATAACCTAGCCTCATTTGTTAGAGACCATCTACCTCACCCTGTACAGAATGTATCTTACTTCTTCAATTTCTCCAGGTCCCGCGGCGGGTGCAGAGATGTCAGCCTCGCCCCGGAAATATCGAGGTGCCACTGGTAGGCCATCGTTCGCAACTTCCGTTCCGCCGTTGAGAATAGCTGGATGACCCTGAGGAGCAGCATCAGATAGTGTCCCAGCAGCGTCGCCGTACATATGTGTTACATTGGATCTTGCCGCCGGAGACTTCTCTGCTGGATATTTTCTGGTGTAGCTGATACGTCGCCGCTGGAAACTTTGTCACCTTCGGCGGTATGTGAAACTCTCTCCAAGATGTTCGTACTTAAAGTGATTGACGACTTGTCGGGTCGCCATGAGCTTGAGAACAGTTGTTTGTCGCCATGATAGCAAAGAAAGTAGATTGAAGTTGCATAGTTGCGGTTGGATACTGTTTCGGAAGAGATTTTGATCGACTGTGATGCTACTGAGGTGAATGAAGAGAAGATGAGTTGTTGAATGATTTGATGCTACGGATGAGTTCACGAGGGGAATATATACATATCTTCAGTACCATTGCTCTCAGAACTAATACCATCAGCTATCCAGCTACCTCGAAGTTACCTGCCGACCTTCCGTGGAATGACAGGAGATACTACAAACAAAGGGGAACAACGTTCGGCTCCGATAAATAGGCACTATTACTATTGTAAAACTGTTCAGCTCTGCTCATCACTCAAATCTATGTTCGTCGAATTGACAGCCCAAAAGAGAAGAGATTGGACGAGGTTCATCGACGTGGAGTCGGAGGAAGCAAGGCCGCTAGCACATCGGTTATCCACAGTGACAAGGCTTCTATCGGGCTTCGGTTTGAGCTTACCCCCTCGACTGCCGAAATCACACTTTTCCAGGGCAGCGCTGAAGCGAGGCGCTAAGGCTGCCTGGACGGCAACACAGCATTCAAATTTCAGCGTTCTTCGCTTAATTACAGGGTCTCGCTACAGGTGTCTTTGATACGGCAGCCAAGGGGATACTTTAGCTGGGCGCTACTCGCCTATGGCTATGATCTCCGATCAAAGTAATGCCAGAGTTCGCTCTAAACTTCTCTTATTGCCAATGATTTCAGCCGCTTTTAATATGATAAGCCTTTGTAGCAGATGTCAGTACCAAACCTTAGATCATAGCTTCATATATCTCTTTCATGAGCCCTTGAGATCAAACAAGCCCCCCATGTCTCCCGTCCACTTGTGGACGGAAGTAAATAGACGAAGGCTGAACCTACGCGATTTCTGCTATTCATTTGGAGCAGGATTTCGAGCATCGTAGAGTCAGGGGGGGTGAGCCGTGACTCCGGAAGCGGAGGAGATGATGTCTTTGACATGCATAACACAAAGTGACTAAGGCTGCATGGAGAAATGATGTTGCCAACGGGTTGCAGTTAAGAAGAACTGGTCTGCTTGATTATGTCAAAAAGAAAAGGCCAATAAAGAGGGCTCATTCATCCGGCTTGACAAATGTTACGGCCGGCCATCCATTGTATTAAACCATGTCTCGATGCATATCCAACGTTGAGGCTATGGTATTACGAGTTCACGTGCTTCTGTTGAAATTGCTCTCTATATGATATGGAATGGCATGATATGATGACAATGATCACTGTGCCAGGAATCACAGGAGTTCTCTAAGCTTGTAAGAGAAGAGTGAATGGGAAATTTTTGGCTCAATCAGGGACTTCGGCTAGAATTTGGGTATGTGAACGACAGAATTGAAAAAACTCATCTTCGTTTCCGCTCGGTTCTAATCCCTACTCTCCCGAATTCATTTCCTTCAGTCAAATAAATAAAAAGGCTAATCATCCGACCGATCCGGACTCTCGTGGTAGCGGAGGGTAAGAGTAAAACACTAGCGCTTACAGGCCCTTTAAGCTTTGAGCGGATCCTGCGTGGCTAGCGACAGTCATGGGAGCGTAAAACTCAATAAGAGCGGTAAATAGAAGTACTGTTTCTTCTACCGGCCATGAAAGCCGGCGAAAACCTGGTACATTTATGATCAATGCAGTCAGAAGTCGTCAGTAGAGGAGGTCCAACTTTTTGACAATGGAAGCTACTATTCAGAGCCCCACTAATTATCTCTATGATTGCGAAAGCCACGTCTGTTCTGGATCGCTCTACAGGCCGCTTTTGGCATAAGTATACCTGATAGCCACCCTATTCTCGACATACTTGCTACCTATCTATTCAGCTTCATAAGGTTCACAATGAGGCACTTGTCAGTTCTTGCTCTAGTAGCGCTCCCTTTCCTGTCCTCAGCTCAATTGACCACGACTGTCGGGCCAACAACTTCGCTTGCATCCAAGTCGAAGGTTTGTAACGTCCTCTCCTACGGTGCGAAGGCAGATGGACAAACAGACATCGGCCCTGCAATCCTCTCCGCCTTTAACAATTGTGCCAAAGACGGAGGCGCTACCATCTACATTCCTCCTGGAGGTTACGTGCAGAACACTTGGATCACACTCAATGGTGGTAGCAGTTATGCACTCCAAATAGATGGTGTCATAACTCGCACAGGGACAGCAGGTGGGCATATGATCATCTTCTCCGGTGCAACCGACCTCGAAGTCTTTTCCAAGACCAGCAGAGGCGCTATTCAAGGAGCGGGATATAAAATGCATAATGGCAAGAAAGGACTTTATGGGTATGTTTGCGATCCTTTGGTCCTCGAGTGAAGAAGCTGATACTTTAAAGACCACGAATTTTCCGATTCACGAGATGCACCAGTTTCTCCGTCCACGATCTGGCTCTCATTGATGCCCCAGCTTTTACACTCATTGTTGAGAAAGGATCGCGTGGTGAACTCTACAACCTCGTGATCCGCGCGGGAGATGAAGGCGGGCTAGATGGTATTGACATCTGGGGCGACAACATTTGGGCTCACGACATTGAAGTGACAAACAGGGATGAATGTGTCACAGTCAAGGTTCGCGATTCCCAGATAGAGCCTACAAGTAAAGTATACTAACGAAAGTCAGTCACCTGCTTCCAACTGTCTTATCGAGCGCGTTTGGTGCAACCAATCAGGTGGTTCGGCTATGGGGTCTCTTGGTGAAGGCACCGCTATCTCCAATATCGTCTACCGCAACATCTACACATGGGCAAGCAACCAAGCATTTATGATCAAGTCGCAAACTGGCGGTAGCGGTTATGTTCGGGACTGTCTATTTGAAAATTTCATTGTGCATGGCACCGCTTACACCCTTAATATTGACCAATACTGGAGCGGACTCGAACCAGGATCGGCTTCAACGGGAGTTCAGCTCACTGGTCTGACCTTTAGAAACTGGTCGGGTACTGCAGCGGATGGCAATCAGAGATCTCCCATTCAGATTCTGTGCTCTGATGCGGCCCCTTGCACAGATATCAATCTAGAGGATATGAGTCTTTGGACTGATGCAGGGTCGAGTGTGACGTACAAGTGCAGGTCTGCCCATGGCACTGGAGCTTGCTTAAAAAGTGGAACAGGAGCGTATGCAGCTGTTTCGCAAACGGTTAATTCTCCTCCGTGAGTCTCTCTCTCTGGCTGCTGTATAAAATTGCTGACATGTCCTTAGGGCAGGATACAGGGCCCCAAAGATGTCCGGGGACCTGGGCTCAGGATTTGGTCTCTCTTCTGAGATCCCAATTCCCCGTCTCCCTACAAGCTACTTTCCTGGTCTGGGGCTCATAAAACCTTTGATGAGTAACTAAGGCATGTGGTGGTTGACTGATTGGCTTACGATTCTTTCTGTTCTCTTCCATTCCCTATTGGGTGGACCTACTTATAGACGCATACCCTTCAGAAAAGTTTAGACTGATTGTATCTCTCACTTCGCTTTGGGGCTAGCCACAATTGTCAGGGTATTACGCGTGAGATTTATGTGGAATACCTTTGTCCATGGCTTGACTATCTTAAAAAAGCGATATTGCATGTATCAAGTCCTCCTAGCCTATGGACATAGCCGAATCTGCCACACTAGTAGCTTCATTAGAGATTTGTTGGCAAATAATTGGTACTAAACTTCCGGAGATGAGAAATTTACCTGTTCATTCTGTCGATTATCCGTTCTTCAAAAGGAAATACATGTATCTGGTACTGTACCAATATTCAACCTCGTTGTTGTTTCAGCAGGATGTTTCAACCTTCGCGTGTTCTTGGAAGTAGACATATGTGTACCGTCGGAATACCCGACACGTATGCAGCCATCGAGGAGCAGGGCCAGGAGGGGGGTATACTGATAGACATAATAGAGCTGTGTGCGAGGACGAAGAGGACACTCTACGCTCCGTAATGATTTGACAGGTCTTCTCATTGATGGTTCTGGTGGAGTGTTCATAGCTTTTGTGGGTGAGCCAAGCGACGAGGGTACCACCGAGACAGACTCTGACTCCGACACCGGCTCGAGCCTGCGCAAAGTATCGCGGCATCCGGATCAAAACACTGAGAGATATCTGCTAGCTCACCAGGAAGTTGAGCACGTGGGCTCAGGTCGAGGGGGATTTATGTCCGATGCACTCAAAGGTGTCATGGCGGGTTGAGTTCAGGCGACTTGCAGCCGTATCAAGGGTAAGTTAATCAATGAGGTTTTCGCGGCGAGGGTAATGCTCATACAATACTGGCGTCGCTATCTATCTGTGTTTGAGAGGGATCCATGGCGCTACAGTTCAAGGCCCAAGCGATCCATTCTGGCGTCGTTCTTCTAGGCGCATTTCCTTCCTCTACTTTCTTCGTCGTCGTTTTTGTTTTCTCCGCTTCCCTCACAAGACATCGTGCCTTGTCTTAGTTCTCTTTGGGCTTCACAGAATCGATACCGTCTCGGATCTGAACAAATAAACTCGGGTTGTCAAGATATGCTGCGGTGCTGGCGAGTATTGAGAAGGTATCTAAAGTATTTATTTACAGAGTTACTTTTCTCGATGAACAGATCAATACCGCAGCTCGAGCGATACCTACATGCTCGATTCTTCTGAGCCATTTCTTCTCGAACAGATTATCATCGTAGCAATCACCTCTCGTATGGCTATTCCAGCGTACCCCATTGAAAATATGCTCACCGATGGAGGAGGTATAAAAGGTTTTCCTTCATTCAGGTCTTAGAGAGCAATACTTTTGAGTCATCTTCCACCGTCGTAATTGCCAGAGATTCAGCACTTCGCGTTGATCAAAACTTGGTAGTGCTTTTAGATCAAAGAATAACTGCGTGTCTTGCACAATTCAGGGAAGCTCTAACATCTTCAAACGCTGATTCGAGCGCCAATGAGCCGTTCCGTTTCCAGACCCAGCTGCACATTAGCAAATTCTGGGTACGCAAAGCTCCCCACAGAGACATGACTATTTGCTACCGTCTATTCATACGATATCCGTACTTTTACGGACTTCATGGAATTGCCGGTTCCCGGCTACCTGGATGACTATTACCGAGTCTCACGCCCTGCCGCATTGATGTTGTCAACATTGCTTACCTATTCCCAAACGAGAGTAAGCGAAGATGCTGGAACAATTACGCCACATAATCACGGAAGTGACCAATAATAACCACTGCGTCGTTGCGAAGACCTAATTAATCAGCCATGCGCCCTGCCCGTTGACATTGCTTTGACAAGCTTTCCCAAAACTGGTCTTATGAGCCAGCGACTCCGGTTTGACTATTTTGCTGGATCTGCTGTTCCGCGTAAGGCGTGAGCACGACATTGACATTTGTAGACCGCTGCGATGACTCGAATTTTTGCAAAGACTATTGAATTAGTGTCTGGCTATGATTGCGATAGTCGGCTTCATTTCCAATGCCTTAGGAGAAATTTTAAGTATATATGCTGGTCGACCGTCGCTTGATACCCTTCAGATATCATCAGCTCAGCCGTCATCTTCAAGCCATCGTCCCGTGTAAGAATACAACAATCAGCTTTCAGCCCTCTATCGCGGCCGCCGAACATCAATTTAAAAATAGTTTGAACCATTTCATCAACGAAGGGCCGATTCGTGAAAGGATAAAGAGCACGTTATTTCCACTTCTCGCAAATCCTCGTCAGCATCGAACATCACACAACAATCCAAAATACCAGCTCTACCTCTACCTCGTGCCCCAACAACAAAGTCCAAAATGTCCAAAATGTCTTGCACAACAACATCCAAGTTCCTCAGCGAGAAAGACTACTCCAGCCTCGCCAGCGAAACACCAAGATCCTCCTTCGACACCAACCGCTCTGCCGGGTCAGCAACGAAGGATTCTTTGATCCGACGCATCGGGAGGGGCATCAAGAAACATGCGAAGGAACATCACGAGAGTGTGAATGGAGCATTCTATGCCTACTATGGCATGCCAATCCAAGGACAACGACCAGCTGCTGAGGTCGCCAAGCAATCGAATTAGACGATGAAGCGGTGCGGGGTGGAGGTAGTGGAGAAGGTTGGAGTGCATTGAATTTTCACATTTGAGATACTGGATCCGGGGGGGAGTTTGATGTAGATTTGGGCGATACTGAAGCGCGGAGTTTTAGGCTTTTCTTGATTGATATCGTTCTGGTGGGATCTGGGAGTTTTGGTCATGGCGAAGGAAGAAGAATTAGCAATATATACCATCGCATTGAACACTTGTACACCATCCAGCATCCACGTCGTGTTATAAAGTCAAATCTTATAATTACTTATGGACGACTGCTTACTACTTCTGTTAACAACTTGTAAGATGAAGATCTCTCATGTGCGATAGTCTCTCAGCCCTTCAGGCAGCTAACCCAAGGGAGCAGAGTGTGGCTTACGGCAGCGGCATAGTTTTTCAATCCTATGTAGAATGTCCCCCTGGTACTGGTTTTCATCGAGGGTCTGAAGCAACATAGCACTTGGGCATGTTACAAGATTAACAATATCTGAAGCCGTGCCCTTTGGCTGCCCATCAGTCAATTTCACATCCACTTCACGCGGACAATATGCCATTGCAAATAATCCACCCTTCTATTGATATTGATAGATCACAGATTACAAAGTCAAGTTAGAAACGAAGCGGCAGCTCTGAAGTCACTTCGTGGGCGGAGTGGAGCACCGGAGGTTGTCGCAAATATCTCCAGCCGGACACTGCAAGCGTCAGTAAACGAACCAAAGCTGCAGGTGTTGCATCACTCACAGCATTACGACAAGCACCGCAGTTATCACGATCATATCGCACATCTTTACACAGCCCACCACAGGTGAATCCAATCCTGGAATCGGGCAAGATACAAACTGGCTGTTGGATGCAAGTCCCAGCGTCGCAGGTGTACACTGAGCCATCACCGCACTATCATACCATTAGTTCAAGAATTCGCAGCATACTTAACAAGACTTACATCTCTTCCACACATCCCGCAGTTTCTATTATTTGTTTGGAAATCGACGCAAACCCCACGGCAGAAACCACCTTGGACACCACCACCTGCATCGCAGGTCTCTTGAGTGCAGGTTCCAGCTTGACAAGTGAAGCCCTGGCTACACTGCGTTCTTGGTTAGTTCCAAAAGCTGGGTATCAAGAGAAGAGCTGCTCACAAATTGACCGCAGCCTCCGCAATTATTGTTATCTGTCTGCGTATCGATGCAAGTCCCACCACAATTCGTTTGTGGGCCGCATTGAAGTGCTGGGGGTTGGCAGACACTTTCCTCGCAGGTGTAATCAGTAGGGCACTGTCCGTTGTTAGTGTGAAGTTTCGACTGTTACATGGATACGTACCTGAGTACCACAGCCACCACAATTATCACGGTCCGTTGAGAGCCTTTTACATGTAGTGCCGCACTTTGTGAATGGTGCTGGGCACACAGTAGCAGTAGCAGTTGCTTTTGAGGTCTTGGTAGTGGTCGGCGTAGCCAGAACGGTGGTATATTTTGGGATTCTGTTTTTTACAGTTAGTTTCTTGATGCACACCAGCATTTCACAGGATTTTGTTGACTCACCCGATGCATGAACATGCACTGGCATATGCTTCTGGAGATCTGCACACCAATTTCGCATACCAAGGAACAGCATTCCTATTTGCATACGTTCGCTCATCAAGCTCACCATCTCGAATCCTGATGTTTGGAGTTAACGTAGTGGTGATTGTAGTCGTTCGAGTAACAGTTGCTGTCCTATAAAGGATCAATCATCTGGAATCTAAACAGAGGGTATCTAGTAGCCCACTCACCGTCTTCCAGGGGTGACAGTAGCTCGCTGAAACTTGGAGCAATCTGCTCTGCGAGAAGCAAGGTTTGGCCACGCATAGTTACCCCTCACAACGCGGAGACAGTCGTTTGCATGACAGGTGCCTCTTTCAAATATATCAGAACAGTACGCATCTTGTGCTGCGATAGCAACCAAGATCCATGCGCTGAGCTTCATTGTAAGGCCTTTGGGATTGGTCTCAAGTTGTACCCAGTGGAGCAATCGCATTGATACCACATGAGAATATCTTGTCTACTTATGGATCCATAGCCATTCTCGTAGAAAATAAAGTAGCTGATAATTCCCAAGTGTAGTCTACCCAAGAAAAACAACCTGATACAGACTGACACTGTGGAGCTTCTAGAGCATCCGGCAGCTTGGATTAGCCATAGCCAAGGGATCATAAAGGTCGTTCAGCTCCTCTTCAACCCCATCAATTGATCTACTAACAGCCCCTAGATCCAGACATCCCGCATTAGCCTACCCAAGAGCTGGGAAAAAATCTGCCAGCTCGCGCCTGGCCAGCGACGAACAAAAATCCTGCCCTGGGCGCCAAGCCAACGTGAAGCCATAACCTTAAGTCAACAATCGGATTTTTTAACCATCGAGGTTGTGTATTGTCGGTAACTGGCTTCGTGCTGCAGAGCTGAAAGGCTCATTGGCGTGTGTCGGACTGTGTTTATTGGTTGGAGTGCGACAGCCGAGAACTCTGGACCCGATTAGGCCTCGCTTAGTCCCTGGGCATCAACAGGTCAGGAACACAAGCGCACACCGCTAACCCAAAGAACTTGGTGTGGCTGGGGCTGGCCTGCTACCCCCTCTTGTTTAAGCTAGAATATTTGCTCTTTTGGGGTCACGAGTAGTTGCAGTAGTCGCTATTATTTACATAACATACAATCGAGGCCGCATTTTTTTCAAATGCCGACCTGTTTAGCTTGAAGCTGATTGAGGAGCGGGGACGGGATATCGTGCAAGAAGCTTTGTTTGCACAAGAATGTTGTTCTCCATTATGCTCTATCTATCAACCCTAAACTCTTTTGTCTTGTATTCATTGATGCAGAGCATTCGATTTGGGCGTGTTGATTGGCGAGCATCGGTAACGTATCTTTTGTGCTCGACCAAGATGGATGCTTGGAGGCAATTGCTTCTTTACCAATTTTCCTTGACATGATCTTCACCTAGCACTGAATAGATGTAGAATTCAACTGAATACATCCAACCACTTAGCAGAGAGTCCTCCACTGATGGGACTCTTCGCCAGCAACTTGGTTGTTCTGATTCCGGGATCAGTAAGCCATTTCCGGAGATGACAACAGGTCTTCATCCCGATGGTTGTTTGTTACAGCCTTACGGACTGCTGAAATCGCACCTTTTTAAGTCTAACTCAAGCAGATCAATCAAGCAATGTTCCCGTTGAAATGAAGAGTAGATGCCGATGCCGGACTCCAATTCACAATGCCCTTTCACTTTCACGTATCCTTTCGGAATGCTTGTGACTCACCATTGAATATTGATCAGTGCAGCAAGTATTTAATCAGCCTTTCCAACCATGATGGTTGTGAAGACTCTCAGTAACTGAAACCTGAACATCCACACGTCTCAAGCACTGTTTCGTCTTTGACCTTCAAATAAACATAATCCGGTTACAGACAGGAGTTGATAGAAAGCCCATGATTTGAAATCAACCGGATTCACAATAATATAATGATCCCCTGTTTCCTTTTATCTCTAGAAACCAAAACCACTCGCACGGTGGAAAAACACGTTGCGGCTTGGTTGGGCTATGGTCAAAGTTGCGGGGGTTGAAGGCCGGATGACGACACCGCAGCGGTTTTTACCATTTCGATGGGCAATAAAACAGCAATTGTTGGATTGGAATCTTACTAGTCTCTCAATTAATGAGATGCGAGCTCATACTATAGCTTCTGGTGGGTTCTCTGGTCTTAAGTTGGGAGGTGAGAAGTGCATTTCTTCTCAATACGGGGCACACCACCAGCTCCAGAAGCCTGTAAGTGAAGAAATGTGGTTAATGATGTAGAGAAAATTCGTCAAAGGACGAAACAGATTACAAACAATTCCTCTTTACCCATTTCGCAGAGGTACTTTATCATGATCCGTTCAGGGACAAAGTTTGGCGACACTGCAAGAGCCAGCGCATGACATTACGAAGTTAGTGATCGTGCCCCTGAACCTTCGGTTAAGGTCAACAAAGCAAGCGAGGCGGCAGGGTGGCACACCTTCTCAGAGGCTTCGCGTCAAGAGGTCTGATGTAGACACATTGGTTGATATCTGCATGTATTTTCCTGGTGGAAAATGGTGACTTGAAAAGAGATCTAATCGTGCGTTCGTCTCACTTCAATTAAAGGCAAGCAAGATGTGTTTGGCAGGAACTAGTGCCTTCAGCTCTCGACAGTGAGGGGGCGAGCTCGAGGGCTACAAACCACCCTATCCCTGCACTAAAGAGGACTAAAGACACTAGAGTAGATTCTTTGATCACTTTTATATACAGAAACCCAAAGGGATGGTGGGTGGGGAAATCAAAGCTTTACTGAGAGCGAACGCATGTAGGAAAGGAAGAGAGTAAGGGAAAGAGGTGCAAGTTATCCTCGCTGCGCTTAGATCCCCTCTGTTTCAGAGGCTGGGCTTACATCTAATCTCACCCTTTAGTGGGGCGGCTACATACAAGCTTCATGCAGCTACATGTGTCTACAAGGATTCGAATGGAGTCAGCTCTGCAATAGGGTCTCATCCGACAACATCAGCGAATCAATAATAAATCTGAAATACAACCACCTGTAGCTACCAAGCTGAAGAAATAACTCCATATTTTTTCGTCTACGTGATCCCTCCACTTCTACATAATCCGCATCAAAAAGGATATCGAGATTGTGGAAGTTTTAGTTTCAAGATGGTGGATGGCGTCTCGATCGTAATTGCAGTCGTCTCCCTGATAGGATCCCTCGTCGCCGCAGCGTTCACGGGCTGGGTGACATGGTTTATCGACGAAGTGCGACGGCGGGCTGACGCCAAAAAGCTTGTCGCCAAATATCACGACCCTCTTCTTCTGGCCTCTCTCGACCTCCAGTCCAGACTCTTCAACATGACACAACAGAATCTCCTGGCTCACGTCGAGGACGAAGAGAAAAAAGACCTAATCTATGTGTATACCGCAATTTTGTTCGGCCAGTTTCTCTCCTGGACGTACATCCTGAGAAGGGAAGCGCAATTTCTCAGATTTTCCACGCAAAAAACCAATCGTGAAATGGCTAGAACACTTGAAGCCATTTCTTATGTCCTCTATACCGATAAGAATCCCGACGAAGCTCCGTTCATGCTTTGGAAAGGACAACAAATGGCTATCGGGGAAGTGATGACGAGAGGCGATGATCAATTGTACTGCATTGGATACTCAACTTTCTCGGTGGAGTACAAAACAAAGCCTGAGTTTCGACAGTGGTTCATCCCCATCGAGCGGGGAATCCAAGATCTAATGTATGCTGGAAAGCATAGGGACCGAGTACCTACGTATCGGTTGAGACGACTGCAGCATCTGCTGATTGACTTGATCATGATTCTGGACGAGGATGGAGATGGAGAAGGGCGAACAAGGAGGGGTTACGTGGATGCGGCATCAGGGTGCGACTGCAACGGATACTCAACCAGCAAGTCGATGCCGCGAAGACAGGGAGCCAAAAGGCAAGTGGCGTCGCTTTGATTTTGCACCAAGAGAATGTTGGGGAGCAAGAAGTTAAAATCTCGCTTGAAGTCAAATCAGCTTGTGTCATTATTTTGGTTCCGCCTGTTCACAATTAAACGAGTTGAATAGTTGTGCTTTTGGCAATGATATGAAGGATAGTTGGTAAAGTTGGGGCATTCCAGATTATTTCCTGGTCGAGCTCTATGGAATCTCGGTGAAACATACGCCCTAGTCGAAACGACTCTGCTTCCATCACTCGGGAGCTGCTCAAACACGATGCATTTAATATTCATCGTCAAATATTTCTTCCAGTCAGGTTTCGGCACACGCTGTACAGGAGTAAGAAAGTGTTAAAGCACATCTCAAATCGGCACGTGAGGCTCATTTTCTTCCATTTATGGCTATTCTGGAAGAAAAACACCCTTCCTCCAATCATGTCTAGTCATGCTCCCGGACTCAAAGATAAACAGTTCCTAAAATCTCAACAAGCTCCCCCGGGTCAAAACACAAATACTATCCAGCCCAACTTCAAGTGCGCTAGACTTGAGCCAAGAAAACCTCATTCTCTTCACCTTCTTGCCAAATCTGGATGTTATTCTTAACGAGAACCAGAACAAATTTCTCGATGAAGTACTGAGCGTTTTTCTGACCTTTCTTAATCTGCACGATCTCGTAGTCTTGTGCCTCCTTCATATATCTTTCATAGCTTGGATCGTACCTCATCGCATCCTCCCTGCCCTCCTCTGCCTTAGCACATTCTGCCTTGTAGTGGTCGATCACTCTATCGATGTCGAAAACAAGCGCGGATGAGGTGAAAAGAACCCGCTTGATGTTCTCAAGCCCGATGAACCCGCCAGCGAAGCCTCCTGGTGGTCGAATAGCCTGAGCGTACAGATAGGTAAAGTAACAGTGTTCGGCGCTGAAAAGAATCACATCTTGGCGTTGGTTAAAATGGATCTTCGCTCCGGTCAATCGGTACTTAAAGATACACGGCTTTGCTCGCTTGTACGCTGTTGCAGACTCCTTGCAGATGAGAAGACCAGTGGTATTCTCCTCGGGAGTGTAGGCGCGAACTTTATTCCTCCACCTGTTATCATTCAATTAGAACAAGAAATCTGAGACTGGAGGATATCCTTGGGAGAGAACTTACATGCGCTTGATAGTGACGCCTTTCGTGTTCACGTTATTGATTGGGACATCGTTACTCTTAGCTCGGTAGACCGTCTTCTTGAAGTTGATAACGATTTCGTTGGTCTCATGGTGGTGATGAACCCAGATCATGCTTCGGAGCTCGAATGGAAGCCTGGAAAACATTGGGAAGTTCTCCGGGATAGACGACTGGAGAGACCAGCCGACCGGGGGAGTCATGACCCTTGGACGCGAGATAGCCCTGTCGATAGATTGAGATGAAGGTTCCAGTGAGAGGTCTCTGAGATCAAGTTCGGCCGTACAGTTTAGCTCAGGGGTGTTAACATCAGTGGCACCTTCAGTAGAAGCAGCCACAGCGATAGTTTGTAGACTCGAGGCGTTTGAATACATGATACACGAAAGTAACTCCGATTGATATTCACTGGTAGTTCAATTGCTAGAGAGACGTCTTAGCACAATGTCACCTCCAGAGCTCCGAGTAGAGAGTGAGCATACTTTGTGCGATCAGATTCTCTAATCTGGAAGATTGTAGGATGAAAGGAAGTCCAAATTGAGACAATCGGTGATGGTAAAAGAGCAGATACGAGCTTGATAGCTGAGATACGTCTTTCAAGGCTGAAGAGAATGATTAGCAAGCACCCAGCGTTGTTATTGGGGAAAGGTAAACAAACCTGTAAAAACCAGGCACTGCTGTGTAGAAGCTTATCCAATGAAGAGCGAGTCTCAATTCGTGAGGCTTGAAGGTTGATTGAAAAAGATCGATCTGTCGGGATTGCAATGCAAAATGCTTTGGTTGAGATCGAGAGATTGTTTGGGACGGAAGGAGTCTGCCATGTTTTGATGTTTTGATGCAGGGGCAGATGGCGCTAACAAAATAAGCGAGGCCATTCCGTCTAGTTGATCGCGAGTGACTTCAGGCATCACCTCGAACACAGAACAACAACAATAAAGAGCGCTAAATTAAGCTTCGGCTTGTATAGAAGTGAATTAGCTCATCAGAAAGTGTCAAGCTACTCATTCACTCGATGAAAAGTTTGATGAGGGGCTGCATGGTCGTAAGGAAAGAATCTTAGCGAGCATTTATTTATCTGTATGTATGTTCAGATCCACTTGCAAAAATGGCTACACAAGGACAATAGATACGTACTGATAACCAAGCAGGGAATACTACTAGACCCATGCCGAAAGAATGCTTGGGCCTTTCAGTATAGTAAGAGCTTGGTGGAAACTCCATGGGATTCCAGAGCAGAAAATGAATATCAAAAGTCTGAATATCGTGAGGGAAGCAGGCTAGCTTTTCTGTTTGTCTCTAAGGTGCTTGCACAAACAAGTCTGGGAGACTTGTTGGCTTCAATTTTGAATTTTTGGACTTTCCCTTCGCTACTTAGCTGAAGATATTGATATATTTATACTGAGTGTGATATGATTGAATATCGTTAAATTAATGCGTTTTATTCACTTGGTTGTTCAATCTCCTCCTTGCTTGGGCTGGTGCGTTACAGCGAGATGTCTTGGTGAATAAGGAACCAGTAGATGCGTTACGGCGAGACACTTTGGTGAATAATTTCCAGTAGATCTTTAAGCTCCCTGTTGCATTCTAGGTTCTGGAGAATGAATAGAACGAGAAGCAAGATGCTAAATGAAGCCTTGCATGTGCATACTTATGGGGCTTACACCAGCATGCAGTGACGTGGGTGAAATGACACAGCGGACATTGCCAGTCTAAAAATGAGAGATATGGAACACTTAGTGAATCAGCAGATCAACTCCTGACATTTTGCAGCCTCGACTCAAAACTCGCACACACTGTTGATGACGAGAACTCAGCAGTTCCAAATTGATTCCGGTTGGGAGTGATCGAGGAATACCTGACTTGAAAAGACCGTTGCACGAAGAACGAACTGGAGGGAATCTATTACATGAATTCAAATAAGTGACAAACATGGAATATTTTACAGGATTCCGAGCTCCCCATCGTTGAATGAGCGATGGGGGCAAGAGGGGGATGGGTTCAGGTTCTGCTTCGGTAGGCATAAATGTTGCCATTGGATCTATCTCGTCATTGCACAAAACCCAGACACGACCTAAATCTCATCACTAAAATCAACATGAAGCCTATTCAGAAAAACGAGCTGCTTCGTTTTCGAATATATGTATGCATGTACCTATCTATCTCACTAGACAAAAGAACCAACCAGACAATCACCCGCAAGTAATCCACCTTGCAGGTCTACTCTATTCAAGGAAGCAGGAACTTGAAATCTGCAATCCATTCCATGCTTTAACCAAACCAAACCAAGCCAGACGGAATCATGCCAAAAAGAACGCCCAAACACCGTACGGATATGCAAAGAAGTCAGTTGAGAACGCCGCTCAAGTTGACCTGACATGAAGTGCGACAGGCGGATGAATAGGCAATCGCCAGTCATCCGCCAGTCTGTCTGTCCGCATAGAAAGAAGTAAAAAGGAACCGCTGAAAGCAGATTGAATGTACAGGTCTCTCTCCGCCTTCGTCTCCACCTCTATCTTCCTTCGCCTTGGCTTGTCTTTTTTGAATGGTCCTCATCCACGAACAAAATGGCCTCTCCTACTTTGTAGCAGAGTCCCCTTCACCTTTTCCATTCCTCTCCGTTTCTGTACATAGGAATCCCTGGCAGGATACAAAATCACATCATACGTCTTAGCATCACGTATTGCCAATCAACTTCCTACTCGCCCTCATAATGGTATCAGCTGCTTTCTGAACCTGTTTCTGCGCTAACGTCCAATCCCTAGCATCTACCGCGTCGAGGATGGCAGGGAAGAAAGCTTCGTCGTAGCCGGACCAGAGTTGGGGGCCGAAGACGATGTGTTTGAATTGGGTGCGGTTCGGGATCTGTGAATTTTCAGTACAGAGTGCGGGTTATTGGTCGAGGAAGAGGGGTAGGAGAGGTATGTTAGGGGGGAAAGGGTATGAGAAGGCAAAAAGTGCTCAAGGGGAAGGGAGAGGAAAGGTAAAACATACACCACCACCCTCCTCCAAATCCAGCAAATGCGTCTCAAAGTTCGCCATCCGGTTATTGTGGCTCTTCCTATGCGCCGCCAGAATCGCACTCTCGAAACCTCCTCCACCAAGAACGACCGCATCCCATTCCTCCTCCCACTTCTCAAACAGTTTCGTATCCTTCGCCAGTTGCAGGACAGCTTCCTTGAGCGGCTCGATACTCCACGGCGTGTTGCCATCGACATTGATTCCCTTGTCTTTAACCCAATTGTCAAGATCCATACACCATCTTGTAAGAGCCGAGGAGTAGGCGGACATATCAAAAGGAAGTACCAGACGGTCCGAGTATTCCAGGATCAGGAGAGCCCAGATTTGAGCTAGAATCTTGTGATATTGGAAGCCTGGGTCGCCAACGGTTTCCATCCACTCAAAGTTGTCGTAGGCAGAATGATAAGGGAATTTATCGCCTGTGAACTCGATGTTAAGACTGGACACACCAGCCATATCTTGAAATGCGACATAATCGCTTCCAGCTCCCAGACCATCAAGTTCACCACCCCGCTTGTCCCAGAGTTCTCGCATAGTAGCGTTCTTCGCCATGTCGCTTGTGCGGTCCAAGACCCGGAGGAGGGATTTCTTGAAAACGGGACTGCCTGCTGCGACGAAGTCAGAGCCCCCAACAGCCACGTCCACGTTAATGTAGACGTAAGCATCTTGTCGTAGCTTGTCCATGTTATTCTCGACGTATTCGGTGGAGCCAATCAAGTTGTACTCTTCACCGTCCCATGATGCGAACTCGATGGTTCTGAGGGGTCTCCATCCACGCTCAACAAGGTCGCCAAAAATGCGAATGACTTCCATCATGACAGCTGTCCCAGACCCAGGATCCGTAGCTCCGTACACCCAAGCATCGCGGTGATTTCCCACAATGACAGACTTCTCCCTTTGCTCCACTCCCGTGATCTTACCCATGACATTCCAGATCGGCTGCTGCTCGACCTCGTCTTGGTCGTTCACTAGGTGTACTTTAGGCGAACTCGAGTTTCCAGACCAGTATACCACATTGGGAATGCCTCCTTTCCAGTCCTCGTCTTGACATTCCTCGCCGATACCTTCTATCGCTTTCAGAAGATGTTGAGCGTCTCCCCAGGACAGAGGTATACTTGGAATGTTCACAAGTCCAGGGTTGTTTTCCTTGGGCAGCCTTTCTGCACCTTTTACACTTGCCCACCCAGGCGTCAATACATCTCCAACGACCCAACTCATCAGACTGACAGCACCTCTCTGCACACCTCCTTCAGGCATATATCTCCCACCAGGTGCAACTTCTCCCTTCACAAATCCATCGTCCCGTGGATCACTGTATATTATACACCCTGCGAACCCAGCCAGTTCAGCCGCTTTGACCTTCAATGCTCTATCTCCTTGACCTCCGTAGTACTTTACCAGCGCAATGGCACCTTTCGTATCAATCCCACTATCGTACAGCCTCTTATAGTCTTCCCTCGATCCGTAATTCGCATATATGAGCGGGCCCGTAACATCACCACTCTTACTATGTCCATGGAAAACCGGCGTCTGCGCTCTAACCCCCTGGCCATAGACCGGATCCTCATCAATCTTCGCACTCCACTGCACACTCCCGTCATCCTTCACAAGCTCGACCTTCCGCCCTCCTTCCTTCGGGAAGTTCAAATACACATCATACTGGTCCATATGTACGTCCTCCAGGAAGTTACTCCTAAAGAAGTCCTGCACGTACTCCGCAAGGACGAAATTGCCCTCCGTACCAGCCAAATGATCCGTACTCGTGACAATCCGGAGGTACTCCCTAATACGATTCTCATCCACCATCTGCTGAACATGTATCCTCACGCTTTCCGGTTCAAACATCTGACCCGCCATCCTCTGCGCCGCAGACGTAAAGATATCGCTCATGAACAGGAGATACACGACCGCCATAACCAGCAGAATAGCGAAACATCGTCCAAGCACTATACAGAAATTCGCATCGATCGTAGGCCAGCGCGGCTTGAAGCCCAGACCGGACGGCCACTTCCATTTGAAGGGTAGCGAGAGCGAGAGAGAGGATATGCGTTTCCCCCACGCGGATTGTGCTGCCGGCGGATCCTCAATGTCCATCTCCTGGAGCTCGCGCCGTACCTCGTCCTCCTCGCTGCTTCCGCTGTTCCGCCTCCGCTGATCGGGCGTGCCATCCTGATTGAGGAACGTATCGTGCTCGGCGTCGTCTTCATCGGGAACATCTTCTACTGTTGGCGGTCGGTATCCTGCTCTGCGTGTAGGTACTGGTGTGCGAGCCCCGGTGTCTGGTCCAAGCAGTCCTTCTCGCTCTGCCGGGTCGGCGGCCTCGCGCGCATTGTCGTCTCGGGGAACGGGGGTTGTGCGTGAGGATGAACCGATGGCTTCGTCGTAGGTGGGAATGGGGACCGGTTCGTATTTGTTGGGTTTCTCGTCGGTGGGCATGGTGTAGATGGGATGGGGTTGACTCGGTCGTGGAGAGAGGCGATGATGATGTAGATAGGAGAGGTCGATAAGGGATTAGTTGAATCAGGCCAGCTGGGTCGATTGCCGCATCGTAGATTGTGCCGCTATTGTATTGAGTGGTAAGGAATGTGGGTTTGCGAGAGACTGGGAGAAGGGAATGAGTGGTGTGGTCTTGGAAACTGTTGTTGAAAGTGAAATGTGTTGTCGGATCCATTACGAGCTGGATGTTCTGAAGTATGATTCGCGTCTCGGCTGGCCCAGAGCTTGGAAGCCGAGACATTCTTGGAAGTGTTTCCCTTGCGAACATATATATCGACTAGATTATTAAATCATACAATTTTGTTTCATTATACAGTTCTGCGATGGATGTCATCTCGCTATAGAGAAAAAAGACAGCAATATAATGTCACAAAGCAACTCCGGAAACACCGAGCCAAGGTCATGTGATCACCCTCCAAGCTTCTCATTTCTCTTCTCTGAATATTACAAATAGCCTGCCAAGAGCTCGACAGTGCAGTTCTCTATCTTCTCCATGTCTGCAACCCAGCCCAAGAGACATACTGGCCAAAGTGAGCTCAGCGTGCTGTAAGTCACCAAACCTCCATCAAACTTTCTTACAAATGGGCTAGCCCCTGAACAGCCGAATCCTCCCGTAATCACTTTGCCGCACTCGTTACCACGCCATCATACTCTCTCGATGCAATGTATTCTATTGTCCGCTGGAAATGGCGTCTTGGCATGTCGATAGTAGCGGATTCTTGATTAGTTTGGAGGTTGGAGTGAATGAGTTCGATAAGACCATTGAGATATTTTGTGGTAACCTAATCACATTAGCTGGGTTTGGAAAGAGAAGTTGTGACTACTTACAGCATCGTTCTGTTGATCAAAGTAGTAGACGTAACGATTTAGGATCTCAACGAAGAGTTCAACTGAAACGGCGGTATCCATGCAAGCGTCAGCAACACGAAGAGCTCGTTGAAGACATTCAAGAACACGCTTTCCATCGCGATAGAGCTGCAACCATTAGTCCATGCTCTACGTATCCACATGGTGCAACATACCTTCTTCTCGTCATCTTCCGTCTCACCCTTGGCAACAATCGGCACTGCCCACCATAGATGGGATGCCAAGTACACAGCCCGACATTGATCTGGCTTCTTCAGCAATTTACTGCCATGAAGAGCGCATTTGGTGATCAAAGTGTCGTAATTCTCCCTTCCAAAGTTCCTGAGCTCATGTAGTGCTCCAGCAATGATGCAAACGGCTTGGAATTGAGCTCTCGAATCACTGATGGCTTCCTCATAAATAGTGAAAGCTTGAGCAAAGAACTCGTAGCTAACTTCCTCTGCTCCAGTCTGGTCAGCTATTTGACCACAAGTGACGAACAATCTCAAACACAATTCTGCAGAACTTGGTACACGGGTGTACAGCGTCGATAGAGAAGAGTGCATGAACTTGTACAGCGCCGATGACTGCGACTCCCAGTTGTCGTCGTAATGTTCTCTAGATTTGTACCGCCTTGCCAATTTCATTGCAGATGTGATCAGTGCTGGGGTTGTGAACTTGACTCGTTCGTTTCCTTCAGCGTATGCTTTTCTCGTCATCTGAAGTAGCTTATACTGGGTGTCATTATCGTCACTGTGGATGAGATGAACTATCCGAGCAAGCCAGCCCTGCTCCTCAACCGTCTCATCTGTTTCGATAGCTTTCCGTTGTTGAACGCCAGGATATCCAGCAGGTTGTTGAGTACCCTCCTTGATCAGCACCTTCAAAATCTCGAGAGCTCCTTCTAACTGGGGAAGCGTTGAGATGATTATCAGGTTCTTCTGTAAGTTTCGTGCCAGCTCACCAGCCACAGCTCTCCGAGTGGGATATGTCTGGGAGTGAAGAAGCGGAATGTATTGCGGGAGTGACAGCGCTGTAAATAAGGAAACGTAAGATTTCATTGGCGCCAGAAGAAGGTTTAGGAGATTGGTTTGTGAGTCGGCATGGTGTAGGTCCGCGCTATTGGCATGTTGCTTGACTTTCTGATTGGCATAATCCAGTACCTGATCAACATAATCCAGGCGCTCAGGATAGATGTTGAGTGCGAGGTTCGCAAGGGAAACAAGTAGAGCAGTTGTGTCTTGAATTGGCAGATGCTGAGCATTAACCAAGTTCATAACTTGCTCGAAAAATATCTCGTACAGCTTGATATTCTCTGGAATACCTCGGCTCTTCTTCTCTTCCACCGCTCCGTCTGTACCATTGACTGGTTCGCTGGCCTCGGGTTCTTTGGATTCCTCCTTCGTTGCAGGCTCCTCAGTTTCTGCTGGTTTTGGTGCCTCGGATCCATTGGTCTCCGCCGGTGGCTGCTCCCCATTTGCTTCCGCAGCAGGTGGTTCTGGTTTCTTCTCTTGGCTTAATTTTACCTTCTCCAGCAACTTGGTAATCGCCTCCTGCTCCAACTTCTCTCGATCTTCCTTGGGATGTGCCTCAGATTCCCTAGCAGCATATGATGAAAGTCTGTCCATAAGCGCAATAACGATAACCTTGACATTGACATGAGGATTCAGACGGGAGACAGCTGCCAGGAATTGATCCAGGGTGTGAAGGTGGTATTCGTCCGGGAAAACCTGCGTGATGACTTCCAAGAGATACTCTTGCGCCAAAACATCTCGACATTGTACCACTTGCTCCAACAATGGCTGCAGAATCACATTCTTGTACGTCTCCAGATCCACAAGCTGGCTCAAACGGACCAGATTGTTTCCGACAAGCAATTGAAGCTCTTTCCGCTCCTGTGTCCGTTGCTCTCTCTCCCTCGAATGCCCCTGATGCTGCAATCTTACCCACAGTTTGTTCATCTCCACGAAATTGGTCAAGGTGAAGCTGATCGAGTCCTGCAAGTTCCCTTCTGGTCCATCCCCATTGCCCAAAGGTAGATTATCCCGCGCTTGGCCGGAGAGGTAATATCGTAGGAAAAGGCCTCGAATAGGATGCTGCACTCCTCTACTCATCTCCATCATATCCTTCATGATCTCTTTGACCGGCGCATCTTCGATTGACATGTACACCGTGCCAACCGTTATCATTAGGTATAATCGGGGTATGATGTTGCCTGCATATTGGACCAGCTCATACAAATCCGCGAGGTGGTTAACGGGATGGGAGTCTTTCAAGTAGGAAGATAGGTGTCGCAGGGCATCAAATACTGCCATGTAAAGTTCGTAGTATTGTTTCGGTCCCAGGCTGCTTGTCCGAAGCTCTGATACTAAGGTGGAGCTGTAAACAGGTCAGCACAAGAGCATACTCGAACCTCTGCGCATCCTTCGCAAGCTCTCCCGAGACATCAATACTGGTTCGAGAATCCCCTTACCTGCATTTCAGAGCATCCATAAGCTTCCCAGGTGTTTCCAAGCACTTGCGCATCAGATGCGTCTGCTGCCTCACTACAGTCAAGGCATCTTCCAGCAATCGAGCCTGATCTTCCACTGCCGGAGGACTGGCCATGACGGGTTATTAGTTGTAAGATCGTGCACAATGGCCAGTGAAGCTCAGACTGGTGGCATTGATGTCGTGGGACAGTGAGATCAAAGATAGAGGGGAGAGGTGTTGATGTTGAAGATGGCGGCCAACAGCTCGCTACAACCGGCAGGCGGCGTCATGAACCCCAGCCGCGCAACAGGCGGCAGCGAATGGAAGGAAGGCTTACTTTCGGTGTCCTGATGAGAACTGCACGAAATCACCACAATATCGCGGTGACATATTTATGAGCTAGATTTATTTTGATTTTGTTTAATTATGTATTAGTTATCTACTGTGTACATTTCTCTTGGGTCTACAATGCCCCAACACCTACAAGGATGCGCTTCCAGCTCTTGGTGCGATCCAGCCTCTTCTATCAAAACAGTCCCCAGGCTATGGACGTGAATCCAGATATCTAAAGCTTTTGAGGGCTTCTCTCTTTCACTTCTTAGTTTGTTTCTCTTCTCCAGGTACTTCTTACTCCCCTGGACGTCTCCGTTTTGCTGTGTTGTGTGTATTCTCTCCTTTATTGTTACCAGCTTCAAGAAACAATCTGCTTCAATGTTGCCATAATTCCGTGATTTGCAGCTCACTCTCCAGCAGAATCAAGGCTTGCTTTCAGAGTTGGCCTAGATGCCAGCCCTGTGGGTGTCCCAGTTGCATTGGACCATGTGGGGTAGTATGTATGCCATTGCCCATCGTCATAAGTTGGAGTTGATGTGGAAACCACGACAGAGGAAATGGAAGTCGAGTATGTTTCGACTGAGGTAGTTTGAGCAGATGATGCGCTCGAAGTAATAGCAGAACTGCTCGAATTAGCGGATGTGATCGGTGTGCTTGGTGAGATGGCGAGGCTAGAAGTGGAAGTCGAAGTTGATGTTGTAGGGGAGGATTTCGAGCACGAGAGTTTGGAGCTCGAGGATAGTGCTGCAACGCTGGTAGATGACGATTCCGAGGAGACAGTCACCGATGTCGAGGTGGTTGATAGCGCACTTGAAGATGCTGGGACTGGAATTACAACGGTGACAGGGGGCGAGCTGACATCGATGATGGAGTATTCGGTGGCTGTGGTTGTAGCAGTCGTTGGATCTGATGTTTGTGTGATTGTAACAACGATATTTTGTGTTGTCTTTGGCCCCTCAATGATCTTCGTTGATACAACAATATCAGTGACAGGCGGCAATGTCACATTGTCCGTCTCAACAATCGTAACTGGCGCAGGTGTATGAATGATGGTCGTGACGATAGTCGCTTGCGGAGATCCAGCATCGGTCGCAGCAGGCCCTCCATCAACAGGCACAACTGAATAAGTTGCCCTTCTCACCAATGGTACCAGAACAGGAACCCTTTGAGAAAGAAATGGTAGCGATGAGCCAAAACAAAAAAGTGATGATACTGCAAAGAGAGTCGGGGTTGAGGTGTTAAGACGCATGTTGACTGTCGCACAAAAGCTTGAAGTGGAAATGTGATGCGATACTTGCACAGATATGATGAGTGAGCGAATATGATAAGAAAGAAACCTTACCGGGGGTTGGAGATTCAGTTTAGATATACGCAGTTACCCGATGGCATTTGCATTTGGGAGGGGTTGGTGTTCTTGCGCATGGCTGGTGTTGTGCGCGTAAATGTGATGGCTGGTACCTGCATCCCCACCAAAATACTTGGAAGGTTTTGGTGTCGCACCATCTAGACCACAAAGATTTAAGATAGTAGACTGGTTCCTGTCTAATATATAAGCGCTGAGGCTCTCCAGCCAGGGCCAAGTTGTATATTTGCCGGAACAGTTATGGTGTTGTTGTTGTTGATCTGGAAGGCTGAGGGAGAGTTGCATAGGGCCTCGGCTGCTGGATGCCAAGCGTTATGTAAGCGACTTCCATATCTTCAGGGGCTCGGCTCAGCCGAGCATCATTGCCTGGAATGTTGTGCCCTGCAGGAATGTGGAAAATTCTTGTGGCATGTCTTTCCTCGTTTTTCCTGTTCTTCCTGCGTATTTTTCTATTTTAGCTCCATGGATCTGACCTCGTTCGGATTTATTGCAGGTTGGTTCAAAGCACGCTTCCATATCGTGAAGTTCCGCGAGGAAAATACGATCTCTTGCTTCATTCTCCCTTGAACTCAATATCAATACAGGTGCCATACGAGTATTCCTCCAATGGTGTAAATTCCCAGTGGAAAATGTATACCCTTTTTTCTGTCCAATTCCAATGAATCAGGCGACCATTGTGTCCCATTTCCCAGGCACATCCGATTCTTTTTCTCGTGCATATGGCAGCGGCACACTGGTCTGGATTCTTATCGGTGCGCATAGTCTTGGCTAGCTAATCGTCATCGAAGCTCACCGCCGATGGCTTTGTTCCTCCTCTCTCGTCTTGAGTCGTGCTTCAAAACACGAGCCAGTCGAGCCAGTGTGAGCAACATCCATGATCGATGTCCTATCACGGCATGGAATCCTTGGTCACCTGTAGCATGCACCAGCTGCGAACCGTCGGGTATCAAAACACGGAACCAATTGGATTCAGCATGTCCTGAAAGCCTCCGGCAACTACCTTGATGGCGCAATTATATCTTTCACCGTACCCTCTTTTATGACACTCGCGCATTTCTTCTCCCATGATACCCGCTGTCATAGATTGCATTTCTGAAAAGCTTACGGTTTTGGGTAACGAACTTCCCAAATCACAGAATCAAATATCTCCACGATGGCAGAGCAATCGCCCTTCCTGCGAGTCCCGAGCGAGATTCGACTTATGATCTACTCCCTCCTCTTCGATGATCGCAACGAACGTACATTCGAGATCCGAAATCAAGATCCTGAAGCCTACAAGCGTCGAGGCGCCCCTCATGTGCGAGCGCAATATCGAGTTCTGGGCCGCGACCTTGTGCGCCAGAGCAATGCGACAACCTACCATATGACAACAGACGTCGAGTTGCACGTATCGATCATGCGTGTAAATCGCAAGATTTACGAGGAGACGGCACACATTCTGTATGGGAATAGGGCATTCAGTTTCGGCAGAGATATCGAGGCCATCGTACCCTTCTTTTCGGATATCACAAAGCAGACTAGACCAATGGTTCATGAAATCTCTCTGGTTAAACAAGGCTCGGTGTATGCGCGCGATTGCGATCGTTGCGAATGGAGCAGTGTTTGTGATTTCCTGAAGGATCATATGCAGCTTGGGAGTTTGAAGTTGACTGTTGAGGGAGGACGTCCTTCGCTGGGGTGGGAAGGTTTACCCGAATACACTGCTTCGGATTTCAAAACACTGTTGAACGTTCGGTATGAGCCTTTGGAGTGGGTATGGGAATTGCTGTCTATCAAAGGGATTCGGAACTTGGAAGTGGATTCGGAGAGTCATCATTGTCCGCCTTCGCACTCAACTGCAATGGCTTTCTTTGCTTCGTTTTCCTCTTCCATAGAGAAGGGCTTCACCGAGTTTCTTCGCTCGGAAATGGTGGCTGAACCTTGAGTTGCGTGTTCAGACAAGAGGATCAGTTTCTTCCTACCGAACCAGGCCTGTCTCTCTTGGCTATGTTCTATTGATCAGTATTCATGAGGAAATGTAGTCATCATAGGTTTCTGTATAGCCGATGCAAGTCTATTTACAAACGAGTTCCAACCTGTACGTCAGCTGAATCATCTTCACTCAAGCGAGCATCTCATATGCAAGATAGAAGGTGGAAGAGGCTGGCTTCGCACTTACTCCACGCAATAACAAAAGTAGTATGCATCTCGCACTGGAAGCGGTCAGATCATGCCATCAATCACAACCAATCTCCCACGCACCAAGCCAGTCCAGACGGAATCGTCCTCCTCGGCAGCCGCCTCAACAAAAGCATTGACAAATCACCATAAACACAGCGTATTCCGTCACCACTCACCCACCCCCATCAGTCACAACGGGCAGTGATTACTGTACCGGGTCAGCCTCTCAGTGATTATTCTAGCGCATGAGGGTGTCGGATCCACCACACCACTTGAATCGCACGCAACAACCTTGACAGGGAACTGCCATCAAGGTCTCCCGTTATCGCTGCGCTGATTTGAGATAACAATAATTAATGCCGTGCTCATAGCCTACCGGCGCAAGTCGGAGATATGCACACACATGGATTTCCCGTAGTAAGACTCACTGTGGGTTGCACATATATCAGCTTGCGCTGTCTCACCTGCTCAGTTTTGGTTCTTGATTCTACGATTTTGCGAATTTCAGGAACGGAAACACAAAAACGATACTTTTCCACCTTCCAGGGAACCAGAGGTTCGGCACTCGCGGAAACGCTAGAAGAACTCATGCATCCTTCCATGGCATCCAACCAACCAACGATGGCTACCACAACCGATCTTCAGGAACACGCCAAAGTCAAAACACCAGCATCACATGACACCACCTCCCTCACCAACATCCTCCAAGTAAACAACAGTACCTCAAACATCTCCCTCGCCAATACAAATCCCAGATCCACCTACTTCCCCATCCTCTCCCTCCCCCTCGAACTCCGCCTCAAAATCTACAGCTACATCCTCCCCCCAAGACACCACAAAATCGTAACCTCCCTCCCCTCAACCAACTTCTTCTACAACACCTCCGCTTCCTCCTTTCTCCATCCACCATCCTACCCTTTCGGACGTTCCGCCCCTTTATCCCCCACCGGCAAACCTCTCACTGTCCCCTACAAAGTTCTCACATCCAACACCCACGCCTCCTACCCACACAACACCATCACAACCGCGTTGCTCCAAACATGCAAACAGATTTATTATGAAGCTGAACCGGTCCTGTATGGGAGTAGCGAGGCAGTGTGGGATTTTGGCGTGCATTTAGATGCTGTGAGGGGGTTTTGGGCGGAGAGGAGTCAGTTGGCGAGGGAGTGTGTTAGGAGTTTGAGGGTGGCGTGGGAGTGTCCTGCTGGGGAAGGTATCTTTGAGAGTGGAAGTGGTGGGGAGATTTTAGGGCGCAAAGTGGTGGTTTGGATGAGGTTCGTGGAGTATTTGAGGAACGAGCTGAAGGGGTTGAGGGAGTTGGATTTGATGCTGTGGTGTGCGGATGGGGGTGTGTCGGGGTTTCCGAAGGCTGACGAGGAGATTGGCTGGGATGTGAATGAGGATCTGAGGATGCCAGTGAGGGAATATGGACTGAGTGAGAGGGATGAAATGGCATTGATAGAAAGAAAAGAGAGGTTCGAGACGGAAAAGAAGTGGCGAGAGTGGAGATGGACTGAAGATCTCCTTTCCATGCCTTCGCTTCGGCAAACTAAGATCACATGCTGGGCAGCTGTGCCTCCTAAGATGGAGGAAACCGTGGATTTCAGCGTCACGGTTCCAAAGTTTGATTCGTGGGTCGCTGGGAGGATGGTCGCAGATTCTATACTGAGAGCAAAGATAGTTCAGGATGGGATTGTTGTGAGTGAGGAGGTTGCTGTTCTGGGGAGTACGACGAGCTGGATGGATTTTCGAGGACTCGAACAATAGAACTATAGCTGTACCAAATCTTTTACTCTGAACGCACCTGTGGGCTGCAGGAAACATCAAACAAGTCCTGGCAACATCGAAAGAACTGATCACATGACCTCAGATTCCTACGAGGCGCTGTTGATCACTTGTTATTATCAAATCTTCCAGCGCTCCTGACTTCCCAAGGATTCAGCATTTGAGCTATGAGATAGCCATTTCAACTCTAGCCTACGTTGGGAACAAGATGTGAGACAGTTCTACAGAACTATTAACTGCATGTGGGCGACGTTGAGATGACCTCCTTCGTCCTTAAACACTATATACACAAAAAATTGTACATAGCACCCAGTACTACGCTACCTCACTATCAAAACTCAGGCTAGTTTATACGAAACATCTTCAACGTTCGCATCTCGCTATCCAACCTTCCCTGTTGAGTGGTTTCATCCCCACGGTTGAAGTGGCGCTTTAAGCCTGTCCGTCCAGGTCAATATCTATTTTGCCAAAAGCCATCCTTCAACCCCGCAAGCGATCTCCAACATCAAAACAACTGCCGAAGAGTCTGATGTTACGTTCGGCAAAATGTAAACATGCGACACCAATGAGTTTGCAATATCCTTTGCATTTGTGTGGCGTTCTATATTGTGATATGCATGATCGGGTTCAATCCTGCGAGCAAGGAATCGTCCAATATCCATGTGCGGGGTTTTACTGCGGTATATCTCCCTCATTTTCTCTCAAGTAATTTCTCCACGTCTTGGAAACTTCAACTGTCTCTCGAGAACTTGACGGAAATCCCAACCTCGATATGCACATCCCAAGCATTCTCGCAGCACTCGTCCTCGTGCACGATGTCCACAGCACGCCCACCCCAGCCAATGACTTCGAGCTCTCCAAACGGCAATTTTCCCAAGCAGCCATGATGCGTTTCGAATGTTCCCAACTCGTGATCGAGCGGATCAACCCTCTCGTGCAACCAGGTCAATCACCCTCTACACACACGCATCAGATCGCCGGCGGCAACTCATTCAACTCAGCCATGGAACCCGTGGCTTATGACCCAGCTGCAAAATCCAGCTGTACGAGTTGTACGTTCAGTGAGGACTTTAGTAATTATTGGACAGCGAATCTGTATTTCAAGGCGAGGAATGGAACGTTCAAGAGGGTGCCGCAGATGACGAATCTGGGATTGAAGGGGAAGAATGGGGGGTTGACGGTTTATTATATCCCGCCGTATGATGGGAAGACGAAGGTTACTGCTTTCAAACCTGTGAGCGCTACTTCAAATTTCCAGAAAATTCTTGGTGGTAGACCGCAAGTTTGCGGAACTCGATAGGTAAGAGCTTTCAGCTGATTTTTTTCGATTTAGGGGTTCCGAATGATCGTCGGCGACCCAATGTTGCGGTCCAAGGCAACGATGCAGAAACAGCTCTGCCACAGATGCTTCAGCAACAAGCAACAGGATCCATTTGGAGGGGCACCATGTACGGGAAACGACACCGCGACATTACCGAACAAGATGTGTGGTGGTGGCATTCGTGCTCAGATCACTTTTCCAACGTAAGTATCAACTCATTCCGTCTCCACCAGGCTTCCAATACCTATAGCAACTATATTTGCAATAGATACTGACTGCAAACAACAGATGCTGGGACGGAAAGGACATCGACAGTCCAGACCATAAAGCCCACGTTGCATACCCCAGTTCTGGATCTTTCGAGTCCACAGGCCCATGTCCATCCTCTCACCCCGTGAGACTACCGCAGGTCATGTACGAAGTTATGTGGGACACAACTCCTTTCAATGACCCCAAACTGTGGCCAGTCGATGGTTCAAACCCATTCGTGTACTCTATGGGTGATCCGTGAGTTTTGTTTACTCCTGTCACTTCGTCAATCCCAGTTTCCTGGTTCTACAATGCTAATGAAACATTGGTAGTACTGGCTATGGCTGGCATGGCGATTACCTCTTTGGATGGAAAGGTGATGTGCTTCAGAAAGCTCTCGATGCTAGATGTACCGGCGATAGATGTTCGGCGCTAAAGACGCAGACTGCAGAACAGGCGAATGCTTGTATGAAGGGGCAGGAGGCTAAGGAGCCTGTGGACGGATGTGAGTTTTCCTTCCTTTCTCACCCCAGGTATAGAGGTGATTGGTATTTTGACTTGTGACTGACTACCTACAGGGCTCACGTCCTTACCTGGCAATTTACCTATTACTTACGGGTGAAAGGCTTCTGATTCTGAATTGTGGTTTTGGATTGGTTCCAAGCTAGACTTCGGCTGATATCAATTGAGTCTCGAAACTGCTCATAATAAGTGTCTTAGACGGTTGCTCAGTCTTGTCAAACTCGTATTTTAGAAGTAATCGATAGCGTAGTTATCAAAATGATCTCTCTGACAGAGACAACCGTCCCAAATGATAGTTCAGCCGAGCCATCAAGATATCATGACCTCGTAACAACGAAACTACAAAGTTTGAAAAGTAAATATTCTTCTCGGGTATACAACGTCGTAGGATTTTATGCATCCTATGTGCTACGAATATTTCTTGCGGGTGCTCAACAATTCTCTGACAATATCTGCTTTGGGATCCCTCCTGATACGTAAGGTCAGCTCAGTAGAATTTAACCACCCATAAGATAAGCATCGCGGTAATCATCCTTTTCGCCACACTGTGCCATGAGCCTCACAACTGGCAACCTGGCAACCTCGAGAGGGCCACACACGGCTAAGCGTGTTAGAAATATGGGGATTGTAGGCGTAGACTCAGTACTATAGGCCGTACTACTAAGTACGCTACCCCTTTATATAGGAGATTCTCTCTCTCTGTAGTAGCTCCTTATGCAACTGCAATTATAACATAGTAGTAATTCCAATCGATCGAAAAAGACCTTAAAACTTTATTTTTATTAAGATCTCTACTTCATCAACTCTTAGTGTATCTGCTACTACGCTACGATATTATCCTAATTAAAAGCACTAATTCCCCACGTCACCGGAGCCTTAAAAGGTAAAACTCTACTAGAGTTCAATAACTTCTTTAAATAGGAGCTTAAGACTAAACAAGAGCTAGCTAAAGCTAGTGTTCTTTATCACGTTCTTACTAAAGTTAGCGTGCCGAATAGTATTAATTAGTAGAATACTCACGCTAAGGAAAAGAAGGAAGCTTTCAAAATAGTTGTTAACTTAATCTCTAAGCTTCTCTTTCCTAAGTATAGAGATATTATTAAACTAAACGACACTAAGCCTCTCTAGGAAGCTATTCACGTAGATAAAGGTAAAGTAGTTCAAGGGAGTCTTGCCTTTACTAATATAAGAGACGATTTCTTTAAGATAAAGTTTATCCCGGGGGAGGAAACACTTCAGAACTATATTATAAAGCTCTTACTCTTTAAAATAAAGCTTAGCAGCGATAGTAAACCTCTTACTGATAAGGATATATATCTTAAGCTATTATAGTCGCTGCTAGCGTCCGGAGCTTAGATTACTATAGCGCTTACCCTAGAATCATAAGACCTAGATCTTAGAGATACTATATAAAAGCTTAACGAATATTAAATTCAATAGAGGGAACAGCTTCGACCTATAGCTACTAGTAACACCGCGAACTACGCGAATAGAGGCTATAATAGAGGGAGAAGTAGTAGAGATAGTAGAGGCTAGAGGGGTAGAGGCTACTCATATGAGAGAGGTAATATATATGAGAATAGGAGAGGACAGGAAAGACGGAATAACAATAGCAGGGGTAGTAGCTAATAGAGACGTGGAGGGCACATGGAAAAGAGAGGAAATCGCCCTAAATTAGGCCGAAATCAGTGTGCCCGATATAAAAGCTACAACTACTAATACGTAGACTACACGGAAGCTGAGAATACCTACGCGAGAGATAGCGCTAACAAAGTAGAGGAAATTAAAGACGATAATACTTATCCTATGTTCCCTTCGGAAGAGATTTACTACGCTGAAGACGTAGAATATGCTTTATTAATAATCTCTATTACAGAATCTGTCTAGAAAATCGACTCTAGCGCTACTCGCTACTTTAGTGGAGTTCTAGCTGAGTTTAAGCAACTTAAGCGCTAGCGTAACACTAAATACGTTAAAACAGTAACTAATTCGTACTCGACAGCTGAAGGTTATAGAGATATTACTATTAATAAGTTAACCCTTAAAGACGTATAGTATATACCTGACTTTGGAGCTATAAAGCTAGTATTAATATATTAACTCTCAGATAAAGGAATTAATACGGAACTAACTAAGACATCAGCAAATAGATACCGGAATAGTGAACTAGCTTTTATAAGTATAAGAAACGGAGGTTTATATATTCTAGATACAAATCCTTGATATTAAGTTACGTATAACGTAATTCTATTAGACTTAAAGCTACTGAAGGAACGAATAGAGAGTTAGCTTAGCACAGAGGAAATAAAGGCAGATCTACTCTATAGGCGTTTAGGCTATATAAATTACACCTATTTAAAGAAACTAGTTACTTACAGTAGTTACGGAATAAGACTGATTTCTGTTCCGAAGCTAAAGGGAGAGAGGTATTACAAGGCTTACCTTACAAGCCGTATAAAAGAGCACTTTAATAAGAAGTCAGATAGTAGAACTGATATACCTATTCGTCGATTATACGCTGATATCTCTAGTATCTTACTACGCTTAATTCGCGGCTATAAATACTTCCTTTTAGTAGTAGATAATACTATAAGGATATGTTAGGTAGATCTCTTAGTTAATAAGTCTACGTTAATTATTCAACTAGTTATTCGGAAATTAAAGCTATAGTTTGAAACTCAAGGGTAAAGTAAATTCCGCATAATTATCTACTAGAGGACTAATAATAGTAAGGGAGAGTTCGGTCCTGAGTTTATTAACTAGCTATAAGAGAGTGGAATTATTCCTAAACTCTCTCCTTTATATAAATACTCTCTGAATAGAGTCGTAGAGCGATAGATATATAAACTAGCTAAGATTACACGCTTAATCCTTTACGACATGAAGATACCTGAGAATATATAGTACTACGCTATTAAGTAAGCGGTAAAGCTAAAGAATAGACGCCTAACTACTGCTTTACTATATAAAACAGCTACTAGACTTACTCCAATTGAAGCGTATAAAGGACAGCCTATAAACCTCTTTAAAATAAGAGTATTTAGCTCTATAGTGTACCCTTTGTATCTACTAGGGCTATATTAGGGTAAAATAAAGTAAAGGACGATTCCGGGGTGTTTCATATTAGTAGGTATAGCTAACACCTTAACCTATAGGCTCCTGAATATAGAAACCTTTAAGGAACTGGAAATAGCCGACTATAGCTTTAACAAGTATATAATATACTCTATACACACTAGTAGTAAGGAAACTACACTAAAAGGTAGTAACAAGGTAGTAGAAAGACCTCTGCTACTAGCTACTAGTCTAGTACTTACTAAGAGGCTAGCTAAGGGTACTAAAGGCTTAGAAAGACCTCTAAGAGAGAGGCTAGCTATAGAAGCTGAAAGACTTCTAAGAGAGAGGCTAGCTATAGAAGCTAAAAATCCTTTAAAGGGAAGTGTCACGAACCAGGCTCAGTCTTGGTACAAGTCACGGGTTGGCACCATAATACTGATGGTACTACCAAGTGGATGGCACCAGTCGGTGTTTGGTACCAAAGGGTTGATGGTACCATTGAGAGAATGGCACCAACAAGAGAATGGTACGAATTAGCGAGTAGTACCATACTCCACGCTCGTTGTCATAATAATAGTTATGTTGATCACGGTGGACATGGGTCACGTGATGTGCTAGCTTGCTAGACGGGCTTGCGGGCTTGCGCGCCCTGCAAGACGTCTTGCACGGCTTGCACAGGAAGTCGGAAGTTCTATATAACGAGTAGGTAGTTTCCTAGATAGTAGAGCTTCGTGCTCAAATCAAATAGCAAGTTTACACCTAGTTTACCACTGCTTGTAACGTCTCAATTCCTATTGAGAATCGAGCGTCTTGTTACCTTACTTCATAGCTGATACCAACCGACGAGTCTGTACTCACGACACCGACCGAGTTAGAAACGTTACACTTTGAGCACCTCACTTGAAGTATCGTCAGCAAGACACAATGGCCCCTAAGGAAGGATCCGTCGTGGGAGAAAGCTCCCAGACCAGTAAGAAGGAAGACAAGGTTACTCCACCCCGAGTCAACCTACCGGATACCTTCCATGGTCAACGATCCAAGCTAGGACAGTTCGTACTCCAGTACCAGATGTACCTAGCCTTCAACGGAGACAAGTTCGAGGCCGAATCCCTCAAGGTCTTGTGGATCGCCTCGTTCCTCCGCGACACTGCAGCACACTGGATCGAACCAGCCCTCAGCGACTACCTTCTCAACCGACATGTGACCGGAGCTTGCTCCACCACCATGACCGAGAAGAGTCGCGTCATCTTCCGCACCGTCGCAGGATTTACCACGGCTATCAAGGGAGTCTTCGGAGACCCCAACGAGAAAGAACAGTCCGAGAAACACCTGCTTGGCATCCGCCAACGAGGATCCGTTCACGAATACACTGCCGAGTTCCACCGTCACTCCATGCGACTGGACTGGACGGATAGTGGTTTGAAAGCCCAGTACTACAAGGGCCTAAAGGACCATATCAAAGACGAACTCTCCAGGGCCGACAAACCCGACAGCCTGGAGGAAATGATCAAAACGGCTACAACCATCGACGAACGGATCCAGGAACGACAGAAGGAAAAAAGAGGGTATTTTGCCCCTACTCAATACAGGAAGCCTCAGTTCCCGGAACGACATGGGAAGAGAGGAGGAAACTTCCAACCCCACCCCAACAATAAACGGAGTCATCATGACCCGATGGAAATGGATGGGGCCGAGAGAGGAGGCAAGGGCCAGGCTGAGAAGCAGAAACGACGAGAGAAGGGCTTGTGCTACACCTGTGGCAAGGCCGGCCACCTCGCCAGGGACTGCTCTCAGAACAAGAACGGAGGGAAAGCCCCTCCTAAAGACAAACGACAATTCGCTTTGGCCGAACGAAAGACCGAGCGCCGCGAAGCGGCAGTGCTCGAACGAGTCAGCGAGGACGACGGTTGGGAGGAAGTCCTGACCGAATCCCTCGAAAACCAGCGAATCAGTGATATAGAATCCCTGGACACCCAACAAGAAAGCCAGGTGACTAATGATCACTGGGCAGACCGGCTGCCCATCATCAACGAAAATGGGGCC